AAACCGGGTAAATCTCTTGTACCAAAAAACAGAGTTCAAGTACATCAATTTTATTTTTGCATAAATCTAACGTATATATTTTTATTTCAGGCTAAGCAGCATTACAATTACAATTATAACTACAAAGCTCAATTTATCTGATTTAACAGGGTTGTACATATTAATTTTCTGCCAAGAGTATCAGACGAATCAAATCATGATTTAATTTCACTTAATCACGCGGTACTAACTCACCAGGGCGTATCGAAACTAAAACGCCCCCAAAACCGTTAATTTGAATTTCAAATCTATCCTGTCTTTGGAAAATCAATGATTGTGGGTCTCAAACAACGCCGTTTTTCTTCAAACTTGTTCCATTAAAACCTTCACAGAAATACCCTTCAGTCGAGACATTGCTTTTGTTTACAAAGTCCCTCGTTTTAGCGGCGTTTTGATCCCCAGATGTGAGAAGTTTTGATACGCCCCGGTGAGTTAGTACGGCGTGATTAAGTGAAATTAAATCATGATTTGATTCGTCTGATACTCTTGGCAGAAAATTAATATTAATAAATAATATGCCGAGTGAACGAAGATGAAATTGTAATGTATTCACATGGAAATAATGTTAAAGGATATACAATACAATACAATACAATACAATACAATACAATTAATACCATGTTTGTAGGGCGTACATTCCAGTTTCTAAATATGATCACATTTAAGACATGCATGCAGTGATATTGTTTGGATAGTTACCGACCAGTCATTCGCGTACGTAGATAAAGAAACCAAGACAGTTTCAAAGAGAAACGGAAGACAGTACATCATACATGTCTAGTTAAAAAAAAGAATTATATTTATAATCCGAAAATCTGTATTTTTGAAGAAATTTCGGGGTGAAAATCTGTTTTTCGTCTTCGGGATTCAGCTAAAAAGTAATTGTAGGAAAATCACGGTTACAAAACTGAATCAACAATTCTAAAAAATTCGGATTTCTAAAAATATATCGGGAGAAATTAAAACGGTCAAGATTACTTCATTTACAAGTTTATATCAAATTAGTTTTACAGTTAACATCAATGGTAATGTCTCAGAAACTAATATTGGGGATATTTTATTTGTGTGATCGTGGCATAAGCAACGACTAAGATTTGTTTTGAATTTACAAAAAATGTATTTAACTTCATTCAAAATTAAGGTAGACGCTTCAAATAAAAAACATTTTAAGGCTCTTCTCTTCCTCTATTATCATCATGGTCATATTTTCAATGGTTATGGGGGAGGGTGCGATCGCACCATGGCACCACCTCCTGGCTACGCCTATGACATTGTAAGACGTAACAATTTACACTTCAATGGACGCTTCGTCAAAAATTCGGATAACTTAAATTATACACACGTCGCCTCTCTACTAAAGTAACGATAGCTATTTACAGATTTAAATCACAATTCGAAACAATTCACGTACCAATATACGAACTATTGAAAATACAGTAACATTTTCAAATATAAAAAGCTTTCTAATTTCTAATGATATTTAACTTAATATGTTATTATGTTATTAATATGTTAAATTTTCGTATTTTTTGTTTTTCTGGGTACCCGGTTTTTTCGACCGGGTACGACCGGGTACCGGGTACCAAGTCGGAACCCAGTATGGAGGATTTAGTACCCGGTACCCGGTACCCGGTTTTTTCTACAAACCCGTCTCTGGCCGATAGAAGAAGTTAAGGGTAGTCGGCAAATTAGGGATCCCTGGGGAATTCCCCTTCCGACATTTTGAAAATTGCTGACATATTTCCGATGTAAAAACTAAAATCTCTTCGTTCTGCCGATAAACCCATACAATTCTCCGACATTGTAGAAAGACAGGCTTACCAATGGATCGGGCGTACGACCACAATCTAAAGTGGTCGGCAGGATACGATAAGCTCTAAGGGCTGAGCCTGTCAGGCTGGGGTACGAAGCGGGCATGGAACTGGAGTAAATATACATTTTTTACGATACAAATCATATGTAAAAAGCTCTCTGTGTTCATCATTAGCATTGTATCGGTCAAATTCCCATATACTGTAGGCTAGTACTAGCTACACCTGCCCTGTCAACCCTCACGCATTAGGCGTGATTGTCACGCATTTGCTGGAAAAATAGAAATCACGCATCATTTTAGCGTGTATGATCAAATATCACGCAAATCACGCATTTTGTTGATATTTTTAAAAACATTTTTTTGTGAAATGCCGATACAGTAAAATACTGAACGATGAAAAAAGCGAACTCATTCCGTTCGGTCTTTGCACGCGATTGCCGTTTGTGTCACGCATTTGGTACAACATATGTGTATATATCACGCATCTGTTTCAAAAATATTTACACGAAACCATTTAGACGAAACCATGCAATATCTCACAAAGGATAGTATTCGTTTACACTAAGATTTGATGGAATATTCTCATTATGATTTTTAGAATAACATCTAAAAAAATCTTACTCCAGAATCAACATTTTCACTAGTGCACGACGGTGGTCCACATGCGATGTCTTCTAGCCAAGTTATTTGGCTAGAGACTCGAGTAAGCTACACCTATTAGAAAAATTACCCCTCATTGCATTTAGCATAATCAACTCAATACCTCATCTTCCCTCACTAAAATATAGCACTCTGAAGTAGATTGTATGTATCTCCACGAAACGATGGGTTTCACTGGAATAGGTATAACACTCTGGGAATTATGATCTGCCTTCTTTTTATCCTATTTATATTACAACCCCCTCCAAAGAAGAATGGATAAGATACAGTCCCATAGCCAGGGAAGTTCAGGGGATGCGAGCAAAACCCCTCCCCCGAGCCAAAAATCCATTCAAAAGCACGTGGTTTTCACAATTTTGAGCATTTTTCAAGAGATTTGGGACAAAAGCTGGCTAAGGGCCTGATATCTGTCAACTTTGCTGTGAATTTCTCATGTATGAAAGACTTTATTACAGAAGCCCAGATGTAACAACTGTGAAACAAACCTTATATAATTCCTCTCCACAGCAATAATCCTGGTTCCCAACAGAGTAACAAAGCTGCCTTCATTTAACCCCGTCTAAACCAACATGCATAGAGTTGACATTACCTAGCAACCTTGCCTTCTCTTTCTCGAAACCCCCACTCACTTCATTGCCAATGCACAGCCCCCTCTAAAACTTAAACAACTATAACTATTTTAGAATGAACAAACGATTAAGTGCTGCTGCAAAGTAAAGAAATGCAGGAACTCCAAGACAAGGCACGCTTGATATGTCCCCTTGCAAGGCACATCTTTTGAGAGAGCTACATTGCAGACTTGCCAACCTAAAATGAAAAATTTACGGGAGATTTAAAAAAAATTGCGGTACATTTACGGGAGTTTTTTTCAAAGTCCGGTAGTTTTTGCGGGAGCTTTTTGAAAAAAAGCGGGAGTTTTATGGGAGGTTTTTGAAAAAAACGGTAGTTTTTACGTGAGATTTAAAAAAAACGGGAGTTTTTGCGGTAAATTTTGAAAAAAAAACGGGAGTTTTTACGGGAGATGTTGAAAAAAACGGGAGTTTTTACGGGAGATGTTGAAAAAAGGTATTTTTCGCGGTGAATTTAAAAAAACGTGACTTTTTTACGGAAGATTTCAGAAAAAACGGGAGTTTTTGCGGTAGGTTCTGAAAAAACGGGAGTTTTTACGGTAGGTTTTGAAAAAACGGGAGTTTTTGCGGTAGATTTTAAAAGTAGATTTCTGAAAAAACTGGAGTTTTTACGGTAGATTTCTGAAAAAACGGGAGTTTTACGGTAGATTCTGAAAAAACGGGAGTTTTTACGGTAGATTTCTACAAAAACGGGAGCTTTTACGGTAGATTTCGGAAAATTCGGGAGTTTTTACGGTAGATTTCTGAAAGAACAGGAGTTTTTACGGTAGATTTTGAAAAAACTGGAGTTTTACGGTAGATTTCTGAAAAAACGGGAGTTTTTACTATAGATTTTGAAAAACGGGAGTTTTTACGGTAGATTTTGAAAGAACGGGAGTTTTTATGGTAGGTTTCGGAAAAAACGGGAGTTCTTACGGTAGGTTTCTGAAAAAACGGGTGTTTTTACGGCAAATTTTGAAAAAAACATGAGTTTTTACGGTAGATTTCTGAAAAAACTGGAGTTTTTACTTTAGATTTTGAAAAACGGGAGTTTTTACGGTAGATTTATGAGCATTAAATCCAGCGATTTAATTGGTTGAAATTATTATGACGCATGCGCAGTTAATTAATTAATTAGAACTTATAATCTAAGATAGATGTCACTTACGTTCATTATTTCACAGCAGTCCCTACCAATAATGCGCCTTATATTGTGGGAATATTTTGTTTAGCGCCAAAATGTATTCTCCCGACAGAAGTATGACAGAATATGAACTGGCCCCCGTTTGTGGACATTTGGTGTGCAAACTTATACCGAACTGATCGCAGAAAAGCAATTTGAATCATGGGAATGAAGTACTTTTAAGTTATTTATGAAAGTATCGATAGTGAACCATGGGAGCTAACCTTCTTGGAGTAAAAGAAAGAAGCGTGTCTGCAATAATCAAGGTCACAAATTTGTCAAATTCCTTTTAAATACGGTAGATTTCGACAGCAAAAAACGGAGATTTTACGGGAGTTATACCAAGAATACGGGAGATTTTACGGGAGTTATACCAGAAAACAGGGAGATTTTACGGGAGTTATACCAAGAATACGGGAGATTTTATGGGAGTTACACCAGAATACGGGAGATTTCAGCAAAAATACGGGAGATTTTACGGCCATATTTTTAAAAAAAATTCGAGATTTTAGTAGAAATACAGTACGGTAGTTTACGGGAGTTTTTACGGGAGGAAACGGTACGGGAGTTTGGTATTTTTTACGGAAAAACAAAAAATTTACGGGAGATTCCCGTAAAAAAACGGGAGGTTGGCAAGTCTGCATTGTATATATATGATCTAGGGTACAAAAATATAATTTTTATCATGTGGTTTCAGATTGTTCAACCTGAAGGTCCAGGTAGACAATACAATTGGCCGTGCCAGCGTCATATTTCCAGGTCTCTCCATGGGAGACTTTGATGCACTTGGTAAGTTATATTCACAGGCTGGTATTGAAAGATTTGTCTGCTGTGACGGAGCATGTTATTTTTCATATAAACGAAACATATGAGTTAAAAATAAGTTGGGATTATCTTTTATTTATCTTAATTTTCAATTTTTGAAAAAAGTGTCGACTCGGGGCAAGGCTACCTATTAACCTATTTGACTGTGTTTTGAGGTTTCTGTGTAAGACTGACAGACATACTGTATATGTGCAATCATTGATCTACATGTATTTAGAAGCCAAGTTTAAAATTTTGCTCTGACACTGTAAACCAAGACTGGGGTTGATAATTGAGGGATATATTTTCAAGTCAACCCAATGGAGAGTTCATTAATTAAAATATAAAGTAAAACTCTGACAACTAAATTAGAATTTGTAATTATCAGAATGGACTACGTTTGAGTTGGAATAATTAAGAAGCAGTCCAATTGTGAATATTTGAAATAAAATAGTAATATAAAGTAGAGTCTCTGTCAAATGATCGAGTGTAAAATCACTGTTTTGTGAATCCATGTAATACTGCATAATTAATTGTAATTTCTTAATTTAATATGATACATTCTTGATTTAGGTAATCCTAGTCTATGGCGAGTCCAGAATCTGCTGACGATGGCAAGAATCGTGGCATACCACGACGGCAAATGTGGAAGTGATGGCAACACATTCCTGGAGTATGACAAAATGACATCAGACAGGATGACATTCATGGCTTCATCGGAAATTGAGCTCTCTGAGAAATTCTATGAAATCAGAAACCAGGAACAATTTCCAATTAAGATTGCAGTTCACTTAGGGTACATTGGTAAATCTTCAGTATTAAGTGTCGCGGAGATGACCAATGGAATTACAGGAGAATTCTTGGGAAAAGGCGGAAACCAAGTTGTCAGCGTTAGCAGAGAGACAAGAAAACCAACAGCGCTACCTGATTGGTGGAGAGACAAATATAAGCATCTAGTCGTAGAAAATAAAGCATTGATTGTCCAAAGATTAGAAAAACCCGATAAGGTTCACAAATATGATACCAAAGTCAGCTGGAGTGATACGGATCGTTATCGTCACACAAACCAAGCCACATACACCCGGTTTTGTATAGATGCCGCCACTGATGCTTCCATAAAAGGATATTTCTCCAAACTAACAGGAGATATACGTCAATATCATGTGAAGACATATGATGTGCTGTACATTGGAGAAAGTCTAGCTGGTGACCACATCACCGTGGAGACATGGGAAAATGATGAGAATCCATCTCTCATACATTTCCAGATTAGTAAAGATGAGAAAGCTTTATTTCAAAGTTCGATAGAGTTCCATTCTACAGAACCAGGGACAGGTGACTTTATGAAACCTTCATAAGCATTTGGTACAACTTCAGCATGCCATTTGGTATTATTGGAGTTATAATTCGTGAAACACAATTGTCTTATACGATGCTACTGGTAATTTTTGGGACATATTTGTGGCAAAATACTTTCAAGAAACAAACTCTTCGGTGCATATTGTGAAGGGATAAACAGTATACAATTGTTGACCTCTCCAGAGGTCAACCGGCAAAATTGTATACCGAGACTGTAAACCGAGAAACTACTGTTGACAGAGACCGAAGGTCGAGGTCAACAGTAGTTTCAAGGTTTACAGTCGAGGTATTTGATTTTGACGGTTGACCGAATGGAGAGGTCTACAATTGTTTTGTTAGTCAGAAGAAACTAATAATACACATATAGACGACAATCATCAATCATATGGCTTCATTTCACAATCTTTTCTCCGAACCACGCCAGCGATATTAGTTAAACTCTCTTGTTTTCGGCACATCACTGCAAACTCACTAGTAAAGAAATGTTAATTTTACGTTTCTATTTGTATTTTTGCTATACTTCTCGACTAGTAAAGTCAAAATATCACTTTCATCAACAACTGACTTTACTTTCTTCAGGTCCGTGCATCAACGTTTACAAAATGTCCGTCTACCATGTTTTTTCTGTAAACATTATGACGTCATATTTCCCATAATTCACAAGTGTAGTACAGTAACATACGCGGTCAATAATATGATATCCCACGATGCACAAGTGAGGTACAGGCAAAAATGTTGACCGCTAATTGACCAATCAGATGCGAGTATTTACACTGAGGTACTAACAATATAAATTGTACATAAATTAAATTGAACTACCTCAAGAATTAAGTGGAGGAAAATCAGTTGCATAGCCATTGATATAGAGAACAAATGTACATGTATTTGTATATTTATATAACATCAAATTGTATCATATATATATAGTACTGTACATGCAATTTTGACATGATGCCAACCTGTATTCCAATGAAGAGAAAGATAATCATTTTTACATTTATAATAATTTTCATCACAACCAATTATTATCAAAGTTCAACTTTTTTACATATATATAGTTAACCTTAAAATATAGTGCAGTATTTACTGATTTGTTAATGATTAATTAAATGTTATTTTTAATGAACCAATTTCTTCATTTATTGTTCAAATTTCAAAACACAGTGTATTATATAATCTCTAGGAATGAGTCATATGGTCCGGGGTTCTGTGGCTATATACTGAGCATTACAGGTACAGTAAAACCTATCTAATCCAAACACCCCTGGGACCAGCCAAAAGTGTTCAAATTAGTATGTGTTCACATTTTAAGGTTTTATAAACATTTAAGTCAATGTGAGATAACAAATTTGGGACCAAGAAAAAGTGTTCATATTGAGGGATGTTCGGATTAGAGAGGTGTTCAGATATACTGTACAGTGAAATCTGTATATCTGAACATCTCTCAATGTAAACCTTTTTTCTTGGTCTCAAAAGTTATCTCCCATTGACTTACATGTTTACAAAACCTTGAAATGTGAACACCTGCTAATCTGAACATTTTTGGCTGGTCCCGGAGACATTCGGGTTAGACAGGTTTCACTGTACTCATTTGTGTTTAATGAGCGGGGTTCACCAAGATAAGATTTAGGGGCCACTACTATAAATTGCATATTCAACTTTTTGTAAGGTACAGACATTTATGATAACTTCCTTACTCCATGTTGGGCCGACCTATCAAAGTAAAATTACTCTTAAAATGTGGCTTAAATGTTTATGGGGGATAAGAAATTCTGGAACCTCCAATACCCCCCCCCCCCCTCCTTTAAAAAGAAAAGCCTGCCTTGCATCATGGAATAAAGACAGATTGTGATTGCCCTGTCACCTGTAGATATTTCACCATAACAAAGAAACCCACCCAATGTTATCAGTTTACCACCCATTGTAAATCATATAAAGGTGGAGTTGTACTAGAAGGTTACTGTATATAAGTTTCAAATAATTACACATGAGCCTCACAAACTTTTAGCGACTTAACTTCACAACTAGAACATCAACATTGTGAACAGCAAGTTACAACTTAAACTGGTAAGTACTAAATTCTCATAAATGTTTTTCAACTAATCATTTGAGTCATTACCACATTAGAAAATAGGTTTGTCTTTAAATGTTTTATATCACATCTGACCAACAGTCGGATAGAATCAGAAAATGGTTTGAAGATATTGGAGAGAATGTGTTGCAATTTAGAAACTTCCAGATTCTGGAACTTTTCAAATTTTTAGAGTTGCAATTGACCGCTCAGACAAATTGTAGAACTTTGAAGTCAATGATTTTAAACAAAAAATGTAAATTAATTTGATATACAAATGTAGGAACCTTTTTCATGAGAGGCATGAGAGTAGATAGACTCATTTAAAAAATCTTGAAAATGCCTTTAAAGTTAGGTTGATCATTAACTAAAAATTTAGAACAATTCTTATTTTTTATAGGATTGTGCCTCAGGATACTTGTACATATAAACAAACTTGTTGAAAACTGCAAAACAAAATACACGTAAATTATTGACTAAAAAGTTGAAAAACTTAAAGGAAAAGTATCCATTTATTTCAGAAAAACATAAGAGCCAAGCTAGAACATGAGGTTCTGTGTAATTTTTGCTGTGTTGGTTGCTACCTTTCTACAAACTGTTACACCAGCTAGTTTTAACAAAAGACGATGTAAGTACATTTGATTAATGTGTTGATTGATTGCATTTACCTATAACTTGCTATTGCTTACAGCCTTTACAGGTATGCGCACAAAAACTTCTTCCTAATGTTGCACATTCTGGGTGATACTTGTAGTTATTTTAATGTGTTTGTCATGGAAAGATGATGTCTTTTCCATTTAACTACAGTAAATGTATATCTATGAACCTTTACTCTCAGTCTGGATCGGTTGTGAATCCCATAGGGCAGGGGGGAAAACTGTAAAAGAAAATACATGTATGTTTATAAACATTACAATGTCTTTTTTGTGTTTCAGCCAATGATGTGACATCATACAAGAGAGTGTGTTACCATACCAACTGGTCCCAATACCGCAATGACCCTGCCAAGTTCTTCCCTGATGACATTGACCCATTCCTCTGTACCCATTTAGTGTACTCATTTGCTACAATGGAAGGCAATCAGCTGGTTGCATACGAATGGAATGATGAATCAGAGGAGTGGGCCAAGGGAAAGTAAGAAACATTTTATGAGCTATTGAAGAATGACACTGTCCCCTAGTCCTCATAGGCTAATTTATTCAAAAGTGTTTCTTATTTAATGAAAACAAATTATTTATGAATTTAACCTAAATATGAAATGTTTATTTTATTTTGTTGATTTACATTAAAAAGAGTTCCCAGACTTATGCAAAGGCAGCTATCAATTGAGATCCAAATGTTGTGGAGTTGGCTAAGCAGTCAAGGGTACTGGAATGGCTAGGCACAGCCTGTGTAATGGGTTCCAGTCCCATGAACTCCCCATGTTTTCTGATGTATAACATCCATACAGCAAAAAGCCCTCTAAATCATAGACATGAATCATTGCTTAAAGTCCCCGTCTAAAGTTTGAAAATATTTTTTTATCATTCATTTACTATTTGTCAGGACTTAAAAAGTGATTTTAGAGATTTTTGAACAAAAAAAAAATTTTGAAAAAAAAGTTGTGAGCATTTCATTTCTGAAATATTCAAATTTCCCGCCATTTTCCAAAAAAAGTTGAAATTTCTTAATCATCAAATATTTCTTAATGCATTTCAAAAAAGATTATCTTTTTAACACCAATGCAAAGATTGAACAAAGGAGACACTATTTCAATAATAAAATGCCATATTTAATGGGCCACTTCAATGTTTTAGCATATCAAAAATATTTTGAAACATTAGTGATGTCACTAAGGTAACAAAAACTTTTTGAAAAAATTGAAATTTTTTTTTCGATGTCAATCTTTTCTAAATATGCCAGACTTTCATAAAAAACAATGTTGATTGTCTAACCAGGTTAAAAGGAAGAATAAATTATGTTTTAGATATCATTGTACCATTGGTTTCTATGAGAACTATAATTTTGAAATGCATTTTTCTCAGAACCATTTTCATGCACTGATAAGTTCATTTCTCGCTTGTTTATCAACCGATTTTCTTAATTTTTTCGGCAAAAAACATGGGAGGATGAATGCTATGCATTGGTATGAATTGTGGCTAATTAGAAGATATGAATGACCTCTAAAAGTTGGTTTTAAATAAATTCACAAATTTTGGAACAAAAAGTCTATCACTTTTTGAAATTTAAAAAAAAAGTTTCACATATCACACTTTGATAACATTGGGTAAGACTACAATATAAGCCAAAGTGGTTTAAACTTTACATGGGGCCTTTAAATTCATATGAACATATAAATATAACTGAACATCCAATGTTTCAGCTATGAAAAGTTCAATGATCTTAAACTACAAAACCCAGAATTGAAAACACTGATTGCTGTTGGGGGTTGGAATTTTGGAACAGAGAGAATGACCGCAATGTTGGCCACTCCTGAAAATCGTGCTGAATTTGTAACTACAAGTATTGATTTCATCCGTGCACGAAACTTTGATGGCCTTGACCTTGATTTTGAGTATCCTGGAAGTAGAGGAAGTCCAGCAGAAGATAAACAGAGATTCACCCTTCTTTGCCAGGTAATGTTTTTTTTGTTTCAAGTTGTTCCACTCATTCATCTGTCTGTCATATTTGTGACTTATGTTTGTTTTAAATGGTGAGCCTATGGAGTTCCCCACTTGTTCATCTGTCAATTCACCCACCCATCCATCCATCCAACTCAGTATTCATGGTATTTTTTGTTTTTGTTTCACATGGTGAGCCTATGGAATCATTGCCCACTCATCCATCTGTCCATCCAAAATTACACTACCCACAACAATACTTTCAACTTAATTTGAATGTATAATATTTTTCCTGTATGGATGATTCTCCCTTAAAGAGATTCTCCATTCTTGCTTTACAAACTGTACATAAAACTAAATTCAATGTTCACAGGAATTGAGAGCTGCATTTAATCAGGAAGGACTGGACACTGGCAGAGATCCTCTACTGTTGACTGCAGCTGTTGCAGCAGGGCACAAGGCAACTATTGATGCTGGATATGAGATAGCTCTCATTGCACAGTAAGCTCATATTATTTCGATAGCTAGTTCACATTGCATAGTACTACTATTAATTTAGTAGGCTCATATTATTTAGATAGGTCTCATTGCACAATTATTTAGATAGCTACATGCAACTCTTATTTCTCAACATAGCATTTTTATGGGCCCATTTTTATTCATTCCATTTTGAATCTATACTCTTTCATAAACACCCCTAAACAGTTTTAGCTAAGTTCCGGATGTTTTCACCGGTCTTTAATGAACATCTGATTATAATTCATGAAACTGCAATAAGCAATTTGAAAAGAATAAAATTCCATTGACTTAGTTCATAAAATTGCACTGCAAGGAACACTTGTCTGTCTAAAAGGAAAGGGCCAGTACAGATAGCATTCCATATCATTACATTGTATTGTATTGTATTTTATTGTTCAGGTTTGAAATTCTTGACTTGAACAATTTTTGATTGCCCTGTTTATATGGTGTTACCATTAGTTACAATAGATGGACCAAATCTAACAATAAGACTAAATTTAGATGGCCATGTCTATGTTTTCCTTCATATGTTTTCTTCATCTAATTTCCTAGGGAATTAGATTTCATTAATCTGATGTCTTATGATCTGCATGGAGCCTGGGAAAATGTGACAGGCCATAACAGCCCCCTCTATAGTCGACCTGGAGAATCAGTGGAGGAAGCCCAGCTTAACATTGTGAGTTCTGTATATATTAGAATAAAATGTACTGTACATACTAGAATATTTTGAAATAGTCTGAAAGTTAACACCTTTGAAGACTAGCAATAAACAGGAAAATGGATAAAGAAATATTATATTGAGTTATTTAAACAAATATTCACAAACTGTTAATCAAAATCTCTCTTCATTATGAAAGCCATGTTTACTTCTTTATCATGATTACCACAATTATAGATGCCATAATGGCATATCAGCTTGATCTGTGTAGTAACTAATTACATATTGCTTATTAAATGATGATCATTTGCTCTAGAAGTCAAACCATGCATGCATTTCAGCAATGGGTTACTGAATACTGGCTTGCAGGAGGATGCCCCGCAAACAAGCTTATCATTGGGCTTGCCAGTTACGGGAGGACATTCACCCTTGAAGACCCTGCTGTGTTTGGCTATGGGGCACCTGCCAAAGGAGCTGGAGAAGCAGGAACTTACACTAGGGAGGCTGGATTTGCAGCATTTCATGAGGTTTGAGATTATATCAAAATTGCTATTCATGATCATGGGAAATGTGTTCATAGCAAATGGTACAAAAATGTACAAAATGTTTGCTCTAATGTCAGTGTGTGCCATTTGTTCAATCTTCACAATGGTTTTTAAAAGATAATGTGTTTTGCACTGTAAAGTGGAATATTTGAAAAACAGTGGGAAAGAATATTTGAGAAATACCTTTTTTCAAACATCTCTAAAACAACAAGTCAGAAAAATGGTAAATGAATGATAAAAACATATTTTCAAACATTGCAAGAGGCCTTTAACTTTATTTGTGACCAGTAACACCAATTTGGGGGTTTATCTGAATTAAAACCAAACTGATAAGATTAAGTATAGACTGATGTGTAAATTATATTACGCATATTACTATAATACATTCATGTTATATTGTGCCCATAAATTTTATGTTTCAGATCTGTACCAAGCTAAATGATGGAAGTGCCCAGAGAGTGTGGAGCCCTGATCACCAGGTGCCATTTGCCAGGTTTGCTGGTGGCAGCGGTACAATGGATCAGTGGATTGGTTATGATGACACAGAGAGTGCCAGTGTGAAGGTAATTTAGGGAAAATGCATACCATTACCAAGACACCATTTTGAATATCTCTATAACAGAAATTGCATTACCAAGGACACCATTTTGAATGACTAACTTTTTTAGGGGAAATGTAATATATATCTTTTATTTACTCTTTGATGTCATCACAATGGCATATTAATATTACATTGTACAATATACAAAAAATAAAAAATAACTTAAAACTATATTAAACTAACTGCAAACTAGAAAATATGCAAATGCAAAATACCAACATAAGTCAGTTTAAAATAGAGCAATACAAAATACAGTAAACCTGAATTAGTGAACACCTCTCTCTATTGAACACCTATCAACAGTGAACATATTTTTTGGGCAAAACCTTGTTCTCCCATTGAATCCCATGTTAAAGTACAATCCTAGAGTGAACATGTACCTACTGTGAACACTAAATCTTGGCAAAATCAATAGACTAGATGCGAGTAGAAATAATCTTGATTTACGTCATTGAATATTCAAAATTCAGTCAAAGTGATGTCATATTTGAAATCTACATGTAAAAGTACATCTAGAAATATGATTTCGAAAATTGTTTATCAACTTTGAAAATTGAATTTTTTTTGAAAGTGTGACTCCTCGCTTGGGTTGATTCCCCATAGACCCAATGTTACAAAATCACAAAAAGTGGAATATCTTTTCTTGTATTGGACAGATAACATTTTCTTTTACTGGACATATTTTAATTTGCATAACTATTAGATACATAAGGGTAATATGAAAATTGAACCACTAAAACAAATGTAATTTAATTTAAAGGGAACTTTCTGCTATACCCGCCATGCTATCTGACCCGAACGAGCCACCTGGTGGTGAAACTGCTAACTACCTACTCGCATCTGCGTTATTGAATTATCCTGTCTCTAGTGAACATTGAATCAGATACAAGATTTCTCATGGGTTTTCTGCAACTGCCTTGTCAGAGTTTAGCAGTTAATGTTTATATTACCTGCCAAAAAAATAATGAAAATGTAAATAATAGAAATTTACAGATATTTAGATGAGAAATAGGCAGTTCATTTTTATTTAGTTGCATGGTTCAATGTGTGTTCGCGAAACCACAAATACATGTAGTTAAATTCTTAAATATCAAGGATTGTGTTTGTAGGCTAACTGGATCATTGCTAATGGGTATGGAGGGGGTATGACATGGGCTCTGGACCTTGATGATTTCAACAATCAATGTGGAGGCGGCAACTACCCCATCACCAACGCATGGGTTAACATTCTAGGTAAAAAAAAAACTTGAAAACCTCTATTAGTGTGGAACACTTTTCAGAGCTCCAATACCAACTCCCTTAATAATGAACCTCCCTAAGTGGAACACGTTTTAGAGGTTAACTAAAAGTGTTTCACTTAGACAGGTTTTACTGTAAATCTCTGGCAAGTAGCTATTGACCAATCAAATTAAAGGATCACATCAGGCACTAAATATACTTATCATTGAGCTTAGTTTTGACCTAGCTATGTTTTTTGCTTCATAATTTTAAAATATTTGGTTTTGTTAATGCAGGTGGACCAGCCCCTACACCTGCAACACCTGCTACAACTGTTGCCACAACAACAACAGGTGCCCCTACCACAACAACTATTGCCACGACAACCACATCTGATCCCTTAGCAACAACCACAACTGCTGATCCTAATGCCACCACAACTGCAGCAAGTAAGTTACAATGGTACAATGGTACATGTATACCAAAGGAATTTGAAGGTGTATTTTGCAAATCTGTTTCAAATTGAAGAAATGAATGCATATATTGATGTATTGCTGTTCGTGTAGTCAATCTTAAACTGTACTTTTTAAATCAGAAGATTCAAAGCAAACACAAAAATCCAAATAAATCATAATTATTATTTGGAAATGGAACTTCCAATTCATATCAGTGTTTTAGAGGAATAAGATATTAAAAGAGAAGATCAACCCATATTTGTATTTAAGAGGCTAATTTATGCTTTCTTCCAGGTATTGAGTCATTCTGCATTGGGCTTGCTGATGGCACATACTCTCACCCAACAGACTGTTCTATGTATGTCCAGTGCGCTGGAGAGACCGCATATGAGATGAACTGTTCAGCTGGAACCTGTTATAGCCCAACCATTCAGGGATGTGATTTCTGTGACAATGTCACATGTTAAGAATCACATGGAAAATTTAAACATCACACACACCAAATTGAAACACCTTTAAAGGGTGTGTTCTATACATCGGTGGTGTTTGGACATGTGGACTCTACTGCTTCAGGAGGAAAATAATTTCAGAGTTTTGCAATGAATGTTTCCGTCACTGGTGACTCTTTTGTTTATAGAGCATTGCATTTATTTGAATGACAAGTTACATATGAAAAAGCATCTTGGATTACCAAGGTAATTTTGATTCTAAAAATCAAACTTGTAAGCGAGTATGATAAAAAAGCATATGATTCAATGTTGGCCAATTTGAGCTGCAATTGCAGATAAAATATTTGTTGTATTTATAGATGGCGTAGAAGTTACTTGTTCATTCTTAAATGCAAGCTCAAAAAATGCTTTGCTTATGAATATAAACCAATTATTTTTTTGCGCTTGTATATATCTCTTATGTAATGTCTAACGTGTGCTAACATTATTCAGTAAAAATAGAAAAATGAAAAGAAACAACAAAAAAATAGAAAAACAAGAAAATCAAATAAAAATCAAAGTAAACTGAAACCAAGTTAAACAAGCAAACTCAAGTAACCATGGTAATATATTAAATAAATAAAATCAACAGATAGTGGTCAAAATAAACATTGTAAAGAAAATTGTTTCTTAGCCAGATCATAAATACCATCAAATACTGTGAGATGCCAAATATCTTATACAATAATATTATAAAACAAAATTTTTAGTGTGTACTAGAAAGTATTTGAGCACACCCACTTCAACTGTCTAAGTGTACACCAATTTTGACTCCCAAAGAAATTGTAATTGTCTAGAAATAATTGTCAGACATTTGTAATATCCAACATTTTAGCTATAAATTGGAGAGATTCATGAAAAAATTGATGAAATAAAAAGTAAATTAAAAATGAAACCATACAAGTATTTTGTTGGAATAATAGCATGTGTATTTGTTCATCTGCCATCTTTTATTTAAAAAAGATGCCATGCACTTTAATGGATCATATTTATATATTATAATCTTGACAATTTTGATTGTAAGTAAACAATATATACATGTAATGTATCTGTTGATAAAGCACAGTAATGATTTTGTGTGATCACACAGCTGTTCAGACATTGTGGTACACTGTCTGCTATGTATTTATAAGCTAGGGGCGGACCAAATCAACTCCACGAAAACCCTAATCATGTGCAGAAAAAATATCTGGGGCTGGTTCAACTAAAAAACAGAGATCCAATTCTATTGTACACCTGTATACTAACACAGGTAAAAGTAGGATGGGGGGGTGACATTGGTATGGTAAAATATTTCAATGGACTTTTTTCAAAGAAAAATCAAAGAAGGTCTTAATCTTCCTTTCTTGGATGTAATGATCCATCCCCTGATGGACAGGTTGTTTAATATAAACAAGGTGTCCAAACTATAGGTTCAGATGGAGTCCACTTATCTCTCTTACCACATACACTGCTGTATATAAATCAAAACAAAACCAGGGACCAGGTCAACATCTCTGCTATGTAGTAGTATACCCTGATCTGATTAGCAGACCATACCAGACTCTTCCTCTTATTTTAAATGATTTTTAAAGTTTTGATACAACAGTAAAGTCTTAGTGAACACTTCTCTAAATATAGTGAATTTATTTAGGCATGGCCAAACTACAATTATGAAAACTACATTTATTCAGTTAATTACTACCTAACTACTAACTACATTTACTTTACTACAGTAAAACCTGTCTATAGTGAACACTTCTCTAAATATAGTGAACTTAGAATTTATTTAGGCATGGCCAAACTACAATTATGAAAAAACTACATTTATTCAGTTAATTACTACCTAACTACTAACAACAGTTACTTAACTACAGTAAAACCTGTCTTAGTGAACACTTCTCTAAATAGTGAATTTAGAATTTATAAGGCATGGCCAAACTACAATTATGAAAACTACATTTATTCAGTTAATCACTACCTAACTACTAACTACATTTACTTTAATACAGTAAAACCTGTCTTAGTGAACACTTCTCTAAATATAGTGAACTTAGAATTTATTTAGGCATGGCCAAACTACAATTATGAAAACTACATTTATTCAGTTAATCACTACCTAACTACTAACTACATTTACTTTAATACAGTAAAACCTGTCTTAGTGAACACTTCTCTAAATAGTGAATTTAGAATTTATAAGGCATGGCCAAACTACAATTATGAAAACTACATTTATTCAGTTAATCACTACCTAACTACTAACAACATTTACTTTAATACAGTAAAACCTGTCTTAGTGAACACTTCTCTAAATATAGTGAACTTAGAATTTATTTAGGCATGGCCAAACTACAATTATGAAAACTACATTTATTCAGTTAATTACTACCTAACTCCTACTAACAACATTTACTTAACTACAGTAAAACCTGTCTTAGTGAACGCTTCTCTAAATATAGTGAACTTAGAATTTAATTAGGCATGGCCAAACTACAATTATGAAAACTACATTTATTCAGTTAATTACTACCTAACTACTAACAACAGTTACTTTACTACAGTAAAACCTGTCTTTAGTGAACCCTTCTCTAACAAGTGAATTTAGAATTTATTAAGGCATGGCCAAACCACAATTATACAAACTACATTTACCGTATATAGTTACATTTATCTTCAATACAGAGATATTGTGTTGTGATGTCTAGTTACCCTTTGACACTTCGTACCCTTCATACACCTGGCAGACCATACCAGACTCTTCCTCTTACTATTTTTTTAAAATGTTGTGCTGTTCTCCCAATCATTCTCAGAAAAGTAGGGAAATACATAGTATGCACTGGTGAATCTGGGGGGAGCACTGGCAGATCTGGGGGGCGGGCCCACACCCTTTAGGTATACCCAGAAAAAAAATTGGGCCCAAAAATAAGGCCTGAGGCCCCTAAAAGTGGGCCTTTTGGTCATTACTGGGTCTTTCAAGGCCTTATTTTTTAATTTTAGGCCAAATTTTTGAGGAAATGGGGCACAAAATTTGGGCCCACTTTAAGGTTTATGGCTCGGGTCTTTTTTCTCTGACTTCAAATTTGCCCCCCCCCCCCCTTGTTGGTTACCAAATCTGCCCCTGGGGAGCAGGGGCCTGGAAAAAGTGTTGGGCCTAAAAACAATTTTGAACCCAAAAAATCTTAGGGACCTTTATAGGCCAAATAATCAAGAAAATGGGCCTTAAATTTTCAAATTTTGAATATTCATGCAAGTCACTGGACAACAAACATCAATAAAGCACCAAGATGGGGAGCACAAATGGCAAAATGTTAAAATAAAACAACACAATCTTAAAAGGCCATAAGGGAGAAGTAACAGATAAGGCATGTACAGCAAAGATTTCATAAGTTTCCAATTTTATCAGCTTATTCTATATTATAAGTATATAAACTCATTGAAACTGTATAGCATGTCAGGCTTTTGGCATGATCCCTTGTAGCTCTTAATCCACATGTGCCCTGCCCGAGGCTATTCCCCTTTCCAATATAGATTTAGATGGTGAAATTAATACAGTGCCTTATGAAGGTAAAAACAGATATCTCTCTTGGAACAAATCAGACCCTGACATAATACAAAGAGTTGGCACACAGATGTGCAAATCATTCATAGAATGCTGTGGACCAAACTGACATAGGATTATTTGTTGTAATTAGACATTGCCACCTGATCTTAGATAGAGTTTCTTCAACAATATATTCCAATCTTGAGGACTTATTAAAACACTGAAAGAAGGTGACGTTTAATTAGAGCAACTTGTGATAACCACTGGTTTGTGGTGTAAAATTAGAGATTATTAAGATCGTGAAGGAAACTGAAGGAGAATCTCAACCAAGTAAGCACAATGTATATGTTGATTGTGACAATAGTGTGTATGGCGGGGCTATGGAAAGAGGTCTCTGTAGTGGCCAAACCACAACCACAGCCACAACAGAAAATCAAAGCTGCTTCAGAAATTACAGATCCTGAACATGTGTGTCTCTACGAGAACAAAACATACCATGCAGGTGAAAAATTCAGACCAGATTCATGTACATTTTGTCACTGTCCAAGACACGGTGGAGAAGCACGATGCGCTGTACAAGATTGCTTCTTCAATCCAAGCTGTATCAAATTTGACAATGATCCCAATGAATGTTGCCAGCGGTGCTTGGAGTATGGGTGTCAGCATCATGATGGAAAATTCTACCCCCCTGGGGCTGTGATCTCAAACAGTCCATGTGAGACGTGTAGATGCCCTAGGAATGGAGGGAGGACTCAGTGCATAAAGCAAGGTTGTCCCCCCGTGCTGTGTGTAGATGCTATACATAAAGATGGAGAGTGCTGCCCAATTTGTCCAAATGGTAAGGCCCTTATTACATGAAATGTTTTCTGATGCCTGTCTGGGCATCCTTATAATATTACTCATTATTACCTTGGTTGTTCTTGTTAAAGGTAGAATCTGATCTGTAGGGGGTGACAAAATTACAAGCAACATGTATAACTGACCTACCAATCTATTCCTTACAATATCAAATACAATATCTCCCAAAAGATTCACAATGTGTTATAAATTGGTGAAGTTATTAATGATTCAAAGTACAAAAATGAGTGAAAAATATTTAAATTCTCCCAAATAATAAGAATGGTAACCATTCTTAAAGAAAAATAATACATTAATGTAAAAATCTTTAGTTTACCTGGAATAAAGTATGCACTTTTGTGATTTTTAGAAAATAGACATGGCAAGGAATGACATGAGCCAAAAATATTCTAAAATTGAGACAATTTTTTGTTTAGCCTGCTTGCTATATATCTGATTCTCTCTTTAATGATCTTCTTTCAGTCAGACATATTTGCAATACTTTCAAAGCTAAGTAGAGGTCTGGTCATCAGGTCATTTTTCAAATAAAAAGAAATCTGCTTTTAACAGCCTTAAAAAGCATCAAAATGCCTCCCCCCTCCCCTCCATTATAAAAATCTACTACAAACCTAATCATCACTACAATTACAAATATTTAAAACAGCCAAACAACAATATATTCCCAACGAATCTCCTGACAATGTTAAAAGCTCTTTTGAATTTATATAACGATACACATGTAGTATTTTTAACGACAACCAGCTAAATAAAATTCAGTCTGACAGTAAATTCTATATCGAGGAGATTTTTAGTATACTTATTTATTTTTAATATAATTATTTTTACCTCACAGTCATGTTTCTCATCTTGTTATTGGTTGAATCATGGGCTTTCAATGGTTGAATACATCACATGACATAAATTATCATGTTACACAATGCACGATGAGGCGTGAACAGACTGACAGGAGTAAATAATAATTTCTTAGCTGAACTAGATGTACAACTACAAAGTTACATAATATTCTGCAGGCATACTTTTTTGAACAACCCTTTTCATTTTTATCAACCAGGAAGCGTACTTCTCTCGTTAATCATCTCCTTATCATAAACCATAATGACTTTTTCAAGTTTTCAAAAAATATTTCGCCCACAGGAAATCCTATATCCACTAGTCCCAGACCTTAATCCTGGTAGACATTCTGACTAACATGTCAACGACTCAAATAAACTCTGTTTCAACTTCACAGTAACTAATCTAAAGTTTATTTTACTTTCCTTATCTTAAGGTTAACCTATGGCTTAATTATCCAAAGTTTTAGTGGTAATTTGGTACATTTTCTAAACATCCAGATACACCTAATTGTTCTGACTCATTATATATGTAGGATAGGCCACTTATTTATATAAATATAAAAAGCTTGGGAAACATTGTTTTTGATTAGAAATGCAAGCTTGCTTAACTTTCAAAGCATAGGTTGTTTAATGATTATACATTAGCCTCCAGGAAGAGTATGTTTGTGTTTTGAGGTGTTGATAATCTTACAAAAATGCATTTTTGCTTATCGCATCCTACGACCCCTTTAGATAAAGGGGTCGTAGGATGCGATAACATTTTTGCCATTGCATATACAGAGTCATAAGATATTGTGGAAATGGTCCTTATTTGTTTTTTAATAGTCTTCATAGCTGTGGATTGAGCCACATACAAAAATATTCTAACCTTTTAACATTTTAGTCAAGTTAGTTTAATATTATTGAAGAATAAGTGTCTTTATCACAACACTTCAAAATCTTGTAAAGCACCTTTAAACAGTTTTCTTTTCTCCATAGTGATTTGAGAACATGGGGCTAAGGATCTTGTAAGAGAAAAATTGCACAACTATATGATAACATAAATATGTGCTAAAACATTTCAATTGCTTTAGAAGATTTATTATCTCACTGTCTCAACCTTTAGTACTATACTACATGCTTAAGTGCCCCCATTCCAACATTTCAAGACTTTTTGCACCCATCAAAAAGGTATTTTAAGTGTTGATAGAAAGTTGTGAATTCACTTTAATTGTGTTTTTCAGGCATTCCTTCTGGTCTATTTTTAGTCCTTTTATCTCCATTAGAAATTTTAATTAATTTGGATCTAAAAATAAAAGCATTCTTCAAAATAAATAAAAAACAATATCTTAAATACTGGATGTGAACAAAAAACAGAACCCTAAGACATAGAAATCAAAACAACAACAGTTCGTCAACGTCAAGTGTTTTATGATAACAGTTTTATGACATCATTGCTTAACCACAGCATGCCATGTGTCAGATAAAACTGTAGTAAAAGTGATTGATTGTTTCAGGATACATAGAATCAACAATGTATTCCCATATCAACTGAGTCATTAATAAACAGCTGAAATCTTTTGTCCCGCCCCACACACTGAACCTGCACATCGTCATTCCGACTGTTTCTCAGTTTTAAAGTGATAATAAAGACATTTATTTATTTGATTTACCTTGAACAATGCCTATCCAGAGTGATTTCTGCAAATTTGCTGCCCTATGTGTAAACTCGATTACTAAATAATCTGCAAGATAATGCAACTTTGATAAATCAATGTAAACACTGTAGGCTTTTACGTAAATAAGAAATCATTTTGATATTTATTACAGTGTAAATTTCGCTCACAGCAAAAGCCAGAAACATTTAAGTTAATACCAGGCATTCTCATACTCTCACATGTCCTTCTGATGGAAAAACTGCCATTGCATATCATCATCATGTTAAAGGCCTCGTATAAAGTTTAAGCCACTTTTACTCAATGTTATTAAAATGTGTTATGTTGAACTTAATTTAAAAATTTGGTTTTGAAGGACTTTTTGTTCAAAAATGTGAATTTATTGAGAACTAGTCACGCGTATCTTTAAATGAACAATTATATACACCAATGCATTGTCTTCAGGCAATGGTTTAAAAGATAATATATTTAATTTTACATTGAATAGTGGAATATTTAATGACAAAAATATTCAATTTTTATTTGAAATATAGCGGGAAATTTTAATATTTGACAAATAAAAAGCTAATTTTTTTTTGAAAATCTCTAAAATAACTTTAAAGTCATGAAAAATAGTAAACGTATGATAAAAACATATTTTCAAACATTACACAGGGCCTTTAAATCATTATCATGGTTTATCATCATCATGTTAAATCAAAATCATCATCATGTTATATTATCATCATCATTTTATATCATCACCATGGTATATCATAAACTAAAACCTTAAGCTCACAATTTCTTGAAAAATTATTTTACAATAACTTAATTATCCATGCCGAACAATGTTGCCATCAACAAGAAATGTTTATTTCATTAATGGGAAAATGTCAACAGACTCTGAATGTACTACTTACAACTGAGAGCCACTTAGGAGTAAAACGGAAACTCCCTAACTTTACCATGTGTACATAATATCAGTCATACCTGTCATTAGATCACAATGTCTCTTCAAAGGGGAAACCACATTCCCAGGTTCCCCTGATGAACTTATTTTAGTAATACATAAGCCATTGTATTGTCACAAGGGTACATGGGAAATAAACTCCTGTGTCATTCAGCGTATTTTACATACGAGTGAAGAATGTAGTTAATGAGCGAGATGTCATTGTCAACAAGATGAAGGCAGCCAACCATACAGTAAAACATTAATCAATAAACACTTATTATTGTACTCGTGACATTGGAAATACTGCAAACATGCACACATTGTTTGTTATTTTATAGTGCATTATCTCTGGTTAACACAGACATGTAGCTTTAGGTATGCATTACCACATTCAGACCAATTAAAATGTAGTAATGCCATGTATTATCTGATATCCTAATGCATGGCTTTTATTTTGTTAGGTTTTAGTATCCAGGCCTGCAACTGCTCTTGCAAAATATTTGCCAGAATATATATGTTTTTCTTTTCGCCATGTGTGAAAAGGATAAAAACACAATAAACTTTCCATCACATAGGATTTGGTTGCTTTACAAACTCAAGTTGAACTTTGCATACCATTCTGACACTCATTGCATCTCTGACATTCATTGTATCTCTCTCTCTCTCTCTCTCTCTCTCTCTCTCTCTCTCTCTCTCTCTCTGTTGCATCGCAGAAGGAGATAGACAGAGAGGGCGTGTTTTACCACATGTTTGCATACAATTAAACTTGATGTGTAATATTTCTTATCTAATGAATCAGGCTTAATTTTTTAGAATCGGGACAAAACTACATTTACTGCAGAGTATGATTTCATTCTTCACAACAAAGAATCTCAAGAATCCCAAAACCTATAAAAGCTTCGGAGTAAAAACATTGTTTCATTCATTAAGGCCTCCATGTAAACCAAGTTCACACATTTGATTAAACTTTTTCCCTTAAAGGCTCACTTTGTGTATTTTCAATGTTTTTGGGCAAAATAAAGACTTTTATTCGAATTTTTATAGAATGTCCAATGTATTGATAAGAACCCTATCTTTCATTTGCGTTGACACCAACAACAGCTCAAATGGACCACATCAAAGCTTACAATAATTAATCAAAAAATATTTTTGATCTGCCAAGTATATCAAGTTTTTATCAATGTGATTTTTTTTTCTTCTAAATTAAGTATAGTGGGCCTTTAAAAGGCAACATTTAGTCAGTGCCAAATAACTTTTGTTTTTGTGGAGCCCTACAAAACACATTGGAAATTGACTGCATGTATATTCACTTTTGCTACACAGAAGCTAAGAAAACTCATCGCGATAACCACGCCCCCTTTGTCTGTCTCCATCTTTCAAATGGTACAGTATATAAGAGGTAAATCAGAATGAAGAATACTGTATTCTTAAATTGTATTGTGATCATATTCGTTTTTTACAGGACCAAACTGTTGGTTAGATGGGGAGATAATTGAGGCTGGTATTAAAGTCCCTAAAGACACATGCAAGTTGTGCGAGTGTCCGGCAAGTAAAGGACCACACTGGACACATGGAAAACACAGAAGAGCTATCTGTAGCATGGATAAGTGCGACTAAGCCAACACGTGTGACTTAGCAAACACAAGTATGTAGAAGAAGCAGACATAAGAGTGACAAGACAGACATAAATGTGAAGAAGCAGAGATTAGTGTGACTTAACAGAAATAAGTGTGACATGACCTCAGAGTGCAGGATGTGAAATATGGATAAATGTGAACAAAATCAAATCAAAGATATGGTGATCGAGCCAGAAAAATATGTATTGTTAGAACATCAACTGAAACACTTGATTCTGATTCGTCAAAGAGCAGTCAATAATTTTGACTACTGACCATAATTATTTATGGATTACGTCATTTTGATGTCATAATGACGAATAATAGGGGAAAATTGGCAAAATACAATGAATATGAGTGTTTCAATTGAGCTGTAAAAGTAAGTTAGCCTGGCATAATATCCTCATTGGACTAACAAAACAATTAAGCCTTGACCTATGGATTGGAAAAACTTCTGTATATTTTAGTAAATCATGGATGGTCGATTATGCATTGAGCCATCAATATGAAATTAAACTGGCATAATGAACAAAATATGGATAAAACAGAAGCTAAAATGTACATATATTACTATTAGCTGCATAACATGAATTCATGAATATCCGTGATAAATGTGGACCTGAATATATAGAAGACACAATACATGTGTCAATCCACTCGAAGTTGAGCATTTTCAAAGTATACATTAAAAACAAGAAAAACAATTTCATTAAAATAAATCCAATAGTCATTCATTTGAAGTCTTTTCAGTAAAAGGATAGCTGACCAAACTAATTAATTGAAAACAATTTCCTGGAACAATAGCGCTCTAGCTGGATAGAATTCAACCAATCAGTGTAATATAACACTCAATGAAGAAAGATCTGACAGTAAAAAATTTAATCAGTATATTTGTTGTAACACCATCCAATTGTTTGTAATACTATCTAATACATTCTAATATTAATAACAACTTCCTCAAATTAAACGAAAAATGTGTTTCATGTTTCAACTAGGATATCCAATGTACAGTAAAATATTGAAATAAAGTTATTAATAGGGGTTTCCCCAAACTCCCATGGCAGTGTCTCTGCAGCTATCAAATAAAAATTATCCAAAATCGTGAGAAATTAGTCCATATTTCCCACTACTGACATGTTCAATTCTCGATTAAATAATGATATGTTTGTGATCTTACTTTGCTCAATCATCATTTTGTCAAAATATTTTAACAAATCGAGAACTATAAGAAATCTCTTCAGAAGGAAGTTTTGTTGATAATGGTTCACCGCACATGGGTTTACCAAATAATATGCAAAATGAAACCAATCAGGTTCACAAGATTTCCCAATGACATCAATGAATTTAGGTGAAATGTCGCATTACAGAGGAAGCTGACACAAAAGATTTGTCTGCCATAGAAACAAGTTGAAGACACACCCAAATAATTAATGAGACAAAATTGTTCCGAACGTTTCATATGATAGAAACACCAAATGTCATTATTAGAAACCATCATCCTTTTGATCTTATTTTGATATGGGTACACATTTATCTAAAAACTCACTATTTGTTCAATAGGGGTTTCAAATTAAATGATCAGTTGTTTCTGGTGAAATGCATGACTTGTAGAGACTGAAAGGTCAAATTACATTACATTCACCATTTACTTATGGCATACCATAAAACAGAGAGCTTTTTACAAAGGCGTATGGTAAAAATGTATATTTAACTCCAGTTAAATAAATATTATATAGGAGTTAAATATACATTTTTACGATACAATCATTTTATTTTTACGATACAATCATTTGTAAAAAGCTCTCTGTGGAAATAACAAGGCTTGATTTAAGGACGTAAAATCCAAAATGGCCACCTTAACATTTACCAAGAAAAATTAATCATTTCAAGATTTGCATACAAAAAATCATCCCTGATTATTTGACATAGATCCATCAAATGGTTCACCTGGAAACATATAGACAAGACTGACTTTCCAATCAAGATTTTAGGATGGAAAATTCAAAAATGGCCAACATCAATAAACAACAACTGTGAAGCAGTTTTTTAAAGGACAAGGATTTTAGTATTTGACTTCAAAATGGCCACATTTGTATGCACCCAAAACACTGGCAGATTAGGGGGGGGGGGGGCTAAGAAGGGTCCAAAAGCAAATTTTAGCCCAAAAAATTGGGACCATCACTGATCCTTTTTGGCCCTTTCATAAATGGCTTTTCTCAAAATTTGAGCTCTATTTGTTGGTTTTTGGGGCCCAATAATTTTTCCAATCTTCAAATTTGAAAGGACCTCCCCTTGTTAATTTCCAGATCTGCCCCCCTGCAAATATCCCAGAACATTTGAAGTTGACACCTGAAGCGGTTTTGGAGAAAATAACAATATGACCCCACACTATATGTTGGGGACATAATAAAAGCATCTTTTGGTATAAAAATAATCACATATATTATGACTTTTCAAAGCATAAGTGAGAACATACAATATAAAATAGCATGTTGTATGTATTAAAGCAGATGTGGCTTAAGGATAGTGTAAAAATGCTAATGTCGTCAAATTACAAAGTTATTTTTCTTACGGAAGGTGGAGTTACAATATTGATTTTTGAACAATTCATTTTCAAATTGTATAACATGTTGTGAGGGGGGGGCAGTTCAATAATAATGAGATTAACTTTTTTTATTTTTAACTTTTAACAATTGGACACCATCACTTACTGTACTTATGTGATACATTGGAGTCTCATCAAGTCAAAATGAGTTTTTAACAAAATTTAATATTGATCAACATGTTGTTTTGTCAATTATTACATGAGTTTGAAATGAAAGACATCAGTTTAATTTGATGAGAGCCCTTGACACATGATCATAAAGGCAAAGAACACATAAAGGCAATCTGAATTGCCAAATACATAATGTATAAGCACAGTAATACAATGAATAGTAAATAAATATTTCAGAATATTTGAAAAATTAATATTCAGGTATCAGTTTCTCCAAAATATCATATACAAATTGCATTCATAATTATGCCGAAGAAATACCTCTGAAAGGATTTCGTGATTTCTATTCAACATGTTTTTTTCGCCTCTTGGCTAAGTAGTCTATAGGATAACATGCAAGCCCTTCTACAAGACCGTGCCATAATCTAAAGGGGCCAGGGTTAGTATAGCGAAATTCATGAAATTACATGATTATAAATCATAATGGTATCTATGACTTGCACAAAAGTCTAGCTACAAGCCTTTGTGCCACCCCCCCCCCTCATTGGACACCTCCCTGTGTGAGAACTGTTCATGCCTGTGTAGTCAAGTAGTGGGAGGGGGTCACAGGGGCATGTAGCTAGACTTATACAAGTAGATATCATATACCAAACAAACAAAAAACCTTTGAGACACTGTTTGAAGTTGAGGAGGAAAATGGCTTTCCAGTGATCATTTCATGAGGAACTTATCACAAAGCATTAAAATGAAAAAATGGCACCACATTCCATGCCATTTATAACAGAGGCCAAACACTGACCGTGACCCACTGAATGCCAAATGCCAACCCCCGAACACTGACCACCAAATACCATCCACAAAAATTTTGCAGATTATATGAATATGTAATCACTTGCAGTGGTAACAATATGTCAACACTTATGGTGGTGACATTAAAGGATGGTGTCAACTCATCACTAACTAGTGAGATTATGCACAAGTTGCACAATGTACAGAGAGTTAAAGGTGCAATAATTAGTGCAGGGGGGCCATTAAACATATTTCAGTTTGGATATTTCATCAAGACTAACATATATTTTTATTGTCTACAAAGAAACCCCTGGATGAACATTATTTCAGCTGATATTCCCCTTGAAACGTGGTGAATCTTAAAAATCTATAAGTGGGACTCCCTTTATAGAAGCTTAGTACCAAATTTACACTTCTTAATGCTGAACTTGAGAGTTTATCCATACATTTGAAGAAAATGGGTATGTCAAAGAAGATGTTCAGCCAAATATTGACCTGATAGCTCAGAAAAAATCAAAAAAATCGAATTTTCTCTCTACAGTCCCTGTGTCCCTTTAACTATGAGGCAAAGTTAACTGTCAGATGTCCAAAGACAAATGGTCAGACGTGATGATGCATACAATAAAAAATCAAACTCTATGTTAACACCTTGCACTACAATACAGTTGCTTGTTTTTTACAGAGATATAAAATGTGTCTCTGTTTTTCATTGTTATTGAAGTAAAATTAAAACAAAAAATTCCAATGTTGGAAATTGTCTCTAGTTTATGTGTGCTAAATTTAATAACAAATAGTTTAGGGTAAAGTGTTCAAATCACGGGTCAAAGTTATTATCAAGAGCTTGTGTGGGGTACTATATTAACACTTTCTTGAATTTCATTTGATACACCATTCAGTATACCAATGCAGATCATGCATATACCATTTCAGAAAACATGAAGTTTGGCTTTGAATTTTACATTTGATCAGGATCATTTTGAGAATGATACATTGCGACAATGCTTGTTATGACACCCTTTTGAGACACATGTAGGCATGATAAGCAAATTCAACTACACAATAATTCATTTTTTAATGCCACACTTCTACTAATCATTGAGAAAAAGTTTTCAATTAAGGTAAATAATGAGCAATAGTATCCCCTTGTGTGAAATTAAGCTCTTGTAATGTCTCGCAGAACAATTTTCAGGTGTCTGGTTGCAATATAATAGTTGGTCTAATGATGATACATTTCAAGTTACAAAGCAATTATGGGATAAAATCCACAAACTTTGCTTTCATTCATTACTCTCAATGGGTTCAAAATTTATATGTGTGGGATTTCTAATGAAATAGCCCATGCCCTGTGTAAGTCATGTAATTCTTTAAGGAGCATATCATTAGATCAATGTATGATTACTAAGTCTGTCTGCTGACTTATTTAATTTGGAACTCCCCTTTTCCCCTATGCGTAACTCCCCTTTTCCCCTATAAAAACTATATGTATTTGGAAAATGTTGATAATATAGATGCCTTCCATAGTCATTCTTTTTTTTGTCTGGCTAATTTGTTAAAGGTTCTTATAAATTGTTGGTATTTAGAGATTCATATTATTAATAGGCTTCAAAGAGGTAATTTGAAACTTGACTGGAAAAATATTTTTTGAATTTTTCTAAATCAGCAAGACATTACAGAAATGGAAACTACCATATAAAATGAAATGTGCACAAAGCATATGTTTACACTTTGTAACAGTGTTGCTCTTTGCCACAAATATGAACAATGTTGCTCTTTGCCACACATGTTAACACTTTGCAACTGTGTTGCTCTTTGCCACAAATATGAACAATGTTGCTCTTTGCCTGCTACATATGTTAACACTTTGTAACAGTGTTAATCTTTGCCACAAATATGAACAATGTTGCTCTTTGCCTTGCTACACATGTTAACACTTTGTAACAGTGTTGCTCTTTGCCACAAATATGAACAATGTTGCTCTTTGCCTTGCTACACATGTTAACACTGTAACAGTGTTGCTCTTTGCCACAAATATGAACAATGTTGCTATTTGCCTTGCCACACATGTTAACACTTTGTAACAGTGTTGCTCTTTGCCACAAATATGAACAATGTTGCTCTTTGCCTTGCTACACATGTTAACACTTTGTAACAGTGTTGCTCTTTGCCACAAATATGAACAATGTTGCTCTTTGCCTTGCTACACATGTAAACACTGTAACAGTGTTGCTCTTTGCCACAAATATGAACAATGTTGCTCTTTGCCTTGCCACATATGTTTACACTTTGTAACAGTGTTGCTCTTTGCCACAAATATGAACAATGTTGCTATTTGCTTTGCTACACATGTTAACACTTTGTAACAGTGTTGCTCTTTGCCACAAATATGAACAATGTTGCTCTTTGCCTGCTACACATGTTAACACTTTGCAACAGTGTTGCTCTTTGCCACAAATATGAACAATGTTGCTCTTTGCCTTGCTACACATGTTAACACTTTGTAACAGTGTTGCTCTTTGCCACAAATATGAACAATGTTGCTCTTTGCCTTGCTACACATGTTAACACTTTGTAACAGTGTTGCTCTTTGCCACAAATATGAACAATGTTGCTATTTGCCTTGCTACACATGTTAACAATTTGCAACATTGTTGCTCTTTGACACAAATATGAGCAATGTTGCTCTTTGCCTGCTGAACATGTTAACACTTTGCAACAGTGTTGCTCTTTGCCACAAATATGAACAATGTTGCTCTTTGCCTTGTCACTTATATTTGCACTTTGTAATAGTGTTGCTCTTTGCCACAAATCTGAACAATGTTACTCTTTGCCACACATGTTAACATTTTGCTACAGTGTTACTCTTAGTCACTGAAAGTAATGTTGGTGTTTGTATTTCTGATACAAATGTTTAAACTTTATAAGTGTTGCGCTAAGCCACTTCCTTCACTGTTGCTCTTTCCTACTGTACTTATATATGCAACACTTCACCACACAAATTTCGTGATTCATGATGAATATATATTACACTTTGCCATATAAAAAATATGCATTTGCTCATATACTTATGCATGCCTTTGAGATATTATAAGCATTAAATTTTCATTTCGATTCTAAAAGTGTCATTTAAAACAATATGGTAATAAATATTTTGTATGCTTTATGAAGATTAATGAAATAAACATAAATAACATAAAATAATTCTCTTGACACTGGAACATAAAATGGAAATTCATTGCTACAGATGACATATTGATTACATATAGAACATATTACACTGTATTACTTGGCAAAATATGAAGCCTTGAAGTAGCTCCTTAAACCTTGGATATCATATCATAAAACACATGTTCAGAACAGTAAAACCTGTCTCGGGATAAGCAACCCTTCAATTTCAAGTTTTTTAACAATATAATCAATAGGCGATTACAAAATTGTGAAATGTCTTCACATAAAAAGGTGTTCAAACTTACAAGTTTTACTGACCTAGAGATAATGGAATTACATGTAGGTTACTCATTATGACATACAGTGAAACCTGCATACATGAATACCTCTCTAAATCTAAACACCTCTCAATGTTAACACCTTTTTTGGTCCAAAATGTGGTCCATTAACTTGAATGTCTATGAAAGCTTGAAATATGAACACCAGCTAAAACAAATGGTTTTGGCTGGTCCCAGAGGGATACAGATTAGACAGGTTTTACTGTAACAGCAATGAGCCTGTGAAAACAGAAGTAAATACATTTCATTAAGATAGTACAACTACAATTCTAATTGGAAATTCAATCAATTTGATGAAGCATATATAAAATATTAATTTGTAAAGATTATAAAATTTGTACACATTGGCATAATACATGTAAGGCACTTTACAGTTATTGTTTGATGTACACTATATAACAACATATACATACAGGGTGAGTCGAGAAAATGTTACCTTTTACATTGTTAGTAATGTTAAACATTATAGAATTCTACATTTTTATGGCACTTTTCACCCACCCTGTATAGCACCAATCATATTCATTTTAATGAAGCCCTTATACAGTAAAACAACACCTGTATTTAGTGAACTCTACTACAGTGAACACTTTTCATGGTTTCATGGGTGTTCGCTATATACAGGTTCTACCGTACTTGTACATAAGAGGCTCTTTATGCTGGAATGCTTATAAGACCTAAAGTAATAGTCTTGCATCAAGAGAACAGTCTGTTCTAGAGGACACAGGAAAAAATTATTAAGAGAACAATCGGATTCCAATTTATAAAAGCTAGAATGCAACGACATTCAAAATAAAGTTCTGTTTCTCCGTGTTCTAGAGGACACAGGAGCTTAATGCAAAACTATTAAGAGAAGAATCAATTCCAATTTATAAAAGCTAGAATGCAACAACATTCAAAATAAGTTTCTCATACTGCCATCTATTGGGGATTAAAGAACAAAAAGCTATTATATTGTTCTCTTACCAGATCTTTTTGTTCCATACTGAATTTTACTAACAGTATATTTAATATACTTGTTAGGCCAGAGTAGGTTTAAAATCAAAGTGATTAATAAGTAATTAAAATTGAGTGATTAATAAATAAATAAAATTCATTTCAAACTGGCTCATCAATCTTCGTAATATGCAATGCAAACAAAAGTATGCAATGCACTCATTCAATTCAACAACACAAAGGTCACAGACACAGATTCAATTACTTTCCAAATATCCAAACAATGCTATAACCTTGAATGCTATATCAAGTCTCTATAAAGATACAATTAAGATCCTAAGATGTGCAACTTAAGCCATGCTGTATGTTGACCTTGGTTGAGTCATACTTGAGCAGAATCCAGCAAATTTGATTTGCGTCATCAGTTTATAGATTCTCATAATCTTACGCACAGAGTTGTATCATTAGGTGTATTCTATTGCATTGTGTTATAGTTCAGTTTTGTTTTCCGTTATTTTGTTTTTCTTTGCTTTTTGCTGATCAACATCTCCATGGTCTCCCTTACGACTATCTGTAATATGGCATTTGTTGAAACATTTTAACATGTTTATGAAAATCGTTTTTGTTCAATTTAGAAATATATATATATCCAGGACATCATATTCATCATGGTAATTAATATTCACAATAAATAACTAAAACTGACACATTTTAATTGTGTTTAAATTGGTAAAATTGTAATAAATCATGCAAAGATTTCTAGGTTTACAATATTTGATTAAGTTCAGCTTTTTACCATTCTTGTTCTTTTTACTTTTCTTCTTTTTGGGTTTATCTTCATCTTCATCATTTTCTTTAGGAACAAAAGTCTCCTTCAAACAATCTGGAAATAGGGATACAAAGTGTCTTCAACACCAGCTCATTTTTACTTAAGCAGAGAATGGAGAGTGCAATACCAGTTACATTTTTTACCCCAAAACAGAGTTTCCATTACAATCCTAATTTTATCATCTGAATGATGTGTATTGGACTTTTTGGCATGAAGAAAATGTTGTCAGCAAAGAAATAGTAGTATTCTTACATTTCTTTTAAAATGTAATATTTATCTCATCTTAACTAGTTGTACCTATACATTTCTATACTATGTTTTCAATATTTATGGACTTTGGGATATGGCTGATACTTTCCAGTACCTGCGTTATATCCTACAAGGAACCTATCTTCACAGAGATATTTCATGAGAGGCTCATCCTGATGGTGGAAGTACCAGTCTTCTATAGTCTCTTCTAGCTCCTCAGCTACTGTGAAACACTACAATGGAAAAACATTCTTGATACAATCAAATGCTTTTTGCACACATAACATTATATTACTTAAATGTAGTATCAGATTTGGCAAGCAACCTAAACAAAAATTGTTTCAATTTTAAAATATTTTTTGTTCATATCATCCTTGTCACGATCTACTGTATTTTCGAAAAATCCACAAAGTGCATACTTTATTTCATGAAAACTAAAGATTTTTACAATAATGTACACATATTATTTCTCTATAAAGCAGTCACATTTATTATTTGGGAGAATTTAAACATTTTCCCCATGTTTGCACTTTGAATCTTAAACAACTTCACCAATTTATAACATATTGCAGATCTTTTGGGAGATATAATATTTGAGATTATAAGGAATATATTGTAAGTCAATTGTAGATGTTGCTTGGAATTTTGTAAATCACGACAGATCTCATTCTGTCTTTAAAATCTTGTGGGTATATACCTCTACACCACGGCTATCTACTACACATACTATTATGAAATATGTGAAAACTACAACTTGTACATACATGTATTTGAATGTTTTTTGAGGTTATAAATACACAGTATAAATCATATCAACTTACATGACGTTGCATAATCGTGACCTCTGCGGATGGGGTATCCCATAGTTCTTCAGGTATACCTAGCTCCACCTTTACACCTTTGTTTCTGTTAATTTAGAGAAATCATATCTCAAATTATTCAATAAATAATAGGTAATACAATACAATAAATAGTAATAACAGTAATAATACAATATTTATTGTTTTATTCTTCATTACTGCAAACCAAAATGAAATAAAACTTTGCAACTTTGGGTTGGTTGGATTGAAAAAATAAAAATTGCTCTTCCTACGTCACGCGGTCCTAACTTTGACCGTTAATTTGAATTTTTGACCTACCAGATGTTTGAAAATCAAGGATTACGAGACTCATACTGCACCGTTTTTTTTCAAACTTGTTCCATTCAAAGCATAACAAAAATCCCTTTCTGATGGTACATTATTCTCTTAAACAGAGTCCCTACTTCAAGCGGCATTTTGGTCCCCAGCTGGAAGAAGGCCTTCTAACAGCTGGGGACCAAAACGCTGCTAGAACGAGGGACTCTTTACAATAAAGTAATGCACCGACAGAAAGGCAAATTTGTATTGCCTTTAATGGTTAACGTATAAGTTTGAAGAAAAACGGTTCAGTATGAGACTCGCAATCCTTGATTTATTTCGAGCATCTGGTAGGTCAAAAATTCAAATTAACGGTCGAAGTTATGACCGTGTGTACGTAACTTTCAACTTCCAATCATAAGGAGGTCTTTGGCTGGCATAGTAACCTCGTGAATAGGGAAAATACTGAAAAGATTGGGCCTTTTAAAAGATGGCCTTTAAACAGACATAATACCAATGCATCAGGACAATCTTCAAATAAGATTTCTACTTGGAGAAACTGAAAAATTGTACATACTTTAATCCATGTAAAGTCTGCATTGTCTCACTCATTCCTTTAGAGTACCTCAGACTGCCCTCTCTCTCAGCATGTACATTGTACTCCAGTATCTTGTTACATATATGGGGCTCCTGCAAAGCTTCTATCAGCCTCAGCTCTCTGCAAATACATTTGAGCTTCTAATTATTACCATTCAATATGCGATCACTGTGTTAACTTATTTTGATATGAGGTGTATTATCCTCAGATCCATATGATAATTCTTTGTAAGAGATCTCTAAGGTTCATATTTGATGAGATCATGTTCTTACAGATCTATATCAGGACATTATTTCCACTTCTATTTTGTATTCATATTTACAGAATAGAATGTTGATTTAAATTTCAGAAAGAAGTCATAGTAGAACGCAATCCTCATTCCTCCATAAAAGCATGAATAGACAAGTTGTGAAATAACATAAAATATCATGATTTTTTCTTTGCAATTAGCTTGCAAGATGATTTTCAATTATGACGGGAAACACAGAATTTGAGACTATTAGACTTATTTTATAATTACAATAGGTACAGGACATATGTGCAAAGATAAAATAACAGTAACACAATCAACTCAACTAGCGTTCAAAATCAGATTTTAATCTGTGAAACTAATAGAATAAATTCTACCTTTATGCTTTTTGCATTGGCAGACTTGTCAATTATGTATTGTTAATATGAATCATCGCCAATGATTCATTCATAGTTGAACATAGGTATGTCATGCTGAATTTTAATTACCCTTTATCAACATGAATATAAGCGCAAAATGTTGACCTGGTGAACGAAAAGTAAAAGCATTTTTAGGGAAAACTGCAAATTACCTACAGCCGGAACCTCTTTAAATTCGCTAAAACACAACTTTTAATAAGAATAATCATATTTCAACAACAAGTCAAAACTTGCTGAAAAAAACACTGAATAGAAATTGAGATATTGTCATTGTATTGATATAAACAAATAAAAATAATGGTGCCAAAAGAAGCCTATCACACCCTGACTGATGAAACTTCATCCAGCCACCAAAATCAAAATCAAATAACTTTGTTATTACATAGAACTATTTTATTTAACATTAATCTTCATAAATCGATTACTATTTTTGTGTTTTTGTGAAATGTTTACTTTTCATGACAATTGATTTTGGAAATTTATTTTTCTTAAAAATTTGAGAGTATGCTAATGCACATTTGGCCTGCATGTAACTACTCGTATATGCCACTGATATGGCTGGATCATCGTACATTCACAATAAAATAATGCAGACTTACGCAGTGTTGTACTTAAATCTTTTCTTTTTCTCCAATCCATGACCAGTTTCTATAACTTCTTTATTCTTCCCTGTCTCATCTAAGCGTAACATCAGTTCAGTAGCCAGATACTTGCAAACTGTAAAATATCAAAAACCTAGACGTTGTACAATTATGGATTGGGATGTGCATTGCTTCCTGCGAAAGCTATGTGGATTTTGATATAATAGCTTTCCCATGGCGCACTTGGACAGCTGAATAATAGTGACCTTTGAAACATGAATAATGAGATTCGCGGCTTACTTTTGGTCTCTAACTGTGTCTTACATCAGTATCCTCAATCCATGCAAGTATTGGAGCGCTAAGATACCTCTTTTTCAATCAAGACTTGTAAATTATTCATCGAGTGAATGTTTTTTCGACCCATTTCCAATATGGCGGTTTGCTTGAATTTTGAGAATGAGTTAGGTTCGGACAACCTCCGGAGATTTACAAAAATGTACGAGCAGAAAATGCCATATTGGAATTTGGCAGAAAAACATTCACTCGACTAACAATTACAAGTCTTGATCGAAAAGGAAGTACTTCAGCGCTCCAATACTTGCACAGAAGGATGATAATGATGTATGACATAGTTAGAAAACAAAAGTAAGCCAAGGATCAACTTAATTCGTGTTTCAAAGGTCACTATTATTCAGCTGTCCATTTTTCCGTTGGAGAGCCAAGTTTCAGAATCTAACATTGCTCTCGAAGTGAGTAAGACTAGGCAACTTTTTGACTTGGAGATCTCGACTATGACTTAAGAGGAGTTTGCTGCATCTTGTGTTTAAGGTACAGCTGGAAAATAACATTTTGGTAAAAAATTGTTATACCTGCACATGTTATTTTCCGCTACAAAATAAAGTATGAAGGCATGTGTCAATTTCCTTGCTTTTTTCAGGAAAGTATCATTACGTTGTCTGAGTTCAATGGGAACTCCAGGAAATTCTGATATTTCACACTTTCTATTTTTCCAAATTTTCTTTCGAAGTTTCCAGACAACACAGGAGCTACCATTGACCTGTTTCCAGGTTTACTAAAAGTAGACAGTGTAATGATACTTTCCTAAAAAAAGCAAGGAAATACACACATGCCTTCATAGTTAATTTTGTACCAGAAAATAACATGTGCAGGTATGGCAATTTTTTACCAAAATGTTACTTTCCAGCTGAACCTCAACATTTCTTGGCGATCTATAAATAGATATGAGGTCATGTCCATGAACGAAGTTTTGGCCCATAAAGGTAAGAAATTTGTGCTTCAGGCTCAACATCTGCGATTTACAAGCGATTGGGTGTGGAATTTTTAAATAATTTCATGATTTTTTCAATCTTACCTTCACATCTCGAAGGCTGACGTTTTGAAGGGTCTGCTTCTGCTACATCTGTATCTTCTAAACCATGGACTTCGATAAATAAGACGCTGATTATCACTGTAACAAGCACCGCATTCATTTTGTATATTCAACCGCCAAATGACGGAGAAACTTGGCGAAATTAAACCAGGAAAAGCCGGCGACCAGGAAAATGTGTTTACTTATACGGAGCCAAGTTTGACACGCCAAATGCAAGTTTATTTCTTCTTTTTATTTGTGCCTATTTGTTGTTAGTTACACATCTTTGCCATCGGAATTGCAGTCGTCCCTTTCAACTATCAATATTTTCTACTTTGTGGAATTTACTATTTCACAACAGAATGTGACATCCATCTGTCAAATAAGACACTTATCATTCTGATTTAGCCTATGTGGCTGCTCAAACAAATGGTGACGTCACTTTTAAGGTACATGTGTACACAGATGATTGCAAGAGTGCTGGGCCGACAATTTACGGCAGGCAGGGGGTCTTGGCCCCGGGTCTTGGCTTTTGACGGGCTCGATTCACGTATATAATTTAAATCAATTATAATTTAATTCACTATGCAGATATAAGTAAACCATGGTAAAACAAAAGGATAAATGGACAGTCTTGACTTCAAAGTAAAGCAAATGGATAGTTATAATTGAAGTTTACGTAAACAAATGGACAGTCTATATATTGTAACATGCATGGGCTGATGATTCATGTGAAATATTGAAGTGTAGGAGGGCAGTCTATACTCACGTATGTAAACTGAAGTAGGCTATACGTGAAACAAATGGACACATATAATTGAAGTGTACGTAATAGTCTGCATTTAGTTTGTCGATTCACGTATACAATTGAAGTATACGTAAAACAAACGGACAGTCTGTAAGCTTACTATTCATGTGTATAATTGTACGTAAACAACTGGACAGTCTTTATTCATATGTACTAGTAATTGAAGTGTACGTAAAACAAATGAACAGTCTGTATATACTCTAGTTATTGAATAATATAAGTAAATCACTACTTTATTCAAGTTTATAATTAATGTGTACGTACAAATTGACAGTCTGTATTCAACGTACAATTGAAGAGTATGTAAAGCAATTTGACAGTCTGTATTCACGTATATGACGGCATATAGAAATCGGCAACTCCACGGAGTAGCGAATCCCAAAGAATAAGATATCAATTACCAAAATACTCATTACTTTGGTTAAAAAAGTAGTTGTTTTTATGTTAAAATAACAAATTGATTTTGTTTTGCAATATTTCGATTTATTCTGTAAATCTTTTTCAACCAACTCATGTTAAAATGGAGTTGCTTGAAAAAGATTTACAGAATAAATCGAAATATTGCAAAACAAAACCAATTTGTTACTTTGGTTAAAAATGAAAAATTTAGATTTTAGCCTTGCGAATTCCTGCAAGGCAGACATTTTGAAATGTCTGAGGCACACACTGAAAAACAGTACTAATCTAATCTAAAATGTATTCAATTTGAGTATATAAATATTATTGCGAAATCCCAAATTAGGTGGCACTTTTAAATTTTACGAGGCCCAGTCAGGAAAAAAGATACAATATTCTGATTTGCAATCTACTCAAAATTGCCTTTCATTTGAGTATAATAAAGCTATACTTCAGAAACAGCTCAAAATTAACGCAAATTCCTGCTTTCCCGACCTCCCATACACTGCTAGGTAGCCATTTTAATTTTTCTGAGGCACATATCAGAAAAACAATACCGTAATATTAATCTACTCGTACGCAGAACAACAGGATTCATAATTATTCAAAGTTCATCCCGAGTTTATTACTGGCTTTACAGTACCTGAGTAATAGTAACGATATTCATTTGATTAATATAATACTATACTATTGAAAATAGACTTTCTATAACAGTCTTGCTACAGAAGAGTACTCAGAAGCCGTGTAGTAGTTGATTTGTTAGTTACAAAGGGATGTACAAATCAACATTAATTTGCAGTGCAGCGACAGCTACCACAATATACAGATTTTCCAATCAATTGTCATATCTGCCATGAAAAGTCACGATGCAGTTGGGGATACAGTCTGGATAATAGCAGGTTATATATAGTGTTTAAGCATAAAATAATTTCCTTCCGAGGTGATGTCGAAACTGCGCCTAGGATCAAGCAAGAGCGGAAAAGTGCATGAAAAGCCAGGGAACAGGGCCGATCCGTGGAGTGGCGTCCTGTCTGGTCAAAGCAGTGGAGATCTACCGCCTCTCCCTATCAATAATGTCAGGATATATTTAGCTGCCACAGGTAAGACACGTTATTGTCAACATGTTGGGTGTAGTCATTGGAATATTCAATCTGGATCATGTTGCATTTTCAAGCTAATGTTTAGCGTCATGCTCTGGAAGCAATTCGTAATTAGGGAGGTTAGATACACGTTTTTTTTTAAAAACTTGTACGTGAACGTGTAGAATTATGGTCCTCTATGGATGATTTGTAGTGTTTACTTGGCCGATTGAGTATAAAGGTATCTACGTAAAATAATTGTAATTAGGTCCCTGGAAAAGTGAATTGAGAGCGGACAGGGTAATCCACGGGGGGTCCAAATAGTACACGCTCGCACACAGGTTCTCTTAAAAAACGTGTAACTTAACCTCCCTATTGATATATTAGTTTTGCGTACGTAACTTTATATTTGCCGAAATTGTCCTCTATAAAACGTATGAAGCATCCTCTGAACGAAATTGCGACCAGAGTCGGATAAAACAATATTCTGTTTTGGTATGTTTAAAAACAACGATAGCCTACATAGGTTAAATCTCTATCTTGTTCACCATGCAGATATTCCTGTTAATACCATGGTAATACAATATATACAATATTACTAATACATCAGCTATAATGTTTGTGACATGTGTTTAATGGGATATACCCGTATTGATCGTGGTTTCCTATATCCATGCCTTGCAAAGATGCAAAATTACGGTTACACGATCCGGATGCTCATTACATAGTTTATGATCACCCTATATAAATAAACAGATTTACGTACATTTATATCATCTTGATCGCCGTGAGCTTGTTTTTCGACAACGTGACATTCATTCTTAACCAAATGTCTGCTGAAATGATAGAGACTTTAAGCTTGCATATAAAATCGAAACGGCAACCTATACGTGTAAATCGCCCATTTACAAATGCATGTAGTTTTCTCAATCGTTCAGTTACAGTGTCTACTTAGAATATTCCGCAGCGTGTAATATGCCATTGACAGTTCTATTCAGCTACATATTTTGAACAAGCTCGTTTCGTAAGATTTGGAGCTATGAATGACATACAGTATATCATTTTCTTCAGAAAGCATTATACTGTGCATCAAAATCAAAATTGCCAGCATAGTATTCAATAGACATGAGAATAATGATGGTTTATATCGTTATGACAGCTAAATGCTGTTACAGCTGTTCAGCCTAGCGCAATGGAATTTATTCAAGCTGAAATTGTTGATCATTTGCAATAAAAATAAGTGATATTGATTTTATTTCAATCTACCTGGTATACAACAGTATAATGTATAATCATACACTGTTATCAACCCCGTAGCCAGGATTTACCTTTGGGTGGTTTTACCACGGGATAGTTTTTGCCAAGGGGGGAGCTTTTTGACTGTTTTTGGCAAATACATCATGCGAAAAGTGCTCAGAATGGTGAAAAACTGCATGATTTTGAAATAATTTCTGGCCAGGGAGGGTGGCTGCTCCCCCTGGCTACGGGCCTGGTTTTGAATCACTTAAGGGTGAGGGATCAAACCCATAGATTACAGCACATACGATCTATATTTGAAGAGTTACCATTGGTTTATCCTTCGTGCTATGTAAATATAATGAAGTATTGCCTTAGAAGTGGGTAATATTTAAACTAACGTTAGGTTGATAAAGCACTCAGCGTTGCATCTCTTCTGATTGATTGGAAAAACGTACCCTATGTAAATGCAGAGATTGCTTGGAGTGGTCCTAACATCATACCTGGTACATTCATGTATGATACCTTAGCAATATGAAACACTGAAGGTGATAACCTTCAACCGTGTCTACAAGTTATTACTTTGTCCTAATGGACTTATCGTAACAGCAAGTTATGTATACGAGGTGGGGCAGAAAATTAAATACTCACATTAGACCTGGGGGTTGATCGATGTCAAATAAGGAAAATAATATTTCTTGCATATTTGGCAGAGTATGCACCTCTAGAATTAGTGAGAATTGCAGCAGGTGGAGCTTTTTGGGCGTTATCACATTCTCTTCAAAATTGTCGTTTAAGATGCTTGTTACTTATTTCAAAATGGGATTGACACCATACATAATTCTAGTTGTAATGTACAGGGTGGTACAATATTATCTCATAACGCCGGTAAAAAGTGAGATCTAGCTTGTTGCAAGGGTTCACATTTTTGGACCACCCTGTAACCTGTATATATTTCACATAAATATCAATACAAAGAAACCGTACAACTGTATATGTATTTAAGGATTCAGCGAGGAAAAACAAAAAATCTGGGAGGACACACTGCCGGAAGTCCAAGACCATTTCCTGCAACAAGGAGTGAATATAATCCTTATTGATCCCAATTGTGACCCAACCAATGACCATACTGTCGATGCAATCGCTCTTGAAAGACACGTGGCGGAGCTTCGAGTGCCAGAGACAGTAAACACCACTGCTACTGTAGTTTTGGTATGCTTGCATTTCAAATACACTTATAATTCCATATTGACCATCTTGTTACGGTAATTTTCATTAGGTATATTTACTGTCACAGGACTGTGACTTTTTCCTTGAATCATTTTTTTCAATCACTATAAACTCATCTCTATTGCTTAATTAAGTAAATCTTTTTCAAATAAGGGGTAGATAAAGCAGACTAATTATAAAATGATATAATGCACCAAAAATAGTAAACTGTAAACACCTATGTGTGTCAGCTAGCAAAATTCATGACGTCCTTTTATGATAAAAGTCACATTATAATTTATGATTTTGTAGTCGGGCTGTGATTTGTTCTGGGTTTGAGATCGTTTAAATTACCGCCTGGACCTTGGTGGATTTACACTTACACGCCCACCATGCAGGGTCCGATTTTCTTAAATTTTCGGTGGCATTATACTCGGTGGGGATATCAACGTATCGCATTTCCGACATTTGAAAAGGTCATTTATCCTAAACAGTCCTGAAGTAAGATTTAAATTAGGATTTCAGATTCGGATTTCTGTGAAAATTTTCATTGATTTGATACCAATATCATTGAACTTAGAGAAGTTTTTTGTTGACCTACTTTCTGGACACGGATCTCAAAACTGTGTCAAAATACCTTCTGACGGCAAAAAGCTAACACTATATCCAATAATTGGCTACATGTTTGCTAAATTCTAAAGAAAACTACCGAGATGTTGTCAATGATAGCAACAATAAGGAAAACAGGTTTGATCTTGGCAATTGAGTGTCCAACTGTTGAATTAAGTTAGCATAAGATATCCTCTTCTTCTGTAGGCTATCAGTAATTTCGTTTGAATCGAATCTGTATCTGGTATTTTCGATTCAAATTTACCATCGTTTAGATACCCCAAACGTTGAATTATTTGTTTTTTGCTGTTGCTGATAATTAATTATAGCCCTACAGGGTGTGGTGGGTAGTGGAAATCCATCTAGGGCCAGGCGGCAAATTAAACAATCCCTCTGGGTTTACACTTGTCTTGCTCAAAGACTGTGTACACTGTGTTGATCCGGGGGGGGGGGGTCAAGGGTCTTAAGCATTACACATTATCCACCGTCCAAGATTGAGAGATTTCCGTTAATTCGACGGGTTCGGGGATAAAGCTTGCCTTCCCGTGGAATTCTGTTCAAAATAATTCTAACTATTGACCAGCGGCTTTAAGATTGTATTTTTGTCATCTTTGTCAAATCAGCTTTATCCCCTAATGCCAATGTCATCTTATGATGCTCATGTCCAATTTGAGCTTTCCCACTAGACCAAACTAAAACAAAACCATATATTTAAAGGGACTGGTGGGAAACAAATATGGTCAAGTTCCGTTGCCAACAAATCTAGAAGAGGACGAATTAGCGCAGATTAAACGAGTAACATTAGATGCTGGAAAAGGTATGTATCTTCGATTTGGTAATTTTACAAATACAGGATTGAAAGATCTTATGAGGGAGAACGGTTCATTAAAAGTGTCTGTGTAAAAAGCGTTCATTACTTATTGATCACCCCTCGTAGATGTAATAATTAATGGTAGGTGAACTAATATTGACACATGCCATAAAATGACTATAGTAGAATGCACACGCCGCTACCTAGGATGAAGTCTACATCCTAGACGGTACGTAATCAGTGTCCAGCATTGTTCATCGGTGTCCGTTTCGTACGAAGCTTTTACGCTGAGTTCATTGACCCACTGATGAATCACACAAGGGAGCTTATAATTAGAGACAACAAACGTAATTTCTAGTTAATCGATGCAAATCAAACATTTCATTCTCTTCACAAATAAAAATTTTAAAAAAACTGTCAAAATAAATGTGTGTACGAGAAGATAGGTTTTGCGCTCTATTTTACATGTCTCTGCTTCAAATAATATTGACCCCTGGAGATCTAGACATAAAACTACGTTTGCTGATTTGGACAGTGCAGTCAGTACAGTCATCTTGGATCACCAAGATATAGAGTTTTCATACATTGATTGAAAATCAAACTTGAAAACGAGTATCCAGTGCAGGTGGTCATCACAAAACGTTCATTGTTGAGAAGAAATGACTTGTAAATATGCAATTTTATTTATTTGGTCAAGGTTGAATGCCAAACAAAAATCAAAGCAGTCAATGAGAGACTAAAACGTCAACGTTAGAACACCAACAAATGGCACTGATACGGCAGATATTAAAACAAATGGTTTGGAAAAGAAATATCATTGATCCTCAGCTAATTAAGACGGAGAAATATAACTTAACTGTCAACTTAACCAGCTTCAATAAAAAAACATACGTCTCTATTGATAATTAGCCAGGAAATCTATTTGTAGCGTCTATTGTTCATAAGTACAGAATTTCAAATAGAAATCCACTATCTTCACAAAAGGAACTCTATTTGCACTTCTTGATTAAACAGTACAGCTATTATCTAAATCAATGACGCATTATCTTATATATATTTATATCCGACGTGCGTTATGGTGTTTACAATAAGTAAATGTTAGTGCTAATGTAATCTCATAAAGCCATATTGTTACTGCATAACAGTATGTAGTATATAACGGACGGCAGTATCCCCCATCTTGGATTTCCAAGGTATGATATGTTGATTGAAAATCAAACTGGGAAACGAGTATGAGTATCCCCGCCTTCAAAATCAAATTACTAGTGTCCTGAGAATTTTTTTCGAAATACCAAGGTAACAGCAAAAAACCTAATTTGTCCTCCATCAAATTGTACCTACAGGAAAGTCATTATGTAACTACGACCATTATGAGAGGTGGTAAAATTAGCGCTGTGCCAAGTTATCTTCTACCCTTTGCATTCGTTCGACTTTGCTTCTCAACCCCCATACTTACTATTGAAAACGGATGCCAGCAATCTCTTCCACATGAATATACTTGTTGAGACTCAATCAACTTGAGTTCTGAGAAAATGAGGATTTCAACAAGGGTGTGTTGACTTAAACGGGGGATACAATTGACTTCAAGTCTGCATATCATCATGTAGAAGTTTCATTGCTGTTCAGGAGGCTCTTTTTCCCGAGAGGGGGGTAGCAATAAAAAGTTATGGAAAATTGTGCAAAATGGTGAAGAACATGGAACAAAGTTTGAATTTGGACGTTAGTAGTGTTTTGAACATCAAAAAAGCATTTGCTTTGTCAATCTACTTAAATGCTAAATTGGCACAGTGCTGATTTTACCACCTTTCAAAAAGGTCATGATTGCTCAGTTATCCATGACAGTTACTAATGATCTATGTACCATTTGATGGAGGATGTTGGGTATACTTTTTGTGATCTATTGTTATGTATATCTATTGTCTATTATGACATATTGTTATGGTCTCCGTTTTTTTGCGACGGCGGTTGGCGTCCGGCGTCTGGCGTCCGGCGTCTGTAACAATTTCTTACAACTTCCTATAACTTAACAAATACTGTTTAGATTGACTTCAATTTTTTTCTAAATCATCTACATGTTCTCAGAAGTTCAAATCTGACTTTAGATTTGACATTTGACCTTCAATGACCTTCTCAAGGTCAAAAAGGTCTTTTTTCAACTTGCTTCACATTGACTAAATTTTTTTTCAAAATCATCTACATGTTCTCAGAAATTCAAATCTGACTTTAGATTTGACATTTGACCTTCAAATCTGACTTTAGATTTGACATTTGACCTTCAATGACCTTCTCAAGGTCAAAAAAGGTCAAAAAGGTCTGTTTTCAACTTGCTTCAAATTGACTAAATTTTTTTTTCAAAATCATCTACGTGTTCTCAGAAATTCAAATCTGTCTTAAGATTGGACTTAAGATTTGACATTTGACCTTCAATGACCTTCTCAAGGTCAAAAAAGGTCAAAAAGGTCTGTTTTCAACTTGCTTCAAATTGACTAAAAATAATTTTCAAAATCATCTACGTGTTCTCAGAAATTCAAATCTGACTTTAGATTTGACTTAAGATTTGACATTTGACCTTCAATGACCTTTTCAAAAAAGGTCAAAAAGGTCTTTTTTCAACTTGCATCAAATTGACTACATTTTTTTCAAAATCATCTACATGTTCTCAGAAATTCAAATCTGACTTTAGATTTGACATTTGACCTTCAATGAACTTCTCAATGTCAAAAAAGGTCAAAAAGGTATTTTTTCATCTTGCTTCAAATTGACTAAAAAAAATTTTCAAAATCATCTACATGTTCTCAGAAATTCAAATATGACTTTAGATTTGACATTTGACCTTCAATGACCTTCTCAAGGTCAAAAAAGGTCAAAAAGGTCTTTTTTCAACTTACTTCAAATTGACTAATTTTTTTTTTCAAAATCATCTACATGTTCTCAGAAATTCAAATCCGACTTTAGATTTGACATTTGACCTATAATTACCTTCTCAAGGTCAAAAAAGGTCAAAAAGGTCTGTTTTCAACTTGCTTCAAATTGACCAAATGTTTTTTTCAAAATCAACTACATCTTTTCAGAAGTTCAAATTTGACTTTACAAGTTCTCAGAAGTTCAAATCTGACTTTAGATTTGACCTTTGACCTTCAATGACCTTCTCAAGGTCAAAAAGGTCTTTTTTCAACTTGCTTCAAATTGACTAATTTTTTTTCAAAATCATCTACATGTTCTCAGAAGTTCAAATCTGACGTTAGATTTGACATTTGACCTTCAATGACCTTTTCAAGGTCAAAAAGGTCTTTTTTCAACTTGCTTCAAATTTACTTAATTTTTTTTTCAAAATCATCTACATGTTCTCAGAAGTTCAAATCTGACTACATTTGACATTTGACCTTCAATGACCTTCTCAATGTCAAAAAAAGTCAAAGAGGTATTTTTTCAACTTGCTTTAAATTGACCAAATTGTTTTAGGTGGTGACATTTTGTCATGTTAATGCCTTGTGATAGTTTTTGAAATCGTGATATTATGTTTTATCCACGAATGAATAGTTTATCCTCCAGTTCATGCATTTTTCTTTACTAGTTAATTTCTCTTGGTTGTATATTTTGTTTGCTCAACAATAAATATCTTTACAATGTACGCATTAGTGAACGGGAAATGTATCTTGTAATTATTAAGTCTAAATATGTATAGGCCTACGAAGTAAATATTGTAATTGGTTATAACATTTAACATTGTGACATTTAAGCACATGAGTATTACTATAAATCATGATCTATTAAAACTAGCATCAAACTAACATATAACCATCTCATTTTACACGTTTCAGATGTCGCTTTATTAGAGGAGTGGTACACAAGAGATGATAATTCTCAGTCTTCTGTATTCAGACTTCGCCCAATTGAGTCCAAATTTAACTTGTACACCTCAAGGTGAGCATTTAGAAAAATAGCATTATCAAGAGTCAGAATTTTTTCTATTTTATCAAGTCGTTTTACCCGAAGCTACCCATGCCTCTAATGGTATCCAGTAATTCAGTAATTATCTAAGCATCACAATCTATTATTTGTCCATATCAGAGGATTTTTGCTCCAATACCAAATTGTATGTCAAAACTCCTCTTGGATCACTGTCTAGAGGCAAAACTATTGAGATTCTAGAAGTAGCATAGAGGACTTTATCAAATCACTAATCTTTATACAATGCACAATCTGAGAAAATATGATAATCATTCTTACCAATATGAAACACACGTTGTAATTTACGAAGATATAACACTGACGATCCAGACCGATAGTTCTGTTATAATCATTGTGAAGAACAAAAGTATAGTCGTGGTTCTTTAGAAACCCCATATTTATATAATACATACTTCATTTTTAAGAAGGGCAACTAATTCTGGTTTTATTAAACATAATGTATATGTTTTGAGAAGGGCAGCCGAAACTAATTCTGGTATTATTGATCTGAAGCTAATTCTGGTTTTACTAATCACAATGTATATGTTTTGAGAAGGGCAGCCGAAACTAATTCTGTTTTTATTGATCATAATGTATATGTTTTGAGAAGGGCAGCCGAAGCTAATTCTGGTTTTACTAATGACAAAATATGTTTTAAGAGGGGCACCCGAAACTGATTCTGCAGCTACGTTGAATAACACCTGGATAGGTATTTACACAATGTTGAGCGAAACAATACAATCTGCAGTGGCGATTCTATGCAAAGAAACCAAGAAAGATAAACATGCATCAAAAGTTTGGGCACAGGACAAGTTTTATAAATCAGGTATTGTCTTGCTATCATTTGATAGCAGAAGGCTTTATAATATCTAAATTACATGTCAGTCTTTACATGTTTGTTCCCCGTCACTCAATTCAAAATGGCGGCCATGTAATCTTCGCTTACTCAAATACCAGTTGACGGAAATGGTTCAAATTATTTATGCTAATGACTCGGGAGATATTATGTGTTCGTTACTCCATTTTTCTAGTCATACTCGCGTATATTGCTTGTGGTCAATCTGAATGATCTTAAAACCCAATTTCATGATACTATAACCCGGGTACTATAATGGCTAGTTTACAAGAACATTATATAATTTACAGGTTTGTGCTCTTATACTGACGTCATTTATTACAGGCCTGGTCTAGAAATGATAATTATTGTTATTATTACATATAGCAAATGGCAGATTAGAAACACCCGCTAGCTAAACATAATCTTAAAGATTGTTGGCGGACACGTGCATATCTTTGATTTTGATTTTGCATGGACTTGATTTTTATGTTTCAGCCTTGGATGTTGAAATATGCACTGCAATACAAAATCACGACGAACAGACACTTCTAATAAGAAGAAAATGCGAAGGTGCTAATTTATTATTGCTGGGAATGTGTACATTGTGAAAAATATATTGGTTTTGAATTCATTGCATTGTGTAAATAAGTAAAGGTTAATTTTATTGACTAAACACTGAAATCACTTTTAGGTATCCTGTTAAATAAGATATTACGTTATTATTCTCTTTGATGGATAAAAGCTCAATAAATTCTCGAGCAATGTCTTATGTTAGATTAACTAAACATATTTAATGCAATTAGCAATTTATCACTGTATTTAAAAGACTTTATTAATTTCAGATATAGACAGAAGTGATGAATCAGCTTCAGATTACATAGATATCCCAGATCCAAGTGTTAAGAAGCCTGCATCGGATAATACAGTAAAAACCAAAATGGATGCCTTCATGCAAACTGTCAATGCGCATGCAACACAAAGTCATATCGAAATCTTCAAACTTCATTGGGGAAATAATGGTTTTAATCCTGAAGAATTTAATGTATACTTAGAGGAGTTTAATGCACTAGTTGCCACAAAATTGAAAACACTGATACAGCACATGCTTGACCATAGAAAAGAGGAGATTAATCGGGGACCCCATACTCTGGATCACAATGAGGCACTCTTACACTTAACCCACAGACAAGCTATAATAGATAAGTCATTTTCCTCAGATAGAACAATTCAAGATATTAAGGAGTTGATACTGGCAGACGATACGTCAACACATAAACCAATCATACTTTGTGGTCCGCCTGGCAGTGGCAAATCCACAATTGCTGCAACCATTCCGCATACTGAGATATTCGGAAAGGAAACCTTCCAAGTCATTCGTTTCATATCATTAGATCAGAATCTATCGTCAACACATGGGCTTCTCTACAGTGTCTGCTCGCAACTGAATGCTATGTTCAATAAAAATCCAAATAACTCTTTATCCAATGACATCGATACGTTGGTGGAGCAATTCAGAGAGATATTAGTCTCTATATCCAACAGCCATAGACATTTGCTACTCATAATTGATGGGATTGAATCTGTTAAACCACCAAGCATTGACTCAAAGCTAGAGTTTGACTGGAAAATGGAAAACCTTCCACCTCGAACTCACATTATCGAAACATTCAATATTACAAAACATACCAAAAATGATTTAGAAAACATTAAAAGCTCCAGTGAAAGCGTCCCAAACATTTTGCATACCACACCAATCACTTCAATGCAATGTTTAGCAAAGACTAAAGCTCTTTTATCAAATGTCAATCGAACAATCACAAGAGACCAAGAGAACGCATTGAAGACCTCGTTTTCGGAAGGCTCCATGCCAATACTACCAGTGATAGTTTTTGATGTTGCAAAAACCCTACATTCCAGCACAGCAACAATTGATATTGGTAGAGGAATGGATGATGTTTTGAATAAACGGTTTGAAGCATTGGAAAAACGTTACACTGTTGAAATCATTGCTCCACTATGCAGATACATTGCATGCTCCAATATGGGTGTCACTGAGCTAGAGATCATTGATATCATGTCCTGCACAAATGAGTCAATACTTGCCTTTCATGGTCCCAAGCTTCCTGTAGTACTAAGGTTTCCATACTCAACCTGGTCAGATATTCGCCACGACCTGGGTAAGTACTCCGATCGTCATAATAAAGTACATGCATGTAGACCAAATCGTTGTGATATTTTGCAATGTTCCAAACTATTTCTAAATCCAAAAACTGTAATTTAAGTTCATATAACGCTTAAAAATGAAAAATGCTTCAAAAACTTTACAAACAATTAAAAAGTAGAAAAGGTACAGTATGTTGCATAATGTGTGAATGTAACTATTTGAAGAAAACAATCATTTAAACACTATGATGGCCAATAGAATGTCATCATACGGTATAATATGCTGATAGATATCACAAAGTAAACAATGGTGTTTTGGACATTCAGGAATCATGCTTGAACAGCGAGAAACGGCTGGGAGTACATTGTTTTCCTGGAGGAACCAAACAATAAAGTCGGTTGTCAAGGTGAGGTACCTACAGACGGTTGAGACACTTAAACAAAATCATAAAGCCTTGGCAGAGCTATTTCTCGAGACGTGGATTGACGGTAGGCCTCTGGTTGACCCTGACCTTGACCTTCAGATTATGCAAGGGAGGCGATGTATATCACAGCAGCCTTTACTCTATTCAGACACGTTGTACAATCTGAGGAAGTTAAACGAGCTGTGGTACCAGCTCTTACATTCAGGTACTGAATAAATGAGAATGTAATTTTATGCATAATGGATTCATCAATAATACATTATTTGTCTTATTGCGTATAATGAAATTCAATCAAATAATATTCATGTGAAGGGTGACACAAAAATACAGTTCTCGATTTTAAAATAACTTTGCCAATAACGATGCAACTCCTGATATACATAAAGTGTTCAATTGGGCAAGCAGTGGTATATTCATAAAGATGTATTCATTGAAACACATTTTTGGTCCAGGACTAGTTGATAAAAATGGTATTAGTGTTACAAATTATTTTGCTCATCGACAGCTGATTATAAAAAGCTTGAAAGATGAGATTAGATCAAATCAAATCAACTATTAATGACCATTATCATTCATGGGTTGCATTTTAGGTCAACGTGTATCATTAGTTCATTAGGACCTAGTTTGTAACGATGCACCTGCCACTATATGATTGAAATGATACAAATTAATCAGGCTTAATGTGCTTCAAACACCACTATAGCTAGTGTCTGAATATCACGATAACCTGAAAATATTTTCAACATTGCCATAACGTCCATGGATCCGTACCTCAAGGTATATCCGGAATAGATAGGGCTGTTTTATCCAAGGGATAACTGTTCAAGGGACTTGGAGAGACTGGGAATTGAAGAGTCTGTGCTTCTTTTTCAAACATATCTGTTTCTGTATTTCATTGTAATGAAATCTTCACTTAGCACATACATCATACCCTTCAACAGAAAGGAAATAATTTGATTTGATTTTCTTAGCAATTACAATGAACTGATAATCGCACGTCTTGTTATCATCCAAGTAATTGATCTGATACTGCTTAACAAGACAAATGTATTGTGAAGCCGGTAATAGAAAAACGTGATTTATGTCATAGACACCAGGAGAATTCGCGTCATTGCTTTATAAATTGCACAATACTTGAAAATGAACTAGAGATACCACAGATATGCTCATGTTGTACAAATTAATATTATCAGGCCCTGTTTCTATTTCTAAACAATTCCCTTTGTTTGATTGTCGACTGACATGAAAATGAATCATTGCATAAATTCATAAAACCATTTTCTTTAAACACTATTCAGAATTCCCTATTGTGTACTTAAATAGGCGGATTACGTGTACGCAGGGTGTCAAATAAAAACGTTCTCCCCTTAATTTCAAGAGAATGAACTTTTATGCATAAAGTGCATCTACTTGAGCTAGTCATCTGAAACTTCATGTAGAGTTGCTCCATGAAGCCTGGTTTTTTATGCCCTAAAGAAATTCAGATAACTTGCAGACAAAAGGTTATGCAACATTATGTAGATGTTAAAGTTACAGGGAGAGAACATATTTATTTGACACCATGTACTCCATCCTGTAGCTACCACACCATGCAGGGTCTGGCCATGATTGTTTGTTAATATTTCAAATCAGTAATATGTAGTATTCCATCATTCATCTTGAAGTCCTGCAATACACATGATCTGGTTTTTGCCGTCATTTTGAGGAACACACATCCTCCAAACGCAGGGCTCCAGACATCATCCACTACGTTCCTTCCTTCTTCCAGAAGAATTGGGTACGAGTTCTAGAGGCCTGTGTTCGGAGGATGAGGAACACCCTACTCTCCCTCTTGGGATACTCGTTTAGTATCGCACCCCCCCCCCCCCCCTTAACACATGCACGTAGCATTGCTACCCCATCGTGTTATATATCACTTTGTTCCTCAAAGAAAGTTACATAAATTGCAAAGTTTCAGAATCCAGGGGTGTTCCTGAAAAAAGATATCCCCACCCAGACTTAATCATGACAATTAATTTATTTTCTACTTGAACAATTTTGCAAGCTTCAGTTATTACAGATAAGAAGATTTATGCCAAAGTTTATTGATTTTGTAAGATACATATCACGATGGAGTAAAAATATTTTATATGGTTATAAGGAGGGTAATTACAAGTTTAATCTCGAATCAAAAATCAAACCCTGTATGGTGTGGCAGGAGTGGTGGAAACCCAACCAGGTTGAGGCAGCAAATTATACAATACCTATTAATTAATTTAGCATGAAACGTATCGAGGTATGCACTGGCTTGCCTTTTTGTACTGCTGACTTTCTTATTGTATAGGATTACGTAAGATAATTTATAAAATACCTATAATGATCCGCTTGTACTTGGAGATCATCAGTGTCAATGTCTATTAATCAATTATAATCTTCTCTTTTTCAGGGATGGTAGATGCATTGAAGGAAAACTGTTTTTGCAATTTTGAATACTTGTTAGCGAAGTCTCATTCCTCCTCAATTGATAATCTCATTAAAGATCTCAACACAAGCTTGCTGCAAGTTATGGACATTGACATTATACTTATAACTGCTTGCATTAAAGCCGGGAGAGGTGCTCTCTCCACCGATCCACTTCAGTTGGCGAATGAGCTTATAGGTCACCTTAAAGACTGTCAAGGTTCGTGTAATTTCATGGTCAGATCTTAAATTATCATGTCGGATGTCCATGCATCATTTCTGTGAATATGTGCATTTTGATTTTCATATGAGCGAGCCAGGACTCCGACATGAACAGATTGCCATTTTATCATGTTTTTCAATATTCACTTAATAAGATGAGTTGATCACTGTCTCTTATAGATCGGCTACATCAAAAGCATCTATGATTACTTCTTACCATCAACGTTATTAGATTTATCAAGCTAATTAAAGGATTTGCTTGTCTGTTCTTTTATTAAGCTATTTTAAAGCAGAATTATGTCAGATTTATTCAACGTTCTTCTTCTAGTTGAAAGCCCATGGTTTGACACAATTAAAATATAATCTACGTTAGTATTGACAACGGTATTTTAAGTTATTGGTGCCTTTATTTTTTCAGAAAATTACCCACGATATATCGAGCCTATAGTGACACAGTGTATGCAATGGTGCGACACCTATACTCTTCCCTTAGTGGTACCGTTCAATAGTTGGCTACAGACCCCGGATGTTGACCTTGTTAACAAGATTCACAATCCTGGCTCGACACACGCAGTTGCCACATTCAATACACACCATATATTTTGTAATGTTAATGCAACCAACAATATCGTGATGTACCATGGTCCATCAAAAACTCTCGTTAAAACATTTGCAGGTAATATTTTGAAAGCCATATTTTGTAGATAGCTCATTGTCACTTTAATGTGAATTCAGTTGTTATTACAAACTATAAATTTAAAAATATTTTGAACATTATACATGTCAAAAATCGGTCATTTTTCGCATAATTTGGCCTTTGTATCCTTTTTAAGCCAAATAATCAAAAAATGGGCCTTCGATTTTCAAAATTGGGCCCAATTTTTGAGGTTTTATGGGCCCAAATTGTTTTGAGAGACTACCTCATTATAAGAGAATATCTTTCCAATTTGTGTCACGGTAGTTAATGTGCATTTGTTGATCATGCTCGATGAACACTGTATATTTACTTAAACTGAGAATGCATTAGCAAATCGAGTAGAACGGTTTATAACATCTTTAACAGATGAATGGTAACGCAGATTTATATAAAAGGCTAATACATTGGTAATCATATTGCTGTCAGTTTGTGTCCATGTAATAAAAGAATCAATTTTATCCTGGCTGCCTGAGGGGCAAAAATCGATTGACCAGTTGATCAGTTGATAGATATGTAATGAGATTTGCAATGAGATTAATTCTTTCTGTTTCTTTCTGTCTCAGTCGATACTAATGTAGTTTTTAAGGGGTTTCATGCTCGCAAAGATTATCATATTACTGAAGAGTTGTTAGCATATTTCTGGACTTTCAATTATAACTTGGCAAGCTTTTTGTAAATGATGATAATTATTATGCAGATCTTGTGCAGATCTTTTACAAGTCTGTTTAGTTGGCAGTTTATGCCAGATGTCAAAAATGTAAAAAATGCAAGATCAAGCTAATCGAGGCCCCACAAAATTTATTTTTGGGCCCAAAAATCATCTTAAGGGGGGCGGGCCACATACCCCTCCCTCCCCTGGATCCTCCAGTAATTGTATTTTACTATTGTCGGTTCTTATGTTTTACAGTTTATTGATATTTCATTGAGAGATACTATTGCCTTATTAGGTCACCGGGACAAGATCACATGTATATTGATGTCTCATAACAACCAGGTGATAGTGAGTGGGTCCGATGATGCCTCTGTCAGGGTCTGGGACATTGCAAGTGGCAAGAATATATTTACATTTAGGTATAATGCAATAAAGATATACAGGGTGATCCAGAAATAACGTCAAAGATGTTGCCTATTTATTAATCAATTAATTAAGGTTAATCAAGTCGAGAAAAGTTTCATTTCTTTCGCAAAATCAAATCATTAATGTTTGGGGAATATCATCTGGAACATCTGTACCCACTTTAAAGAAGATTGGTCAACGTATTGTACTGGCAACACCTTAAAGTTACTTCTGCATCAACTTACTCCTAAAGGACCATGATTTCTAGAACGTTCATGTATAAGCTCTTTTAAAAACGTGTAGCTTGACCTCCCTGATATATAAAACTCTTTACGTATCAAAATGTAATTTGTAAGATGATTAAATAACCAATCAATCATATTTTGCAAGATTTCGTGACATCACAAGGAGAACCTATAGAGATCGTTACATTTCTCTACTATATGTAATGAAATGCGTGATACAAATGTTCATCTTGCCTATATATAAATATTGGCGCACTGTCGAAGTGCCACTGATATAAAAATAATTGCAATTGTCAAATAAATAATAAATAAATGAATAATATTTTTTATTGGATTACTTGTAGGGAGCACAGTCATCCTGTAAAATGTATAGCGTTGAATCATAAAGACGAATTCCTCATTAGTGGATGTCTGGAAGGAACGTTTAAAATGCTGTCTCTACAAACAGGAGAACTGCTTCACTCTGTTCAAAACGGCCCCGTATCCTGTATATTTGTAAATGCATCAGATTCGATTTTATACGCAGGTATTTTTTTAATTAGAGTTTTAACATTCAGATATCATCGTTGTTAGTTTGTTATTCTGAGGTAGCAGCTGATGATATATGTTTTTATTATTAACACTTTAGATGATTTCATCTACCCGAACAAAAGATACCCTCTAACTGTCTACTACATTTCCTACTTTCTCTATTAGCAATTAACGCATCGATAAAATATCTTAGTGAATGCAACACTCCTAACGTCTAAGTGAAAGTAAATAAATGACATAATGAATGGAAACGCACGTAATCTTGTTAACCCAAACAGACGCTACTATTTAACGTTCTGAAAAATTACTTCATTTTATTCAGATATTCTGATAACATTTCTTGCGCCCAGTTCTGTATGACGCACAACAGTATTCAAGTCGATGTAATTAAAGAACAAAATCATGTTACTTATGAGCCAGATTACTTATTGTAAGGTAATCTTATTGTTTTATTACCACTATATGCAATGTGGTTTTCGGTTGCAACTAAACCTTACATCACACGATAGCATTTGTTATTATGTTCATTGTATAATTATTGCCACCACAAAATAGCCTTGCTAAAATGAATGCATGTATCTTTCCATTCTTTGTATAATTACACATCCTCACTCTAGTTTATTGTATAATCAAATTAAAGGATATGTCATTCTGTTTATTGTATTCTGTACTTAAAGCCACCATAATACATCTTTATATCAAATGAAAGGATATGTTATTCCGTTTATTGTATACTGTGTTAAAACCACCATAATACACATTTATCTCAAATGAAAGGACATGTTATTCTGTTTATTGTATACTGTAGTTAAAGCCACCATAATACACATTTATCTCAAATGAAAGGACATGTTATTCTGTTTATTGTATACTGTAGTTAAAGCCACCATAATACATATACTAGTATATCTTAAATTAAAAGATTTGTTATTCCGTTCATTGTATCATTTAAACCATCTTTGTTTCAAATCTCAACTGACAATATAATTCCTGTCGGTTGTGTTATTTTAGCCACTGAGAAGAAGATTAAATTGTGGTGCATGACTGAGATGGTCCTATTGGAAACAATACAGGATGATAACATTACATCCGACATAACATGCATGGTCATGTCACAAGATGGATCATTTATACTTATTGGTAGGCTATTAAGTTGAAGAGATTGTCTGCCCTAATCTAAATTCTTGATAATGATTGGTCACGTCTAGCGGCTAAACGTTTTTACAGTGGACCGCACAATCCAATGCCTGTAATTGTCTGGTCGCTGGTTTCCAAAGATTTGAGAAGAAATAGTTATCTAATACAAAAGTTTTTGCAACAATATCACTTTTCGATATTTTGTTCGCAATTATATAATTGTGAGTACCCCTGTGAATGATTGACTTTTGTTAAAAAGATTGAGTCATGATATTAACATGTTATTTTAACATGTACGTGTACGTTTCAGATTTTGATAGTCATGAGTGTTCTATGTTTCAGCTTGTGGTGACACTAGCCTTCAGCTCAGATCTGCTGCTACTGGGACCTTTTTGCATTACCTTGAGGGACACAATGCAAAAGTAGGATATTCTTCATGTTCTATGACCTAATAAATTGTCAAATTGAAACATCAAAAGAAACATATTAAAGAAAAATTTACATCCGTTTATGACATCCATATCCAAGTTTAAACAGCAAAACAAACACGTAGGCATGAGATCCACCATAAAGGATGCTTAAACGATGCTAACGAAAAATCAAAATCTTCAAGTGCGCAAACATTAATAATGGTAAGCATACAATGTACTTTGCGTGTCCATAGTCTTGACAATTTCTCTTGTAGATTTGTGACATTGGCATCTCCAGAGAGAGTTTTCAGACAGTAGTAGGATGTGAAGATGGGACATTGCATGTATACAATCTGAGAAGTAAAGAACTGCTACAAACATTCAACACAGGAACACAACCTGTCACAACTGCCCAAATCTCCAGAGATGACAGTTTCATCATTGCTTGTAATAATGTAAGTCTACTGCTATAAACATTGAACACAGGAACCGGGACAGGAACACAACCTGTAGTAATGTCAATTTTGGAAGTTATATATGAAAGGGTTTGGAATTTGCATTTGAGCACATACTTTTACCATCCTAATTAAATTAAATGTCAATGGCATTTGTTTGAGTTCATAAATTGATCACGCCATGGATATAAAGTTTATATTAAACATATGAATCATAAGCGCATAACGAATGCCACCAGAAGTTACCCTGTTTGGTGATGCTTAAACTTTACCTGTTATAGAATTGACAGTTTTAATCATTCTGATACTCATAGCATCTTTCTGTTTCACCTGAAACATGCTCTGATATTATGAGGCATATTCTGTGATCTGAGCACATCAGATGGGAAGAGTTACAATTGTCAATTAGTGTGATAGTTGTCATGTAATCATTTATCTTAATGTCAATAATAATAGGCATTGTATTTAACAACAGATATTAGAACAGGCACAGGTACACAAGTTTAATGACCCCAATTAGATGAAATATGAGCTGGTATGAAAGATCTCAAAAATCCTCAATTATGGGCTCTCCTAGATCGCCAAATCAAGCTCATTATATCATGGCATCTCAGGGCTGAGAAGAAATGAGATGTCATGGTTTATCATGATGAGTTTTAATATGTTTTTAAAGAGATACGTATTTGCATGGTCAAAGCAGAGTAGTTCCTGAACTAACCAGCGCGCAGAAGGATGTTTGGGATCATGTGGGATTTTAATAGAATATTGAAAATAGGATATCCTCGGTCTAATTCAAGCTCAATTACTAATTACTAAAGTAATCACTCAAGTATTCAATTCAATTTTGTTTATTTATACATACTTTGGACAAAAACTTCAATTTAAAAATCATTTTGTTGTTTCTTTTGGTTTCAGATCAATATGTAGAATCGTATAAAAACAAGAATGCGGTATATGCATCAATTTATAGCAAGTTTATAAATTTCAAATTCCAGGAATATATATTCACATGGATTCTGATGAAAGGCCTTACTAAGGAGGCTGAGACGAATTCACATGTGAAGAAAGTCACGTGTCTTGCAGTCTCTAAGGATGGGAAAATGATTGTATCTGGTGAGAACAAAAGCATCTGACAGCATCTATATTTTTAATAAATACGTTTGTTATGTTCATCATTAATCCACCTGTTATCTTATGTGCAGTCTTTTATTGTATAAGTGGAATAAGTGCATTTAGAACATGTCGTTCCCCTGCCTTTCACCGGGTTGTAAACAATCTATATATCATATTTAATTCTCTGATATTCACAAGGCTCCGAGGACCGTACAGTTAAGCTATGGAATCTTGATTCCACAGAATTAGATGAAACGCTCGAAGGCCACGAAGATGCTATCACCTGCGTAACCTTTGCCGATGACCAATCGTTTGTTGCATCTGGCTCCACTGATCTCACTGTGAAGGTTTGGAGTATTGTTATGGCATGTGTCATCACCAATTATACGGTTAGTCAACAAGTTAACACTTAATTATTCTATTTTAACATTATCCTGAATTATGTGCTCAAATTAGGGTGAATATTATTAAATTATTATTAAACATTATTAAATGCAAATCAATGCAAGTGATATTCAGCAATTTCATTTGGTTTCTCCTGGAAGACCATTGCAATATAAAAATCACTTAATAAATAGTTTTTCATATACCAAGGAGTCATTTTGATACTCATGGCATCTTTCTGTTTCACCAGAAACATCTCAAGGCTGAGAAGTCTAAATGAGATGACATGGTCTATCATGATGCCAATGAGTCAGTACTGAGAAAATTAAATGGGGCGAACTTCAGTCCGTGGCCAAACAGAAAAAATGTAAAACTCTGTAGAGATTTGAAATGGACATTTTAGTCCTGGATGTTAGTCTGTAATTATGGAAAAGTGTTGAAAATATTTTTATATTAAATATGTCTCTGTTCAGGAGCATGAAACGCCAATCACTGCAGTGGATGCGATCAGCAAAGGTTACGATATGGACTACACCAGAATTGTTTCAGCAGATGCTGGGAATATTGTTAGAATCTGGAAGGCCGAAGATGGGGAAACAATACTGAAGCTTGATGGACCAACTACTATGTTCTGTGTGTCCCCTGAAGCTAACTTTGCAGTATCCGGAGACGGAGATCAATTGTAAGTTCTATGTAGATACAAAAGATTCACAATATGTTATAAATTGGTGAAGTTATTAATGATTCAAAGTGCAAAAATGGGTGCGAATGTTTAGATTCTCCCAAATAATAAGAATGGTAACCATTCTTATAGAAAAATAATACATTATTGTGAAAATGTTTAGCTTTCCTTGAGTAAAGTATGCAGTTTTGTGATTTTTAGAAAATAGACATGACAAGGAATGACCTGAGCCAAAAATATTCTAAAATTGAAACAATTTTTTGTTTAGCCTGCTCGTTATCTCTGATTCTCTCTTTGAGTAGAGGTCTTAGTTGTAAGGAGATAATTTAAAACGGCAGTGTGCTTTGCTTTTTTGACAGTTTGAAATTATGGACATTACCAGGAGGAGATCTAGTGCAAAAACTGAATCATGCATCTATAATTACCTGCACTGCTTTCTCCAAAGATGCATTGTTTCTGGTGACTGGTTCGCAAGATAAATCTCTGAAGGTTTGGGAAGCATCAACCGGGAAACTGACACAGGTATATTGAAAATGCTGTATTTGTCAACGCTCGGCTACTACTAAATAAACTAGATATAGTATCGCAATATATCCATCCTTGGAATATTCTCCACTAATTTGGCAATAAATAACCTTTTTTATTTTATATGGCGACATATTTGATTCCAAATTCCCGCATTCTACCACAGGTGCTCGTGGAACATGATGATCACGTGAGTTGTGTCTCTGTGACCGACAGCAATAGCCACGTGTTGTCAGGGTCATTGGACACTACAATAATGATCTGGGGACTATCTACTGGCGCGGTGGAGCATAAACTAAGGGGTCACACGGCGGAAGTTACTGTTGTTCAAGTCACATCAGATGGAAGCATTGCCATTTCAGGTTGGCTTGCACATTCAATATCTCCCATCATACAGTGTATCTGGTTTTGGTGCTTACAATTGATAGGAATCTTGATTGACTTGAAATGATCTCGACCTTATACTAGACTAGTATAGTTCTTAATGTCATCACCACAAGGCGTTCTCCAGAACTCACAAATAATGTTTTAAAGCCGAGAAAATACTGGTTAGATTGGTTGCTCATGGTTGCAATGTCTTTGTTAAAAAGTGAATATCCTCCAGGGGCGTAGCCAGCTTTCGGCATGGGGTGGGGGATGCGATCGCCTAATTTTTTTCCGTTTTCAGTCAGTGTGTGCGATCGTGGCATAAGGCAAAATTTGTTTTGAATTTTACAAAAATTGATGCAACTTGAAGTTTGTATCTTCACATTTTCATGGGGGTCATGCAATCCCCCTGGCTTCTTCTATGATCATCTAATGGTAAAACCTGATTTACTACATTTGACTAGTCATCTTCAATTCGATGGCCATTTTCTATTATGACTTAATTCATCAGGGAAATCAAAAACACCTAACAAGGAGTTAAAAAGGTTTAGAAAATATTTTATACTTTCTGAGATAGTTGAATAAAGGTCGATTGAGGTATTTAAATGGAGGGTTTTAGCTGTCCGCATACTGGATTTAAACCGAACTACAGTTGCCAAAGATTTTTCATCCATGATTAAGTTCGCCCCATTACTATGTTCGGATACTGAGGATTAGCTTTGAGTAAATCAGATCGTACTGTTAATAACTGATAACATCCATACACCGATTCATTCTGCTATCTGATGCAGGTTCAAAAGACGGCACTCTCCGAGTATGGAGCATCAATAGGGGCTCCATCCTTACAATGTTTGATGTGCACTATCCAATACTGAACATTGTCATGAAATTTGATGCTGGGCACATAGCGGTCCATTTGGAGGAGAACAACAACATCCCCCTGCTATGTTTACATAATAGCCCGGCCTCAGAGGTGAAGAGCCACAGTGATATAGATATACACATCATCCCCGGAGGTATGGACCTTTTCATAGTTTTAATTGCTTATTACTTGAAATATTCTTATAAGATTGCTCTTGCTGTTATTATGAGATAAATGATGTGTTGAATAACGTAGAACTCCATGCCTATTATACTTGCTTATGTCTTGTTTCAGACAATGGTGTTTTGCCCATTAAACCACGAAATTGTGTCAGGTCAACGTCCGTTTATCCGGTTCCAAAGAGGAAAGATGACCATCATCGTTTCTCTGTATCAACCATTCCAGAAATTATAAAGGTAAACCAGGTCTCTGACTTAGTCTGAACTGAATATTGATTCCTTACGCAATCGCACAATACATGATCCCTTTAGGAACTGTCAGAAACACCCAAAGTTTTACGTACATAGTTTTATAACCATAACCATTGATCATATCGTAAGAGTTGAAATGCCTTGTTTTATAGATGTCTCCAATTAAGGGCAATCAACTGAAGCCAAAAGGGACTAAGAGTAAAGGGAACAAGTCTAAAAAAGGACGGAAAGACATTAAGGCGGATGACCGCAGTATCGCAAGTGGGAGCAGTGACGGTGGTAGCAAGGACCCATGCGTCAAGGCATCTCGAACATGCGTTTTACTGTGATTCAAGATTAAGGCCAGGGTGCACTTTGATGGAATTTCATGACCATGTGCTATTTTCAGATAAACATAACTCATTCCAAACATCATCTACATCTTTCATTCTTGCACAAAAGATGCATTAGTGTACCTAGACTATTAATCGAGGGTAGATAATTTTTCAGAATGTTTGAATAATTACTAAGAATATTCAGTGGTTTACTTTTCAAAATTGCAAACAAATTTCAACATGCAACCTGGCCTTAATTAATAACAATTTTTAAGAAATTGAAATACCAATTTCAAGTCCATTATCTACTGATCTTTCATTAACCAAATTGGTCATACAAAACATCTGAAGGACATTGTGTTTTGGAACTTAAACTGCTTCAAATGTTATACGTTTTATGCTAGTAGAGGGGTATTATCCCAGAAGGTTTCTTAAAACCAGTTATTTTATTCTCTTTGAATGTAGTACTTTATATCTCATCCAGTCTGTAAAATCTCATTGAGATGATTTCTGATTTACTTTTTTCACATGTGATGATAAATAACATTTATTGCAAAACATGTTCAATCACTTATTGATATAAAAATAAATAAATAAAATATATACTTTTATATGTACGTTGCCCAACAAGATGTGGTATAGAAAGGGGGACATGGACTGAAGTAAACATGTTGATTTTGAATACGGTATTAAAGATAATATGATTCAACATTACAAGAGTCCAATCCTGAAAATACCAAAAGTCACTACTTGGAAGTTGTTCTTAGTTTGTTTATAATCATGTCAGGTCTAAAGCATCCACTAAGTTGGTCGGCCGTTGAGTACATGTAATAAATTAAAGATTTGGGTATAAAAAAGGTCAAGAGCATCACCCCATCTATACTGAGATCTGATAAGTGGATGTGAGTGGACATCATCGTCAAAAATTCACATTAACAAGTCATTTACGAGGAGGTTTATGCTAATGAGACAGGGTTATAAAGTATATCTGTGCACACTGCATTGTATTAAACACGTATATTAAAATATGAATGTAAATTTGAGAGATTTGTTACGGTATCCCTTGATGTTATTGTAAATAAATTTGAAATGACATTTAGTTGTTATTAATGTTAATTAGATTCATACTAGAAAAATCGGCAACTCAACAGAGTTGCAAACCAAACGACCAAGATATGTTTCTCTCTATTCCAAGATCCCATAATGTGAAGACAAACTTTGTAAAAATTACGCATTTGGTGTAGCCATTTTTAATTTCAACTAGGCTTAGCCTATATCAGAAAGACTATTCCTATTGCACATTTTCACTCCAAGTCTCATTCCAAAAATCAATCCACTAGTATATAGTTCTGTTACTGCCGAGACAAACGAACGAACGGACGAAAACATGACTATAACTCTACCAATCTTGGTCGTTGAGAAAATAATTGCAGCGACATTGAGACAGATCATGCTCTTTCTGGTCGTGTTTGACAAGTCTCGATAAAAATAAAAACTGAATAAAATTTATAAACGATCAATAAAAACTGACCTTGGATTTCTCATTGGGTTTGTGGTAAGAATTAGAACGGGTTGTTTGTACACTGACCTCTCTCTCATAGAGGGATTTGAAATGCGAAGAAAACAGAATGTTGCCTCTTATCATAACGTTTTGTATGGTGTTTGGCGTTGCTTCCAGTGAAAATATTACCGGTAAGTACCCGAAAACTATTTAAATCGCTTAATAATCGAAACCTTTAAGCTTTAAATGAGTTCTAAGTTTGACCTTTGTGAATTATTAAACGTCCACATATCATTGAAACAATATAAGAGACTTTTTTGTTATCGTTAGATTGCATTGATGGTGAATATTTCGATGGAATCCAGTGTGAATATTGTATTGAGGGAACGTATCAAGACCAGCCCGCCCAGAACGTTTGTATTTCATGCCCCCCTGGAAAAACAACAGAATTTTCTGCTTCTACAACGATTGACGATTGTTCAGGTATTTATCTATCATTCACATTAGTCCGCAATGCAATGTAATCCAAACTAATTTAATACAATACTATGTAATACAGTGCAATATAAACCAATACAATGCAATGAAATATACAAATACAATTTTTACAACAAAACACAACAAAATACATTACCATATAATACGTATCATACAATACAATACAATAAAATACAATAGTAGCCCGGACAGGTTGAATGATGCTGTCGTGTTTTACTCCATATTTCCAAAAAACAACCATTCTTATTGAAATTTTCATATTTAATTCTGGAGACAATTTCCAACATGGAAAAAAAATATTTTAACGAAATCCCTAATTTTATGATTAAAATAGGCTATATTTCAAAAAGATGCCACTGTCTATAATATATAGGTTTTTGCTTGAACAATTGAACTTTTAACGTCATTTCAAAGATTTTCACGTTCTTCTACAGTAGATGCTAATGTATAACAAAATATGTGGAAATCAGAAAGAATGGCCTTCTGGTTACTTCTAGAAAAATATTTTAATTGAGCATGACTTTCAATGAGAAGATGCATTTCAAGTAAAAAAAAAATACACGAGACAGATTTTCTTTAAATATGTTATGCTTATTCTATGGGAAACCAAAAGTATTCAGAAAATATTTTTAGAAATTCACCGTCCGGATATTGAGAAATAAAACTTTGAATGTTATTAATCAATGGGGAAATATTATTATTCCATTGTATTCAATGACTCCAATTGACAAATGAAGGTGTTAATAGATCAGCATGGATGTGTCTAATATATAATTGTACTAAAAACTAGGAAGAAAGCAAAAAATTACTAACGCCTTGATTTGAACCCACCACTTCATAAGTAGGACCCTGAAGAACTACCTTAATGGACATTCTTTTTTCATGTTGATACATATCCTGTTTGTATAATATAATAAACGTCCTTGAAAGAGTATGATTTTTTGTCAAATGAAATGATTTAAATATGAATGGAATAGTGGCAGGTACTATTCATACTAGCATTTAAATGAGTTGCCCCATGAAGTTAATCGGTAGCCGACAGCCGTTACACTGCATGTTTTGTGATTCTTATATACAATGAACTTCAGAATTTTGTTTTGTAGATATTTGTCCTGTTGGTCATTATTTTTCAAACATAACAACCCCAGGGTGCTTCGTATGTCCAATTGGCTACTACCAACCATTAAATGGTTCATTTTCTTGTTTACCTGGCACTGCGGGAACATTTCAAAACGAGACCGGACAGACATATTGCGAAAGTTGCAGACCTGGATTTTATCAAGATAACTATGGTAACCATACATGTATCCCTTGTCCACCTGGTTACTACAACAATGATACATCGAATTCTACATTATGTGATCCTTGCCCAATGGGATCCTTTCAAAGTGAAGAAGGAAGCGAATCTTGTGATGTTTGCAATGGGATAATTTACAAAAATGGGCAGACAGACTGTGCATGCGAGGCTGGGTTTTTTCAAGTCGTAAACAATAATGGAAATTGCACAGCATGTCCAGAAGGAACATTTAGGAATGCGTCTGGGAGATTTGACTATTGTGAACCGTGTCCAGTTGGGTCATTCCAGAACAACAATGGCAGTGAGACATGTTTGCCATGTGAACAAGGAACATTTCAAAACGAGACTGGACAGACATATTGCGAAAGTTGTACTCCTGGATTTTATCAAGACAACTATGGTAACCATACATGTATCCCTTGTCCACCTGGTTTCTACAACAACGATACATTAAATTCTACATTATGTGATCCTTGTCCTTGGGGATCTTTTCAAAGTGAAGAAGGAAGCGAATCTTGTGATGTTTGCAATGGGATGATTTACAAAAATGGACAGACAGACTGTGCATGCGAGGCTGGCTTTTTTCAAGTCGTAAACAATAATGGAAATTGCACAGCATGTCCAGAAGGAACATTTAGGAATGCGTCTGGGAGATTTGACCATTGTGAACCGTGTCCAGTTGGGTCATTCCAGAACAACAATGGCAGTGAGACATGTTTGCCTTGTGAACAAGGAACATTTCAAAACGAGACTGGACAGACATATTGCGAAAGTTGTACTCCTGGATTTTATCAAGATAACTATGGAAACCATACATGTATCCCTTGTCCACCTGGTTACTACAACAACGATACATTGAATTCTACATTATGTGATCCTTGTCCTATGGGATCTTTTCAAAGTGAGGAAGGAAGCGAATCTTGTGATGTTTGCAATGGGATAATTTACAAAAATGGGCAGACAGACTGTGTATGCGAGGCTGGTTTTTTTCAAGTCGTAAACAATAATGGAAATTGCACAGCATGTCCAGAAGGAACATTTAGGAATGCGTCTGGGAGATTTGACCATTGTGAACCGTGTCCAGTTGGGTCATTCCAGAACAACAATGGCAGTGAGACATGTTTGCCATGTGAACAAGGAACATTTCAAAACGAGACTGGACAAACATATTGCGAAAGTTGTACTCCTGGATTTTATCAAGACAACTATGGTAACCATACATGTATCCCTTGTCCACCTGGTTACTACAACAACGATACATTAAATTCTACATTATGTGATCCTTGTCCTTGGGGATCTTTTCAAAGTGAAGAAGGAAGCGAATCTTGTGATGTTTGCAATGGGATGATTTACAAAAATGGGCAGACAGACTGTGCATGCGAGGCTGGCTTTTTTCAAGTCGTAAACAATAATGGAAATTGCACAGCATGTCCAGAAGGAACATTTAGGAATGCGTCTGGGAGATTTGACTATTGTGAACCGTGTCCAGTTGGGTCATTCCAGAACAACAATGGCAGTGAGACATGTTTGCCATGTGAACAAGGAACATTTCAAAACGAGACTGGACAGACATATTGCGAAAGTTGTACTCCTGGATTTTATCAAGACAACTATGGTAACCATACATGTATCCCCTGTCCACCTGGTTACTACAACAACGATACATTAAATTCTACATTATGTGATCCTTGTCCTTGGGGATCTTTTCAAAGTGAAGAAGGAAGCGAATCTTGTGATGTTTGCAATGGGATAATTTACAAAAATGGACAGACAGACTGTGCATGTGAGGCTGGCTTTTTTCAAGTCGTAAACAATAATGGAAATTGCACAGCATGTCCAGAAGGAACATTTAGGAATGCGTCTGGGAGATTTGACCATTGTGAACCGTGTCCAGTTGGGTCATTCCAGAACAACAATGGCAGTGAGACATGTTTGCCATGTGAACAAGGAACATTTCAAAACGAGACTGGACAGACATATTGCGAAAGTTGTACTCCTGGATTTTATCAAGATAACTATGGAAACCATACATGTATCCCTTGTCCACCTGGTTACTACAACAACGATACATTGAATTCTACATTATGTGATCCTTGTCCTATGGGATCTTTTCAAAGTGAGGAAGGAAGCGAATCTTGTGATGTTTGCAATGGGATAATTTACAAAAATGGACAGACAGACTGTGCATGCGAGGCTGGCTTTTTTCAAGTCGTAAACAATAATGGAAATTGCACAGCATGTCCAGAAGGAACATTTAGGAATGCGTCTGGGAGATTTGACCATTGTGAACCGTGTCCAGTTGGGTCATTCCAGAACAACAATGGCAGTGAGACATGTTTGCCTTGTGAACAAGGAACATTTCAAAACGAGACTGGACAGACATATTGCGAAAGTTGTACTCCTGGATTTTATCAAGATAACTATGGAAACCATACATGTATCCCTTGTCCACCTGGTTACTACAACAACGATACATTGAATTCTACATTATGTGATCCTTGTCCTATGGGATCTTTTCAAAGTGAGGAAGGAAGCGAATCTTGTGATGTTTGCAATGGGATAATTTACAAAAATGGGCAGACAGACTGTGTATGCGAGGCTGGTTTTTTTCAAGTCGTAAACAATAATGGAAATTGCACAGCATGTCCAGAAGGATCATTTAGGAATGCGTCTGGGAGATTTGACCATTGTGAACCGTGTCCATTTGGGTCATTCCAGAACAACAATGGCAGTGAGACATGTTTGCCATGTGAACAAGGAACATTTCAAAACGAGACTGGACAAACATATTGCGAACGTTGTACTCCTGGATTTTATCAAGACAACTATGGTAACCATACATGTATCCCTTGTCCACCTGGTTACTACAACAACGATACATTAAATTCTACATTATGTGATCCTTGTCCTTGGGGATCTTTTCAAAGTGAAGAAGGAAGCGAATCTTGTGATGTTTGCAATGGGATAATTTACAAAAATGGGCAGACAGACTGTGCATGCGAGGCTGGGTTTTTTCAAGTCGTAAACAATAATGGAAATTGCACAGCATGTCCAGAAGGAACATTTAGGAATGCGTCTGGGAGATTTGACTATTGTGAACCGTGTCCAGTTGGGTCATTCCAGAACAGCAATGGCAGTGAGATCTGCTTGCCTTGTGAACCAGGAACATTTCAAAACGAAACTGGACAGACATATTGTGAAAGTTGTACTCCTGGATTTTATCAAGATAACTATGGTAACCATACATGTATCCCTTGTCCACCTGGTTACTACAACAATGATACACTGAATTCTACATTATGTGATCCTTGTCCTTTGGGATCCTTTCAAAGTGAAGAAGGAAGCGAATCTTGTGATATTTGCAATGGGATAATTTACAAAAATGGACAGACAGACTGTGCATGCGAGGCTGGCTTTTTTCAAGTCGTAAACAATAATGGAAATTGCACAGCATGTCCAGAGGGAACATTTAGGAATGCGTCTGGGAGATTTGACCATTGTGAACTGTGTCCACTTGGGTCATTCCAAAACAACAATGGCAGTGATACATGTTTGCCTTGTGAACAAGGAACATATCAAAACGAGACTGGACAGACATATTGCGAAAGTTGTACTCCTGGATTTTATCAAGATAACTATGGTAACCATACATGTATCCCTTGTCCACCTGGTTTCTACAACAACGATACACTGAATTCCACATTTTGTGATCCTTGTCCTTGGGGATCTTTTCAAAGTGAAGAAGGAAGCGAATCTTGTGATATTTGCAATGGGATAATTTACAAAAATGGACAGACAGACTGTGCATGCGAGGCTGGGTTTTTTCAAGTCGTAAACAATAATGGAAATTGCACAGCATGTCCAGAGGGAACATTTAGGAATGCGTCTGGGAAATTTGACCATTGTGAACCGTGTCCACTTGGGTCATTCCAGAACAACAATGGCAGTGAGATCTGTTTGCCTTGTGAACCAGGATCATTTCAAAACGAGACTGGACAGACATATTGCGAAAACTGTAGCAATGGAACATATAGGTCCGAACAGGATGATGCAACAATCTGTCGACCATGTCAGGAAGGGAGCTATCAACAACATAGCGGAAGTACTTCATGCGATAACTGCATTAATGGGAACGCTAACACTAGTCTGCACTTCGATATATGTATGTGTAACCCTGGTTATCGACAGTTTGCATATGGGGAACCAGTGTGTGAGCCTTGTCCTATAGGTTCTTATAGAAGAAGTGACGATCCGTTTGACCAGTGTAAATCGTGTGATTATGGGGAATACCAGGCAGCCCCTGGACAATCTCAATGTTTACCATGTGGGTTGGGAGAGTATCAAGACCAGCAAGGACAGGATCTATGTCTTCCATGCCCAATCGGAACATTTAGCTCAAAAGTTGGGTCAAAGCAATGTTCTGTGTGTCCTGACGAGCTACCGATTACCACAGATATTGGATCCAAAGATGTCGATGCATGTACAGGTATGTAGCTGCTGTGCTATATATCTTAACAGTATGAATGTCTCTGCAGAAAATAGATATCAATAGAAACGTTTGCAGATAACAAATAATCAAGAACCAATTCTTAAAAGGTGCTATGTTAGAAACTAAATGATTGGGAAACATATCACTAACAACACGCAAACCCTCCCAATAAGAAAAATGAGTAAAACAATTCCACCAATTCATTGACGATTTTTTATATTGTAGAATGTTCGCCCGAGAATTGTGGCCTGCCAATCTCTGTCCTCTCTATACAGCCTCGTTTTGGTCCTCAATCTGGAGGGACACTTTTGACTATGAAGATCGCAAATGTTAAGTCACACCAACATATCCAAGTGGTTGAAGTAGTCGGTATTTTTTGTAATTTAACAAGGTAACATGAAATGATTTTCAAAGTAAAGGTTTACCAATGGTTATATATGTCTTTGATAGTTATGTCATCGCGGGTATCCTGGCTTGAGATTAACACAATGGGGACTAGGGAAGATCACAAAGTAATAACGATGACAACGCATAAAAAGCAGTGACAGAAGAAAGCAATAAAAGCAAATTTAATCTGAATTTGTAGAAACCCTACTTTTAAGATTAAGAAATACAATCTCAAAATGATCAGAAGAATTATAATCAATTTCAGAATGAACACGAGCATGGATACAACAACACTGGTCTGTTTAACCGGTAGATCTCCAACAGTAAGAAGTGGTGATATCGCCATTATTCTGACGGATAATAAGACACTCACTGACGTTGCTAAGGGGGTTGAGTTAACATATTCTTACATGGAAGACCCAGTCATTACAGACATTGAAAATAACGAAACACCTGTGAGGTAAGCCATTGCGCATCATATGTATGCCTATAGACCAAGTGATTAGTCATTCTTCGAGTTTTTTCCATACTATTCAACATTCTAAGCCTGTTCACCCACATCATGGGCTTTCTCTATTGAAAGCCCATGCCCACATCATCGCAAAACTTCATCTTGAACCTTGAAAGGTTTCCCTGAGGCCTAGAGCCAGAGCCAGAGTCAGATATGATGTGCAATGTCCTTTAAATAGGACGATAAAAGATCTGCATGTGTTTCTTGATCTGAAAAGGTTTCAAAAATGGCAGCCATGGTATTTCAATGGAATTTGAATTTGTAATACTAGAACACTAGAACACTAGCTATTGTCTAGTTATAGCACAGTTACTTATGATGGCACAAAATTATACTATTGCTTTATTGAGTCTAAGTCTGACTAGGTAGTTGGAATTTGGTCGACCGATTCTTATTGTGATCAAAGGATGACCTCTTATTGAAAGAACACAGATGAAGCGATACCAAAAAGGGTTTTAGAAATTTGGAGATGCTCGTACACCATATCCTTGGTTTGTTACAGTGGTGGGGTAACTGTTGGGATAATTGGTAGGTTCCTTACATCGGTGAGTGGACCTGAACTGACCGTCACGTGCAATATAGAGACCATCATTATCACAGTTAAAAAGGTAGGAGGCATCTGGCAGTCACGACAATAATAGGGAATAAAATGTTGGTAATTTGAGCTAAAATATGCGATTATGGTAAGTCTTAGCTTTTATTTTATGTTAAGTGTTCAATTGGAATCAAGAACAAATGAACATCATTCTTCCTTTTCTTGTTCTGTGTAGATCAAAGTAACTCTCATTAAAATAGCGTTCCTTTTGTTTTCTGAAGCAAGTTCCCTCTTTTTGTAGGAGTGTAAGGAGGTCTTCATGGAAAAAATGCTTTGTGAAGTGCCCGACCTAAATCAGATTATAAATGTCACCAAAACCATTCCGGAGTTAGTGGGACTTAATTTTACGGAACTTTCAAATACCTTGGACTTCGAAACAGGTGTTAAACTGGATGGTGTTAAAGACTTTGAGAGCCTTCCTGATGCTCTGCCAAACAACACAAATACTAAACTACGTCTTTTTCCTGATCCCGATTTTGAAAGATTGCCAGATATTTTCTATGCGAATACTTGGTTACAGATACTCACTCTTACAATCCCTGTAAGTCGGAAAAAGAAAAGATGATTTTCTAATATCATATTTGTTTGATGATCAATCCTCATTGCTCGTTATGCCAAATATATTTTGAAGGACTTCTGCAAAACATTGTAGATGAATGCTTGAATTGCTTCTGTTTGTGTTTTAGGTAAAAACTTCTTCCCCAGCAGTCGACAGTTAAGATATGATAGTTCATGTTGGAGATGGAATCTGTGAAGTGATTCGACTGAATGCGAATGCTCTTATATGTAAAGTCCCTGAGCGAAAACCTGATTATGGCCCTTATGGACCTGGCAAAGGTCTATCGCATCATGTCGAGGTCCATATCTTAATGCAAGCTTGTCGACGATATCCTTTTGAAATTGTATTATTTTCTGAATACATATAATTTCATTAATATTGTAACAGATGTATAAAATGTTTGCCATGTCATAATTTAAGAAGGGGTTACGCTTCTTCCACTGCAATGACAATTTGAAATGTCATATTGACATCATCATTGTAGGCTCAAGTTGGTACAGTTGGACGAATGTACTCTGTAGGAAATGTAAAGTATGTTGAGATGGAACTGTATGCAGGTCTATTTGCCACAGGTCTCTTAATCATTGTAGTATTAGGGATTCTTGTTTGTGTGTTACAAAGACGGCGTGTCAAGGCCAGAAAAGCAAATAAATTTCCGGAATTTGTAGATATGAAAGTCGTGTCTGACGACAACGATGGCAAATATGGTAATATTTTTTCCTTATCCTAACAACTTACTGTAAATTTTCAAAAACATATGAAGATTTATCTATCCCATTTCAGAAACAATTACAAAAGTGATGCTTACATCTCCATCAAAAATATTTTTAAATGAATGCATTATTAAAAATGTTATCGCCAAATAAAAATAATACTAACGTTTCTTTTGTTCACCATGTACAACTAAATACTGTATATACTAATATAATAGTATTTAAAGTACTTTTGATCATTTTGTGTTGTGCTAATAAAACATCTTTGTATTTCTATTGTAGTGTACGTGTATGACAGGGTAGAAATATCTCAACTGGAAAAAAACTTAATGAAAATATTGGGAGACAGACTGCTGAAATACAATGACATTGGGCAGAAGAAAATACTCGGACAAGGTTAGAACAAATATCTTGTATGGATTGCCAAGATATTTTCCATGAGAATAGTTCATCCCTTCATCAATCGGTAAAACTAATAACTATATCCAGTACATTTTGTGTTGTTAGGACAGTTTGGTATTGTCTATAAGGCTTATATGAAAAACATGGATGTTGCCGTAAAGACAATAAAGAAATCTGGATGTAATCAAAACGAACTATCTGAGTTCATCGATGAGGCAATTGTTATGAAGGACTTTGACCATCCTAATGTTTTAAACTTGATTGGGGTTGCACTGCATGATAACATACCTTTCGTTGTCCTTCCATTCATGGAGAACGGCGATCTCAAAAATTATGTGCAGGATCCAGAAAAGGTAACAGCTAGGTGGTTGACACGATCTAATGATATGTGTGAAATTATACTTCGCAATTAGTTTTGTGGTTTTCTTAACTCATATCGACTTTGCGTTCAATTGCTCAACTTGAATTCGATTGCATTACATCAAAACTATTACGTTTATTGTATCTTTTATATCATTTTTGTTGTAGAGGTTCACATTTAGGGATATGCTCAACATTTGCAAACAAGTGGCTCAAGGAATGGAATATTTGGCATCACAGAGCTTTGTTCATAGAGATCTGGCTGCCAGAAATTGCATGTATAAATATATATCATTTTGCTAGTTTTATTTGACATTATTTTATCTTATTTTACACTCAGACCGGAAGCCAGGGCACCTCTTTCAAAACCATTGCATTATAAGCATTTTACAAGTGGTTTTGGGCCAAAGATATTAAATGTGAAGCCCCTGGAATTTTTTGACCCCTCCCCTTGGGAAAATCTGGCAATGGGCCTGACCAGGTGATACTGTAGCAATATTCCAAGGTTATTAGCTGCTTAAGCTCCTTCTTGAAGATCAATTAAGCGGACCTTTTTTGATGTACCGTTCCTCGGGGTCGTCATCTTTCTCAAGGAATCATGCACATCCAAAATATGATGTCATGAAAATGGAAACGCTCACTCTCACATTTAGTTGAATAAGTATAACGTTTATTGTCTGTACTAGATATTCATGTTAACTATTAAAAGGGTTTCGAGCGAGTGCACAGTGAAAATAGGAGATTTCGGTCTTTCAAGAGACATCTACTCAGACAAGTACTACATCGACGAGAGGTTGGCTAAACCACTTCCGGTCAGATGGATGTCTCCCGAGAGTTTACGAGATGGAAAATACAGCAGCAAGTCGGATGTGGTATGGTATTTTTCATCAAGGGCTATCAAGAAAGCCCATAGTTTCATTGAATGATACGTTTTTCTGACACCAAGGATGATCTCTTCTTCATCCTAGCTGATATAGGCTAAACAGAATCAACAATTTGTTAACGTCTGTTTCCAGTGGTCATTTGGTGTGTTGATGTGGGAGGTTCACACGCGTGGGGGCATGCCGTATGCTGATGTTGAATCATATGCTATTAAAGCATTTGTCACCAGTGGACAACGACTAGAAAGGCCACCATTAACACCTGATGAAGTGTAAGATAAATGAAAGGCAGAATCAGAGATATACAGGGTGGGCCAAATAAAACCAATACCCACGCCTAAAGATGGATATCATATGATATATGTTATCTGATGCAATGTATTACATATCATTTTGAAGATAGATCATTTCCAACTTGATATTGATTTACCTCTAATCACTGGAGAGTTACAATAATAAAGTTACAAATGGAATTATGAATAAAAATACACATATTTTAAAATAGTGAACAGTGTTACATACTGTATATCCCCAGTTTAAATGAGTTTAAATGAAACCTCTATAGCAACCGAAGGTCGATAGGTAAGGACAAAATAGAGTTTTCATACCAACAACAAATTTATTGAACAATATGACACCATCCGATTGAAAATCCGTTGTTATCTTGTGGAGTAAGAGGCTTAAATTGACACCAGGGGTTACATGGGTGACCAAAAATTTATTCACTGCGGATTTCCAAATTGTGGAAAATGGAGGGAATATGAACTTTGGTATCTTCATAAGAGTATACAAGTTTAGTGCAAAATCCACCAACAATACTTATATATTTTGAATCAAATATAATGTTTTACTCTTAAACAAAATAATGATTCAGTCAGGCATATCGAGTGCAGCTGTGACTAAAATATGAACTTCGGGAACTTTCATTTTTTGATTTTTGGTCGCTAATGACACACATCTTGTGCCAATTTTAGCCTTTAACTCCTCAAAAAACAAATGTTTTTCAATCGAATGGTGTCATTTTGTTAGGAATGATTTATCTTTAAACTTTGTGCATTCGTTTTTTGGGCCACCCTGTATAAAGAGTGACGAATTGCGCGAGGATATCACAATATACAATCTTGATTAACGTCATTAAGAATTCAAATTTCCATCAAAGTGATATCATATTTGAAGTCTACATGTAAAAGTACACCTAGAAATGTGGTTTTAAAAAGTGTTTATCAACTTTGAAAATTTAGATTTCTTTGAAAATGTGATTTCTAGGTGGTGGAGATTCCCCATAGACCCCATGTTATAGAATCACAAAAAGTGAAATATGTTTTCTTGTATTGGACAAATAATGTTTTCTTTTGCTTGACATATTTTAATTTGCATAACTATCAGATACAAAAGGGTAGTATGAAAATTAATCAACTAAAACAGATAAATATTCGAGTTTAAGGGAATTTTCTAATATCCTGCCATGTCAATTCCCCCGAAGCAGCCACCTGGTGGTGAAAATAGTAACTGCTTTCTCGCATCATGGTAATTAATCTGCAATATACTATAATCTCAAATACTAGTATATGTTTTTTTCAAAGGATCCACGATATCTTATCGAATTCTGGCGTAATAAAAGTTCCACGTGGAATAAAGTATGAACTTTGGAGATAATTCTAAAACGTTTGATACAGGCCAAATATGTATTCTGAAATTGAAACAGTTTTTAGCTAAAAAATAAATATGCTAGGTACAGGGTGAGTCAAAAAAGGTAGCCCAAACAAATCCTAATAACTGAGTCATCCTGATCAAAACTGAGTTTAGGTTTTAAGTAATATTTGGCACACTATCAAATCTTGTTCAGTGTTCTTTCATTTCACCCAGTTTCATTGGTCTATTTCAAATGGTTTTATGACATTTCACAAAAGTTGCTCAAGATGCCATTCTTGTCTTTAAAAGAAAACTTAAACGCATCGCCATCGGGTGAAGTTTTTTTTACTACGCGCCCACAGATGTATTGTGTAATGGCTCTCATTTTCCTTCTGATCTCTTTTGTTCAACTCTCTGATGCTTCTTGTGTTATTAAGATTTGTTTGGTACAACCTTTTTAGGCTCACCTTCTAGATGAGATTGTGCCTTTCTTTAAATGCAGCAGTCTACGAGATACAGTTCTCCTTGAGTCCTTTCATTGGCCTATACCAGCCTATTCTTCTACTTGAAGGCATATTTGATTTTTTTGTTTTCTACCAAAACAACTTTGATTTGCCTTATTCATTTACTCTCATAAGGATCACAATTTTGGTGTTTATTCATAATCCACATGTCAACAGGGACATATCAATCCAGATTTAAATATTTGATAGATCAAGAAATGAAGTGATTCATGCCTCAATGTCTCCATGTATTCTGGCCCTACCATTTTCGACCAACACACGTGCTGCCATCTCTTTCTCCGTATAGGTAGCAAACAGCTTATTATTTCGGTGAAAGGTTTCGAATTTGGTAAAGTACAGCTCCCCCTATTGGAATCATAATGCTAATGAGAAACGAAATGACTTTAAATTTTTTTAAGAATGTGATAAATGGACACTAAAGTTAATACATTTCAATGTCCAATAGCTTCTAAAGAGCATACGTATGAACTAAATGTTTATTTCACAGGTATCGTATTATGTGGTTTTGTTGGTACGACGACCCTCATAGAAGACCAGACTTCAGTGATCTGGTAGAAATTATGACAAATATACTAAGTGAAGACAGGCCTAAACCACCCGAACCATTATCTGGCGAGAGAAAGACATCGACAAGGCATAAGAGACATGATTCTGAATATCAGAGACACTATTCAAATGATCAGTCCCAATTAGTACGACTACCAAGAGTTTAAAAGTATAGTTGGTGTGATAGATTTCGCAACTCACTTATAAATAGCATGTTTATTGTTCTCTAATACTGTACCAAGGTCCACCATACTACGCCACGAGTCGTCACTGTGTATGATTGTTCGGCGTTGGTTGGAAATTGTGTACTTTTTGTATAAGTTATTCTAATCTAGTATTATATTGTACTATTTTTATTTCACATACTGTGTAAATCTTAGACTTCCATAGTGGTTATTATGAGACACAAGGTTGGGCAACTGAAACATTGAGAATCAAGAAATTAAGGTTGCCCAGAGAAAACAAATTTTCGAAAAGGTTGATTCTGTTCGCTCTTTCCCGTTTGGCGGATTCAGAGGGAGTGCCATTTGGGTACACTTTGCGGTCTTTGCATTCATTCGCCGAACTTCGAATTCGCTTCTCAAAAGCAGAGAGCTTCGTCTTCGGAAGTTTGTAACTAGACTCTGCGCGCAGGGTATCATTTGGGATTACCCATAGGGTAAAAAGAAGGAAGTAGGTTTAGCATGAACAAAATTATGTATGGGTGGAGGGGGTAGAGTCGCCCCCTACCAAAAGCTGACTACGGGCACGTACATGGTACAGTTTTCAGTCCCAAATCTCAAAAACATAGAACAATAGTCATATTTACACTGCATGCGACATTTCAAGACGTCTTAGCTAAAACATTTCAGAAAAATCAAGTTGAGTTTACACCACCATTTTAAGACGTCTTACGAAATATGATTGAGTTTACACCTGTTTTTCTAAAACGTCTTGGAGATATGTAGGCATACAGGGTGTCCAATAAATAAGGTGAAAGATATTGTAACTTTCTTAATATCGCACCAATCTTGATGAAATTTTCAGAGTTTGTAGCCAAAGCCTTTTCACCTTTATTCTGTGAATTTAAAGCGTCTTCTATTTGATTGGCCAGAGTTGTGGTTGCTATAGCAACCGAAACATCAAAAAGGCGGGGCAAGTTTGTTTACGTCACAACTTTCCAAAACATATTTATTCTTTCTTATAGCTTTATTCATACTCCCAGGTCTATTTATACTACAAATACAATATAAAAACAGTCCTAGAGTCCCATTGTTATGAAAATAAGCTATTCAACATAACCACGAGGGGAAAGAGTACCCGTGTATATACAACCTACCGCCGAGCAAAGACCCGAAGATGTCTGAAAATGTAGGGGGTGAGTTATAAACTTTTGTTTATATCTTGAATTTCTCAATATGAGAAACAGATAAAACACAGAATTGTGTGTAACTGATAAAGTTATTGTTCCAGGCACTCATGTTTGCAAAATAATGAGTACTTAGCGCAATGTTTACTATCCAATCGCTAAATTCAACTTTTAAATATTTGAATGATGATTTACATCTTGAATAAGTAACAACCATGGCTGTCTTTACTTCATTCGATTCAAAGATACAATAGGTGTAAATGTATCATATTTATTTCACTGCCATACGTTGCATATCATTGAAATCAACGGTGAAAGTTGAAAATGAAAGACCCGATTATGTCACGAGTACGATTATATAGGACCCGAAGCTACCACCGAGCTATTCCGACTATACCGTGAGTAGAACCCGATGAGGTAGTGAGTAAGCTTTCGAATGAGCATATAATATCATGACGATATCACAAATATTCCTTTTTATTGATCATATACTCCTGGCACCGGGATATAATATAATATGATATAATTCCCGCAGCACTATACGTCAACGTCTGTTTCCGGCAAAGTTCTTTAAAACATTGAATTCATGCTTACACTTGAATCACCATAATTTCCTATGTGTCTATGGTAAGAGTGCAACCCAAAAACATTTAATTCTGCATTGCAAGCGCCATTCTACTCAAAGAATACAACTTGAAGAATCCCAAGCTTCACAAGCTTCATATCCTCGAAACGAAAATTACCGTGATCTTTCTTTGATAATACAATACCATAGTCAAAAACATTGTAAATCCATTTTTTGCCATTTAACTCAGGCACATTAACTTTAATATCAGTAATGGATGGTGCTGACTGAAGTGGACCACAAAGTCATCCATCTCGTGTGATTTATAACTACAGTGGAAGCATTTGTACCGAGGACCTGATATACAATGTGCAGTGGTAACTGGTGATGGCCATATTTAGTTTCATTTATTGTTCACAACAAAATGATTCACATGCATGATGCAGATTGTATGTTTATTATTTTTTCATCAGCACGTCATAAACTCGACGATATAATCGGATCTCAACAGATTTTACTCAAGTAATGTTCGGATTCTGAGATCCTTTACTCAAGATATTTTCGGATCTTTATAATATTACTCGTCGATCACATCGGGTCCGATGTCCGATAACCTCGGATCTTTTAGGACAAAGTTTAAGTGAAGATTTTGCTGTTCAAAAGTGCTATTTTGACCTAATATTTTGACACTTAATATATTATGCATATATGCACATCCATTTACCGACCCAAGTATGTCTTATGTATGGCTCATTATCAATTAAAGCGAGTATGAATGAGAAAAACAAATCGAAAACCATTATACGTTTACCTTATCTCTTAATTTGGACATAAAAATATATTTCAACTATAATTCTAGGCCAATTGCGCCTGCTAGAACATCTTAGTACCAACTCTAACCATCCAAAGGAATTGTTAGTGACATTATATTACCTTTATTGTCCATTTTCCTACGAGATGACATTATCAAACATTTGCTCGGCGGTATGTGCGTGTCTTGCTCGGCGGTAGGTTGTATATACACGGGTACTCTTTCCCCTCGTGATAACGTTCATCTCTAGCTATATACTTTTATGCCTGTTCACATGTCTCAGCAAGACTTCAGGAAATGGGCAAGAATGGGTTTGAAAGTGTGTTTAGCGAGTGGGTGAATAGGCATGGCATAAGAAGTGTATAGCTAGAGATGGACATTGTGTTGAATAGCTTATTTCCATAACAATGGGACTTTAGGACTGTTTTTATATTGTATTTATTGTGACGTAAACAAACTTGGCCCGCCTTTTTGTTGTTTCGGTTGCTATAGCAACCACAACTCTGGCCAATCATATAGAAGACGCTTTAAATTCACAGAATAAAGGTAAAAAGGTTTGGGCTACAAACTCTGAAAATTTCATCAAGATCGGTGCAACATTAAGAAAGTTACAATATCTTTCACCTTATTTATTCATTGGACACCCTGTACATGTAAAATGAAAAAAGCAGTTCAACACTGGTTGAAGGATGGCTCAGTCAACATAGCTATTCCTTTCCCGCTTCTATACTTTCTGCTAAAGAATGCATCGGTTTCAAAAAATGTCTTAAAGAGAGCATTGTTAAAAGCATGAAAGAGGGCGGGAAGATTTTGTCCATATATAAGGATTATGACAGAACGCTTAAAACTTGTAAAACGTTTTAACGCTAAAACGTTTTGGCCACGACGTCTTAGGGGTCTATAGTGTAAATCCAACAAATGATGTTCTAATGCTGAAAATAAGCCAGCTGTGACCGCTGAATGCGTCCGTATGCGTCATTTTTCACGTAAATTATCGTTGGGAATTAAACATTCGTTCCTAAACAGGCCAGTCGGTAGCTTTCGCCACTTTTCGAAAAATTCAATTGGTTTCACATTTGGCAACTTCGGCCCGAGCCCAAATGCTCCCAAATATTTCAACATGGCATTGAATTTATAATTTGAATTTTTGACCTACCAGATGTTTGAAAATCAAGGATTGCGAGTCTCATATCGTACTGCACCGTTTTTCTTCAAATATGTTTCATTCAAAGCCATACAAAATTCCCTTTCTGTCGCTGCATTGCTTTATTGTATAGCTTATAGTAGAGATGTCAAGTATTAACCGGTTAACCGGTTAACCGCCGATAATGCCTTGACCGGTCTGTGTTTTGGGCGGTTAGTTGACCGTGTATAATTCTGTTATTTCCCGCGCTTATTTTGCATGCTAATCCGTTTGGTTTTATGGTGTCAGTTTCACGTAAGCTACTCATACATGTCATAAGTTCCGTAACTCCTTACAAACATCCAATCAGCAACTTTAATCCCTGCCACATTGCTTTCCCGCGCTTACTTTGCATTTTAATCTGTTTGTTTTTCAAGCGTCAGTTTCGTGTGAGCTACTCATACATGCGATAGGTCCGATAATTCCTTACAATCATCCAATCAGCAACTTTAATCCCTGCCACATTGCTTTCCCGCGCTTACTTACATAGAATAGAGTAAAGCTTGACGAACGTAAAAAATAAACGCCGATATATCATTTTTCCATTTTTTTCAACTTTCAAGATCGAAGATGAAGATTTCATTTGAAATTATCAGTTCAAATTTCCCGCCGGTTAACCGACTTTAACCGGTAAAAACCCCCGGTTAACCGGTTAATGCTCAAGCGGTTAATTGACACCACTAGCTTATAGAGTCCCTAGTTTTAGCAGGGTTTTGGTCCCCAGCTATTAAGCTCTTCTTACAACTGGGGACCAAAATGTCGCTGGAAGGAGAATAATGTTCCAACAGAAAGGCATTTTTGTTATGCTTTGAATGGAACAAGTTTGAAGAAAAACGGTGCAGTATGAGACTCGTAATCCTTGATTTTCATAAAAGCCAGGGCGACATGTTTATAAGGCATAATAACTTTTTGTAGGCCTAGCCTACGTGTAACTTTATATTATTGGCTTCAAGAAAAAGTCACGAACCACAGACCATATGTTTATTATTCGTACGCTAATTGACAGATTTATACACTTTGAGAAAAAGAAAATGTATATTTGCTTTGTAGATCTAAGAAAAGCATTCGACACGATATGGCATAAGGGACTGTATCTCAAACTTCTCCAAGCAGGAATTCGAGGTCATTTTTATCACATGGTAAAACACATGTATACTAATTCAATGGCATCAGTTAGAATTAACAGTAACGGTGACCATACTGATATCTTTAAATGTGAGAGGGGGGTTAAACAGGGGGACCCACTCAGTCCATTAATGTTTAATATTTACATCAATGGTGTTGTTGAAGAATTAACACTTGAATCAGACTTAAAATTACAAAAACAAAAAATAAGTTGCCTGCTATTTGCAGATGATTTAGCCATAATTACTGCAAATAAAACTGATATGGACATAAAATTGAAAAAATTAAACAATTATTGTAAACAATGGAACTTAGATATCAATACTGATAAAACTAAAATTGTAATGTTTAATAAAAGTGGTAAACGATGTAATGATATATTCTACATTGGGGACCAGGTAATTGAAAACGTATCAAAGTATACTTATTTGGGTATGGAATTCCATGCCAACGGATCGATGAAACAAGCTGCAATCTTTATTAAAGAAAAAGCAGAAAAGGCGAAATTCAAATTGATAAGTATGCTTACACATGGTGATATTAACCTAACTTTGTGCCTGAAATTATTTGACATATTAGTAAAACCAATTTTATTATATGGATGTGAAATCTGGGGTGCTGGTCTAATAACTAATAAAGATCTTCTGAAAAATAAAGATTTTGGCCTTGAAATGAAATATGACAAGTCACTTCCACCGGAATTACTACATCTATCTTTTTTGAAGTTTCTATTAGGGGTGCATAGAAAAACGAGTAATTTAGCTACGATGGGTGAGTTAGGTAGATTCCCTCTGTTTATCAATATATTTTACCAACAAGTTAAATACTTAGATCATATAGAAAATGAAGGAACGAGTTCATTACTAATTAATGCATATGCAGATAGTATTGAACTATCAAAAGTTCATAATCAACCATCATGGTACTATGACATTGATAAAATAATGGCATATGTTCAACCACAAGATAAAAATTACATTAAAAGTAAACCGCTTGATATTAAGAAAATCCTTGAAAAAAGATATATAAAATATTGGGAAAAAACTGTCAATGATAATAAAGGGAAATTAGAATTTTTGAATAATATCAAACAACGATGGGGAAAAGAACCATATTTGAATTTAATAAAGAACGCCGAACATAGGAAATCTATGACGCGATTGAGAATAAGTGCACACAATTTAGAAATAGAGCGAGGAAGGTATACAAGACCAATAGTTCCGAGAGATCAAAGAAAATGCAAATTATGTAAAATCACCACTGGTACGGAAATTCATTTTATTTTTGAGTGCCAAAAATTGGAAAAAATGAGATATGAATACTTTGATACGTTTAACTCGATTTGCCCAAATCTAACTGTATTGACTACCGAAGAAAAGGCTAATTATATGTTTAATGCTGAGGGTAACATGTGTATCACCTTTGCAAAATACCTTTATGAAATAATTGAAAAGAGATCAACAACTATATTATCAATATAAATATATACATGTAGGTGTAGGCTAATAGTAGTTGTTGGTATATATCTAATGATCAGTCAATCACATTATATTGTCATTATATGCCATGTAAAATTTGCATTGTATGTTATTGTAATTGTATGTATAGTTTTAGTTTTATTTTATCATGTTTATTTGCTGTACACTCACCCGAAAGGGATTTTTAGTACAATAAAGCATTGAAATATTATTTTTTTACCTTTTTATACCATGTAACTGTCTAAATGAATAGCTAGACGCAAATAAAGAATACATACACACATGCAAAGTTCATCTCGTTACTTGATTCGATACACTCTCTTCCTGATCAGGGCCCAGTCCCAGGAATGCCTACAACACTACAATGCCAGTCACTGCCAGTCTACTGAATTATAGATGAAGATAAACCCTACATAATGCGTCATTTATGTAGATTTCTGCAGGGGTAAAATTTATTCGAAAATTTAAGCACATTACACAAACACAAAAGCACAGGCCCAGGAAGAAGATTTAAATCCCCCCCCCACACCAGTGGCGGATACAGGGGTGCGCGCGGGACGCCCCCCCCCCGAAAATCTGGCATAGACAATTATTTAGTTCTAGTGTAATTTGAATAACACTTGTATCATATTTAAAGTGGGGATTATTCGTTTAATTTTCCGATTGTATGAATTGTATATTGAATGTTACATACTAGTAACCTTTGATGATCGTGTTCTTCAATTTTAAACACTGAAATATATTTGAATGCTGATGTACGATTTTCGATTTAGCATGATTATGCAAGTCGTACAATGTTAATAAAATTATTTATTATGTTAGAAATTAGAATCCCTTAAAAAGATTGGGGATTTTTAGATATTCGCCAAAGAGAAGCTGATGCCTGGAAAAAAATTACAATAATGACACACAACTTGACTAATATCAAAGAAAAATGCACGTATTCGAGAAGTACGAGAATAATAACAATGGAGATTTGGAAAAAGTATATGAAACCGAAAACGTGAAAACTATAGCCTACAGTGGCGAAGGTGTAAATTCAAAACTACCTACGCAAATCAATATATTTTATAATTGCAAAACCACGAAAACTACAGTTTTGATAGTTATAGGCCTAATAGATGGTACCCATGATTCATTGTTAAAACGTTGTTAACATTTTAAATTGTGTAGCCTCTGGTGAAAAATCAAAGCACTGCTTGAAAACGATGATCTTTGACATCGCACTCATTTCCTGATGAAATATATCTAGGCTAGCCTATAGTTAGATTGTTCTATTTCTCGAACGCTTTTCACTTTGGTAAAACAATTAATTTCAGATAAATATGCAATAGCCTTTTAATCATTATTGGTATCATTAAACTTTGTTCAGATTTTTTGAATCATGAAAATGAACATATGAACAATTTTATTCAAAAAGTACTCTATGGGATCAGACGATGTGATGTTACTAAGTAACATCACATCGTCTGATTCCAACGTGTAGTTAGTGAGGATGGAGATAAAAGTATGTTCAGTCGATTTAAGTTTTAAAAAGTTATCAATTAGGCTAAGCTTACAAGTAAGCTTATATCACACGTTATCATATGTACGTTTGGGATGTTCAGTTTAATCAAGATTTCAGTTAAGAAATGGTAGATTTTACCGAAGGTTGATGAAAATAATTTCACCGAAAAACATTATGTTTGTCGTTATCTTAGAAATATATAAACTTAAGCTTAGGTAGGCCTAAGTATACTATTTTCTGATTCCAAAAATGCTCAGATTGCAACAAAAAGCATTCAAATTTTTGAAATTTCCGGGGACTCCACTGTTAGTCATTCTCCGACCTCATTCGTCATCTACCGGCCTCGAATTCAATAATCAAGGCGCACACCTCACTGGCGGATTAGGGGGGGGGGGCCTGGGGGCCTGGGCCCCCCCCCCCCTTGGGTGGGCCCAGAAAAAAAAAATTGGGCCCAAAAATTTTTTTGGGCCAAACAAGGCCTTCAGGCCCCAAAAAGTCGGCCTTTTTGGTCATTACTGGGCCTAAGTTTAAGGCCTTATTTTTTAATTTCAGGCCAAATTTTGAAGAAAATGGGCCTCAAAATTTCAAAATTTGGGCCCACTTTTGAATTTTAGGGGCCCAAAATTTTTCCCCGTTTTTTTCTCTGACCTGAAATTTGGGCCCCCCCCCATGTTGGTTCCTGGATCCGCCCCTGCACCTGAAATCCTGGATTCGCCCCTGCACACTGGCCCACCCCCCCCCCCCCACACACACTCACTGTGTACTGTAAAAAAATACAGTAAGGTTATATTTTACAGTACACAGTGAGTTTATTGGGGGGATGTGAGTGTGGGGGGATTCATTACTTAATCTTCTTCCTGGGCCTTGAAAAGCACCTTACTTGAACCCACTCATCAATATTTGAATTTCGCGCCTGGATGAAGGAGTTTCATCAATAGATGGCAGTTTACAGCTTGGCTTCACTTCCGGTTATAATGTTTAGAGAAATGATCTTTTTTCGGGCTCTTTTTCAACATTTTACAACTCATAGGCGAGGTAAGTAGAATCTCTGTTATCAAACATGTCTTGTAGAGCTTCTAGCTTATATTGATTGATGTGAAGGAAAATCATGGTAAAAAATGTCAAAAATCGACAGAAATATATTGACTTTTGTTTTCTTCACAGGGAATTGCATGGAAGATCGGGCAGAGCCCTGTTATGCCTCCATAGTCTTCTCTTTGAAAGGAAGAAGACTTTCAAGACTCACAAGGGCTCTGCCCGACCCTCCATGCGATTCCCTGTGGTTTCCTTTGAGTTTGAGATTTGCACATTTCCTCTACTACTTTTTTCAAGGCCTGAGTTTGTCGCTAACATGCTAAAGAGTTACCTGACGTTTGGGAGTCTGACTTACCTTCTAAAGGTTAGAACCCGAATCTTATTGAAACCATATCACCTTTGTTGCGTCGATGATGGTGTATAAACATAGCATTTGATAGAAATTAGTGTAAATGCTTTTCCGACTTTTTCATTTTTCATCAATATTGACTTCCGGGAAGGCGTTGTAGTTATCACGAAATAACGCATTGACCCATGAACTTTACTTTGTTGACGTGTCATCCAAACATGTCTGGTGTGAAAATTAAAAGAATATTAAGCAATGTTCTACATCCGCCCGCCATGCTAAGTGAAGTAGCCAATATTTAAAATTACCAATTTCAAGTGAAGTACGCAACGAACGAAACTGCGTGATCTACACTCCCACTTTTGGTCTGAACGAAATGCTACGTAGAAATATGAGCTGTCTGCTGTATTAGTCAATTAATAGAGTAAGACCTGTTGGTGATGCTTTATAATTTAGACCAAAACATTGAAGAACATACGAACCTGTAAATCGTGAAAACAACAAACAAATATTCGGTTTTCATATATGTTCGGTAATTTTTCGTATTGAAACTTCCGGAACTTACAAGGAAATCATTCATTTTCTCGGTCCATGATTTACCTCTTGGATGTTGTGGCAAATGCTCCATGGTTGACGGAACAAAGGTGATATGGTTTCATTAAGATTCGGGTTCTAACCTTTAGAAGGTAAGTCAGACTCCCAAACGTCAGCTAACTCTTATATTTAGCATGTTAGCGACGAAGTCAGGCCTTGAAAAAAGTAGTAGATCCATCATCTAGGCTATATCTCCTATTATATGAAGTTGTATCAAGTCCTTTTTGCTGCTCTTTCAGTGGCATAGCAGGGGGAGAGATCTCCAAAAGTTCAGCCTTCATATTCAATCATGTGTTACCCATGTGCTAGATCCATATAAGGATTGTATGACCATATAGAATGGCTAAGGGGAACCCCCGTATACGAAAGAATATGATAGTATTATGGGAGCTATTTATTTCTTCTAGTGGCGTAGCTAGGATTTCTTGAGGGGGTGCATGAGGCAAAATTTTCAGATTGATGAGGCAAATTTTTTCTTTCAATGAGGCAAAAAATCAAAAATGAGGCAAATCATGTATTTAAACCCCTAAAACCCAGAAACTAGGCCAAGATTTCTAAAATTAAACGACTAAAAGCACTCAAGTAATGCCCAGAAGGCCCACTGTTTGAAGCCAAACAACATTTTTGAGCTCCAAATCTTTTTTAGTCCAACAAATTTTTCTTGGACCATCCTATCCACATTTGAAACATTGATTGCATCATGACACATCATAGGCAGCATAAAAACATTAATATTGTGATCCTGGGATCCCTCTTGATTGCTTGCTTTACTTAGCCCTTGAAATAAATAAATTTAGATTTTTTCCATGGATGAACTTCCTGGTTACGAGTTTTTTGTTTTCTCGGTTTAAACCTATTTATAAGTAAATTGCAGATTAAAATTTGGCACAAAGCTAAAAAATATAGCCTTGCTTTAATAAGTTTCATCAATTTGAAATTTGTTTCGTTAATGAAGTTGCAATTCATATATTTAGTCCCTCGGTTTTGTTACATTGACGAAAGTCATTATATTGCCAATGTATGTTACTTTGACTACTTACGTGAATGTAACATAAGCAGGGGCGGATCTGGGAGTCAACAAGGGGCTTGAAGGGGGGGAAGCCCCTTAACCCAAAAGTGGGCCCAAATTTTGAAATTTTGAGGCCCATTTTCTTCAAAATTTGGGCTGAAATTAAGAAATAAGGCCTTATAAGGTCCAGTTATGACCCAAAAGGCCCACTATTTGGGGCTTTAAGGCCTTTTTTGGGCCCAAAGATCCCCCCCCAGATCCGCCAGTGATAAGTGATGGTCTAAATGCATAAATAACAGTTTTATTTAAAAATCAAATTCCAAACCAAGAGCATTTCTAAAAGCTATACTATTTTGTATCTAACTTTGTGCCAAACGATAAATCGAAACTCAACTCATAAGTAGGATTAAAACGAGAAAACAAAAAAATGTATCCAGGAAGTTCATCCATTTTGTTACATTGATGTTCCTTCAAAGTAACTAGCTTAAAGTGTATGCGTCAATAAAAAAATTCAAACATTTTTTTTCTATATTCTATATTTCAATTTTTTGGGGGGATGGCCAGGGAGGGTCGCATCAAACGCACCTCCACCCCCCTAATAAGTGTCAAAGTTACCCCATTTCTTGTGCTGACATTACCCCACACATCAATGTTACAACCCTTTGCCCTTGAAAAGGAATATTTAATTTAAATACTATTTTAAAAACTGTTGTTAAAATATTCCGTTGATTGAAATTGAATCACACCCTATCCTTACTTGTCGGTTACTCATTGTGATAGCATCATTAATGAAATTATTCCAGGATGATGGACTACCATTCACTAGCTGCCATGATGACATACAAATGTAGACATTTACTGAAGTAGCTAACACCATGGAGAATATACCCCAATGCAACCTAACATTATATTGTGAAGGGTGATGACATCTAGAGTTTGTTGGCACAGCAGGAGATATACTTTTAATGTAAGTTATTTAGGTTTTGGATGAATGGGATTCAGCCCATTGGGATTTAAACGATTGAGACTTTTTGGATACGGACCATTGATAAATCTAATTACCCTCAAAGCATAGCAGATTGATCTTCAATCAGTATGGATTCGAACCCTTCATATTTGAATATTAAAAATACTGGTATCTCTTGAATATTGATGATGTATAAAACAGCTGTTACATGGATCACCTCAAAAACTGAAAGAGAAAATACATCAGTTCTATTGCTGATAACACAACTGGACATATAGTTGTTTAAAAAAAGATGATGATTAAATTGATTTTTTATATACTAATTTTGTGACATGTTCATTTTTTTGTTTTCATTTCATATTGATAAAGCTTTACTTAATATTTCTCATTATTCCAACGAATAAGGTTTGGGAGGAATGTTGTAGTCTGTAGAACTTATGTAAGTGGAAACGCCACGGGACTTAACAACCAGCTCCACTGTGTGAGTTGTTCCAATTACTAGGTGTTTCACTTTCTACTGTACACTGTATACTCATATAATCTCAACTTTCTAGTGACAACAAATACTCATCTGTAAATTGAAGAACTAAAAAGCCTAAGCGAGCTTCCTTTGTTTATATTCAAGGCAAGACTTCAAAAATTATTTTTTGAAACCTTTATACTGTACTCCTGGTATTTTTCGCATGCAATTCAATTTGCACTTTTCTTTTTTGTGTGAAGGTTCATCCAGTATTTATTGTGCGATAAATGGGGTTCTAGCAACAATGTCTCTTACACTGGCTTTTGTGATCTATAAATCAAAAAAATGACGATGTAATAGAGGTTAAGATGCAGCGTGCCATTGACCATAAGATCTAGTAATTCTAAATCTTATCCAAATATGACATTGGTGTTAAAATTGTACATTAGGTAACTAAGTTTACAGTGCTTGAGGATTGAGAGAATCATCATGTACATGTGTGTAATGAAATTTAAACTTGTGAAATCGGTGAAATTTGATAGCCACGAAATAATGATTTCTCAAAATTCGCGAAATTTAAACTCATGAAATTAACTGGTAGTACACTAATTTTACCTGTTGGCAACATTTATTCCACTCTTGAATGATATATGCCATTATTCCATGATGGTGAAAATCCCTGCAATCTGATTGGTCCATGTGACTTAAATATATCCTGTATTTACACGCACTTTCCACTTAGCATTGAATACAGAGTGAAAATGACGTCAGCGTTGGGATACGGTCCAGTATCCCAACGCCCCAGATTTCCATCCAGGATATGACTATTACTAAAAAAATCAATGGCGATCTGTTTACACCAACGCATGCTAATATTTGCATTTTGCTAGAAAAATCTGATTTGAATATCAGGAAATGATACGGTGATCACCACAATTTATTATTTTAGGATAAAAAACACTCATCTGTAATTATAAAAAAATCAGTATGAAGCGCACATTGTTTTCATGAACTAGTAAAAATCCAATCCCATATGGCAGACGAAAGTCGAAAAAACGTTTCGTTACACTGTTCCAGCTGATGAAATTGAAGAAAAATGTTGAAGAAAATCAAACGTATCGTATAATACAATAAAAGCAAAACAACAAAGCCAAAAAGATTTTGAAGGAATATCGATGTAAAATATTTTTGGACTTGATTTAGGGGAGTTTTATCTGAGTAATCATGGAATAAAAACGTTATTCAATGATTTCTCGTGAAATACAGAAAATATTCTTCCCTTGAACGTCTGTATTTCACTCTGCTAGCGCATCGTGAAATACGACCTTCTCGGGAAGAATATTTTCTGTATTTCACTCGAATCATTGAATAACTTATAGTACATGTTTATATATTCAGTTTGTAGCTAATTGTGAACTATCACAATGTAGTATTGTAGTAAATAAGCTTTATTACAACAAATAATACATTGATTGTGAGTTACAGTTTCATATATTCATCATAAGTACATGGTGATTATTGATTAGGCTTTTACTAATTCTTTGCATCATCATAATCAGATTTAAAAATGCAGAAATACATGATAGTAATAATACATAATACTGTCCAGAAAAACTCAAGTCTTAGGAATCTTTTTTGAATCTCCTAAATAGCAGGATATTGATTATGTTTTTGGTTATTTGTATGATAGTATGTAGTGGTCCACTTAAATTTTTTAAAGTTTGAGATGGTCCCTTGCATTTTATCAGTGATGCTGATAGTCCATTGCAGTTTTATGAATGAACTTTCAGTATGAAAAATAAGTACCTTACTTGAAGTTAAATTGCTTTAAGAAGGTAAACAGGTAAACAAAATAACATGCTTTGAAGTGTGTTCAAGGTGAAATGTAAGTCAGTTATGATATTCAGTAGTGTTAGAAACAAGGCAAATTCCTAATGTGGAGGTGTATGCCTTGGTTATTGAATATCTTTGATTTCTCATTGTTAATCAACTGAATTTACTTACATATGATTTTTTTTACTATGTTACCACCAGAAATGATGAGATATTGTTGTAGTCTAACTTTTTTGTGGACAGTGTTCGGCTTTTGGCAGTTGTCGTCTGTAACAAATGGTAGGTGGTTACAATTTGCGTGTTACTGCCTTATTTTATATGCTTTATTTATATAACACATTTTACCTATTTCATAATGTTTTATATGTTAATGTGATATTTTTATTTTTCAGGACTCCAACAATGCAAAAAAGATTCTTTCGTTTGATATATTCCGCTGTCTGCACTGCAGGAATATATGTGCTTCTCAGGAGTATTTTATTCAAAAATCCTTCCAGCCAAAGAGAACATCTAGTCACAGGGCCTGTCAGTAGCAGAAATGCAATACATGTTACACAATGGTTCAATTCAGGCCAAATATCCAAGGGCCCAATTATTAATTGTGCCGCCCTTATTAATGCAGATAAAAATGAACTAGAAAAAAGCAAAAAATACATGGACAGATATCCTGAAAGTATGCAGTCAAATCTTGATTTTTTAGAAATCCATAAAAACTGTGGTGATTTTACAAAAAAGAACGGGTATTTTATGGAGCCTTTGACCCTAGAAGAAAAAGAGTTTCCCATCGCATTTGGGATTTTAATGTACAAAGATGTTGCGCAGACAGAATTTTTATTACGAACTATATATCGTCCACAGAATGTTTACTGCATACATTTGGATCGGGATTCTGCGCCCGATGTCAAACAAGCGATGCAATCTCTCGTGCAATGTTTTGATAATGTATTTATCGCCTCAAAGTTAGAACAGGTTGTTTATGCTGGTTTCCCAAGACTCCAAGCAGATGTAAATTGTATGGCAGATTTACTTAAATCTCGTATACCTTGGAAATATTATATCAACTTAGCTAGCCAGGCATTCCCTTTAAAGACAAATGCAGAGATTGTGAAGATATTAAAAATATACAATGGGGCCAATGACATTGAAGGTATTATTGGAAAACGCATACATAAATGGCGTTTTGAAAAAACTTGGGTTTTAATTCCTAATCCTAAAGGAGGGAAGCCAAGCCTACGCGCAGATGATGCCAAAAAATCATCGCCTCCACATAACATTGAAATTGTAAGAGGAAGTGCATATGGGATTTTCTCAAAGGGTTTTGTGAACTATATCGTCAACAATGAGATAGCTAAAGACTTACTGGAGTGGTCCAAAGATACGTACAGCCCGGATGAACATTATTGGGCTACGCTACATCATTTAAAGAATAATCCACATCTAGAAACTCCAGGGGGATATAAAGGTAGGTATGTGTATAAGGGTTATGTACTGGGAGGTTTTGGATAAAGGGTATATCCTGAGGGATATATTTATATCTCCCTGAGGGACCGAAGGCACCAAGAGATATAAATATTTGTTGAGGGATATACCCTATATCCAAAACCGACTGTACATAACTGGTGTATCTCATACTTGAGTGTTTGGGTTAGATATTACATTTTCCACCTTTTTCAAATGAAAAGATAGGCCGATACTGTAAGAGCACAATTTACATTTAACATTTTTGTAATATTCCTTTAGTTCAATACAATGAAATTGTAATTTTAAAAAAATTTTAAACTTAAAATCTAAAAAATTAATTTCAAACTTTGGAAAAATTCCTGGGAGGGGGATGGATATATTATATCTGCCCGCATTTGGCCTGAAGCGGGACATATACAATATATCCTGCCTGCTCCTCAGATATTCCTGGGTGATATCTACCCCAAACCCTCTCAAGTATGAGATACACTGTAATATGCTAGCCTATCAACAAGGCCAGGCCCAGAGCCAGCTTTTGCAGGTGGTAAAATTTTGCATGTTAGTGGCTGTTAATGCCTTGTATTAAAATACTATTGATCAGGGCTTGTTAAATCTTGTTTAAGAACATTAAAATGTGTATCATTGATGCTATTAGGTCTACCATAAAATATTTTTTTACTAGTGAATGTTTGCACAAATCTGCACTTAAATTATTTTAGTTAGTTAAAGCTTATTATCAGTATGGGGTCAGGAGGGATTAACCCCTGAGTTCAAGTATGGGGTCAGGAGGGATTAACCCCAGAGTTCAAAGATGACATATCCTTATAATGTAAACCTGTATTGAGATGACATACATCTCTGATTGGAGAAAAATTGACAAAGTGGCGGCCTCAAAATTTTCGAAATACACTTTAAATAATATTATGTTCATTTTTGGTGTGTTGACCAATATCATAGCTTCATGCTCATGGCTTTTCAGATTTTTTGAGATTTAGAGATCTCTAAAAGCGTCATGATTGTACTTAACTATCTGCATTTGTATGTTTTTGCAAATTCAGTTTTGCCCTACCTGCTTTCTCACTATGTACTCTTTTGACTCTTTTGGTAAAATGGGATGTTACTGTTTTGCAGGTACAGCAGATGAGAAACCGTGGCTAGCTGTGTATGCATCTTGGGGCACTGTAGATCCCTGCCATGGGAAGTGGGCCCATGGAGTCTGTATATTTGGTGTTGAGGATCTTAACTATCTCGTAGGAAAGAGACATGAATTGTTTGCCAATAAATTTTATCGTAATTACCAATACCATGCCATTGAGTGTTTGGCGGAACACCTTTACAACAGAACAGTAGAGAAAGCTCCATTTGATACAAGTTTTTATGAAAAACTGCCATTCATAAAGCCATAGTGATGCTCAATAGAGCTTGAATTATTAATGATTCATGCATGTTTACACAGCTTACATTCCAAAATTCCATTTTTATGTTATCACCAAAAGTGGTGACATATTGTAATAGTCACCAAGATTTTGTGAATGGTGTTCGGCAGTTGATGTTTGTTGGTTGGTGTCAGGCTCAAATGGCAGGCGGTGACATTTTGTATGTTAATGTCTTGTTTCATAGTGTGGGAGAAACATCAGAAGAACTGAATTCCATCTTCTGAGAAATGTCAATCAAACCTTATGCCATGGTATATGTGATATTGTTAAAGAAAAGTGCAATTGATGATATTTAGTATTCCTCAGCCTCTAAACACAAGGCTACAGATCTCGAAAGAGAATGAAGGTGTTCTGTATCTTGGATTGGAGCCCTGGGATCAGAGGATGAGTACTCCTGGTATGTTTGCGAGCTACAATTTTTTCAATTGTGCAATTCACATGTTTGAGAAAGTGAAAGTGAATTACAATGCACAGAAGTATGCGGTATAAATATTTTTATAAAATGAGAGATCAGCAAAAATTAAAAATTGTGATAGTGTAATATAACCCTTAAACGGTTGGGGGGAAATCTTTAAGGAATTGTGTTGTTTCTTAAAATTTAATTAGGCATGGAGGATGAGTACTCCTGTACTCCTGGTATGTTTGCGGGCTACAATTTTTTCAATTGTGCAATTCACATGTTTTAGAAAGTGAAAGTAAATTGCAATATACAAAAGTATGTGTTATAAATATTTTTATAAAATGAGAGATCAGCAAAAATAAAAAATGGTGAAAGTGTAACCCTTAAATAGTTGGGGGGGCAGTCTTTAAGGAATCGTTTTTTTTCTTGAAATTGAATAAGGCAAAGATAATGAAATACCCAAATTGTGAGTAGTTTTGACTTGAATTGATAAACTCCTATGTTCTCAGAATATGAATTTCTTCATCAATAACGGCTCGATAGATATAAGTAAGCTCAAAATACTGGGAATTTGATAATCTTTCCAATGATACCTAATACACCCTCCTATGAATGATCATTTCCAAGACCAAAGGTATCTATAGCTGATAGCCTATTGTTTAAGGGCTAAAAATCACAAACTAAGTGAAATATATTTTTCACACATAGCTAGGAAGGTTTGTCCGATTCCAGTCAATCCACTATAATGCACTGCATTATATAACCAATGAACCACCCAAGGTCACTTGTTGAATGGTTGTCAAGATGAAAACCTGTAGATGAACGTTTATGTAATATTTGTGGTATTTTAGAAGATGAACAACACTTCATCATGATTTGTAAGAAAAACACTACAGAAAGAAAAATCTTGTTTGACACCCTTACACGATTTAATTTTGTAGGCAGTCCTGACATTATTTTTAAAAAACTAATGTCTCACAAAAATTCTTATGTAATTTTACATTTAGCAAAGTTCATCTATCATTCACTCAAAAAATTGGATTAATGTGTCAACGATGCATCACACTGATATTTAAATTTCTGTCAAGCTATATTTGTATTTTACAATTATCTTGTATTCTGTATTTTACATTTGATGATGTAATTAGAATTGTATTTGACAACAACTTTATTTTTGTATTCAATAGTTAGTTTAGTCTTAGGTCAGTTTTGTAGTTTGTAGTTTTTAGTGACTAATATGTCATTGTAATGACATCAGAGAGTCAATAAAAGATATATATATATATGACAACTTGACTCTACAGATTGAAATTGATACTTTACTAACTTGACCTTTGCAAAAAGTTTCATTGAAAATATGTTCTTTTGTTTAGTGATTTCGTATCTTTTAGGTGATTTCTTAGAAAATATTTTGTAATGTGTGAAAAGTTTAAGCCCAAGACTCAATGCATTGTGCAGTTGTGACTGATTCATTCCACTCAGGCATTGTTTCCTAAACTTAGCACTTGATTCTGCGAATAAAATGCAAAGTTTGAAACAACACCTTTTTATGAATGATTGATCCAAAATTATGAGTCCAAGGCTTAAATCCTTAATAAATAATAGCACCGAATTACCAGGAGGTGCAGTATATACAACTTACATTTTACAATATTATGTAACAGTAACTTTGCAATACATACGTGGTATTTTTGAACTTATACTTAATTTTATACTAAAATATTTATTCCATTATGGACTTAAAAAATTCCTCTAAGGCAGGGGCTTGTGGAGAAATCTATAAGAATTATGTGTATTGTAATGCTGTAAAAATTTGTCAAAATGTAATCATTCCACAATTGTGTGCCATACATAATGATTCATTATTTGAATGTATTATCGATCATGGATGCATTTTCTTAATGCAAGTTTTAAGTGTAGTGATGTTTCACTTTTGTTTATTATACTACAGAAAAGTAAAGTCTTAGTAAACACTAGAGGTGTCACGGGTCAGATATATTTCGGGTCGGGTCGGGCCAGAAAAAAAGGGTGCGGGTTGGGTAATTTAGGGTTGGGTCAGAAGGAAACAGAAAAATAAATTTTACTTGCTGTTTAAACCTGCATTATTGCATGTTATGCTTTGATAAAGGGAAAATGATAGAAAATTAGCATTAATCATTCAGCAAGAACCATAAACTATTCCCCTCAAGAAATAGGCAAGCCAAAAGTTTGAAATTTTGCGGGAAATATAAAGAATTTTTCGATAATTTATGATAATTCTGAGTGTTCTGACCTGATCCCAAATTGGTAAGAAGTTGTTTGTAACCCGACCTGAGCATTCCAACCTGAGATTCGGGTCGGTGAGACACCTCTAGTTAACACCTCTCCTGAGTGAACACCTGTGTCTTGCTTACACCTCTTCTCAGTACATACACCACTGATGTATCGCTATGGTGAACACATTTTTGTGGCTCAATAGGTTTTACTGTAGTAAGTTGTTTTTGGGATATATTCAGAAATAACTTTGGTATGTTGAGAGGGCTTGGAAAACCATGATGGCAGATATTGCCATTTTAAAAAATTATTTTTGTGTTATCAGTTATGTCAAGATGTTGATTTGGCCACTTTGCATTTTTAAGATTCTGTTAAACAACAATTTTAATGAAAAACAAAATAGGGCCATAACATTTTAAAAGAACATAGAGATAGAATATTATGTCTGTGATTCTCTATATACTATACGATATACATGATTTAATACACTATGTAGAATACATGCCTGTTTTATCACTTTAATAGATGTTCAATGTAGACACCTAATTGTGCCAAGACATAGATTGCAAATAAATAATAATCAAATAATAAAATCAAAATGTGGCTGTGAATTATTGTTGGTGGATATGCATTCAACCATTTGGGTATTAACTAAAATAAAATACCATGGATCATATACATTCCATCCAGGTATTAACTTAAATAAAATATCATGGATCAGCTTTGGTAATGTGTAAAATAGCTCTCACATTAGCTGTGTGGGTCCACTGTGCCCCACTGTGTGTCTAATTTTGGGTATTGATTTTTTAATAAATGAATTAATTTTTGTATTTTGTGTGATGGGGGACATCTTGCTGAAAAACTATTTATTTTGCCCACCTTGTATCCATGCCATGCCCCGCCCTCCATCTGCCCCAAAATATTCACACGGTGACAAACACTGCCCACACTGCCTTAGTGTGACAGCTCCCTTATATAATATAGTAAGTAAATGACCATAACAAAATTAAAAATTGCTGCATGTTTTTATGTTCTTCTTTTTGTGCAGCATACATGCAAAAACTTCTTCAATTTAATTACTTTATATTGATTTTACTGCATCTATGAATAATAAAGAATAAACTCACCACATCTTGCCACATGTTAAACATACAAGGTGGTGGTGACATTTTGTCATGTTTATTCCTTGGTTTGCAAAAATCAATAATTACTAAGTTATCCAGTTCATTAAAAAATGGTAATTATCCAAGCCATGCAGTTTCAAACCAATACTGTAAATTGCTTCAGCTGACCTTTCCAATAAACCCCGCCACCTTTTGATAAGTCAAAGAAGCAAGGGTATATTGACTCACTAGATTGGTGATGTCATTTGTTGTTGAAAATTAGCAATTATTCATTGCTGTAAGCCTAAGTTTATCTCATCTCTCATTGGAGAAATTGCAACCTACAACCAATGACATCATCATTCTTGCCAATATATCACAGCTTCTTTGATTTACCAAAAGGTGGCAGGGTTTATTGGAAAGGTCTATTGACCTGTCCTTTCATGCCACACTGGAAAAACCAAAATGAAATATACTGTCTTGATTAATAATTTCATAGCGAGGCTTCCAATATAGGTTTTACTTTTGCAGTAATTTTTAGTTCGCGAACAAAACATTGCTACCTATAGCCTATGACATCATGGATATAGCCTATATATCCTAGCTTTTTTTGTAACACACAATGTCCCCTTTGAATAAGCAATTCATCACTTTTCACCAAGACATTTAAAGACCTTTATGTCATCCACTGGTATTTTGATACATTTTGTCAAAAAGTTATCATATTAAATTGCGTCTAAGTTCTGAACATGCAAATTCGCCAAATTAAGCAAAGACAAAGTAAATCAATTCATGGTATATAAATTCTTTGTTCAAAACCTTTCATGTCAGGGATCCAAAACTTGTATCTGCTTTGACCATCTAAAGAGTCAATTTTCAAATCCAATTTAGAAAATAGGTCAAAGAAGACTGATACCCTGGGGATCAGAGACACATAACAATAACTAACCTCTGAACAAGACATAACAGATGTACAGTCATGATGCTGAGATGATTTTTATTACCCCAAATGTAGCTGCCCCCCCCCCACACACACTGGCTACGTGGATGTTAGTGAACAATGTGGCAATACATGTCAATTATTACTAAGCCTAATATCAGTAATCTTGGTTCAACATAGGGTACAACTATTCCAGAAATCAAGAAATTGTACTTGTTTGTTTCCAAGTTTAAATCAATCTCATTTTTGAGTAGTCTACATGTAGCTATCAGTCCTCGTGGCCCCTCCCCACCGACACACCTCCCCACAATCAAAATACCAGGTAACACATTTATACTCATAAATCATTTGAATGAAACCATAACTTGTCGCTGCATGTTAGCCAATTAGAAACAGTCCCTGTAGTTGTTATTCGATAGTACTACATACTACAATATGGAGTCTACAAGAGGTAAAGGTTGTGTGGATCCCACAATGTTTGTTACGTCTTATTCTTATATCCTTCTTTATAAAGTGAGCGTAGTTATTTGGGTTCGTTTTGAGTGATAAATAATTCATAATTCATTTATAGATGTCGTACATTGCTTAACATGAAATAAACGTGATTATTGACTTTTATTTTGGTATTTAAGTATAGATGTCTCTGCTCAAAAACTTGACATGCTCTTATGCAAATACCTGGCTGATTATCCTTCAAATCCAAAATATTGACATGAAAGGCGCCGACAAAAGATCAAAGGAACCGCTTCCTCGTAATCGCTCATTGATAATGAATTAATTCATATAGAAGATAAAACACTCTCTATTGATACAGAGAGAGTGATAGTGGACTCATACCATGCTGTGATTTGAGCATATATCAATGTAAAATTATAAGCCCAACTATGGGAGTAGTACATGTTTACTGTTTAGTACAAGCATTTGTACACAATTTAAACATTGTGATTTAAAATCAAATCAAAATACTAATTGTTTATTTAAAGGTATTGTGGTACGGTTCAGGCGTACGCGTTTCGATCATTGAAGAACGCTGTATCAAGGCCGATGCTAGCCTTGCCCCAAGTCGGTCTCTTTTACTTATCTTGATTTCTATTATGAATTCAAGATCAGATAAAGTAAAAAATACTGACTTTGGGCAAGGCTAGGCCGATGCCTTGATGGATGGTTTTATGAAAAGGATGGTTGAACAGGAGCGAGGTGAGCACCCAGTACAAGGTGTTCAAAAACGTCAACGCATATTCTTTCTATCCATTTGCGAGCCCTTGCAACACCACCTGTGTCAATGTGAATATAGCTAGAATGAATGATATAGGAGTATGAAACTGGGTAACTTGTATTTATTTTATTGTCTTTTCCACTCGCGGTCATTTGTAAACAGTACTAAATACATTTTTCAGTATGTATTTTTCACGAAAAATGTACCTTGTTGCTGTTCCGCTTCGGCAAAGTTTAGGTACCCTAACCTGTAAATGCAACATCGCTCGTATGTGCACTTTCGGGCCCGTAGCCAGGGGGGTTCGCAATCATGCAGTTCAATTTGTTTCACCATTTTGAGCACTTCTCCAGTGATTTTAGCCATATTTGGGCCAAATTTGTCAAATGTGAACCCCCATGGAGATTTTTGATTACTGACCCTCCCCCCCCCCCTGGCAAATCCTGGCTACGGGCCTGACCTTTCTGCGCTGATGGGGCATCTCATGAACTGATGAAGATGTCTGCACTTGCATCTCAAATGTCTTCAAGGAATTAAATTCTGAGATGGAAAATATTTGAATTAATATCATGTTTGTAGCTCGGTCGCATCTTAGAAAATAAATTGCCTAATTCTATATAATTTAATTTATGGTTGGAAAATTAACTGGCAATTCGTTGCCACTAAATGACACGAATTATCCTCATCACGCAATTCAAAGAAATTCACGAGTCCAAAACTAATGGTGTTATCAATAATAAAGTTAACCATATATGATTTGATACAAAAGCAGATAAGGAACATTGCCGATGCTCCACTTTTAATAGTCTTGGACTCACGTGGCTTACTCTACAGCCTGTTCTATAGACAGGAAACATTGCACTTGTGCTTTTACTCCTGATTGAGTCCTTATTGCATATGAAATAAGTTTGTTTTATTTCGTGTCAGTGTTTCAGAGTGAAAACAAAGGATAGGTAATTCAAAATGTTGGAAGCAAAATGTTCATGAAGCATTTAATTGCCCCTCAACATTTGTTACCATCTGAAAAATTCGGGATATTGTATCAAACCTGGAGGTTATTGAAGAAAAAGACCCTTATTTATTAGAGATCGAAAACAAGGGACGTCCTCTGTAATGCCAGAAAATAGACATGAATGAGGTTTCGGTTCGTCTATATCCAGGGGTGGATCTAGGAACCAAGAAGGGGGAGGCAAATTTCAGGTCAGAGAAAAAACTTCCGCGCTTGCGCTAAAAAACACCAAAGTGGGCCCAAATTTCGAAATTTTGAGGCCCATTTTCTTCAAAATTTTGCCTGAAATTAAAAGATAAGGCCTTAAAAGGCACAGTGATGATAAAAAGGAGCACTCATGGGGCCTTTTTTCGCCAAAAATTCTTTTAGGCCCCAGTTTTTTTTCTGGGCCCAGACCCCCAGTGATATTTATCATACACTTTCTGATCCTGAGCAAAATGCGAGAGCATCTTAATTTACAATGTTGTTTTTAAAGTTAGAAGCCGGAGATGATTTCTTGCCTATTTGTTGATCTGAGTTAAGATCTGTAACCACTCGGCCCTCGACGTCTCAGGGGTTGGGGTAAAAAGCCAGGGTAAAAAGGCGTTGAGCGTGGGGTCTAGATAAGATTATGCTGTGACAGTGCTCTTTCGTATGGAAATTCTTGCACGTTCGGTATTAACCCAACCTACAGGGTGCTATAAAATTAGAAACACGTATTTCAGTAGCTTAAACGTTTAGCAATGGGCATGGTTTTTGAGTCAAAAACAAGTTATGCAAGATGGACAATTATATCCCTGGTTGTTTTAGTCCTCTATAGTTCATTACATGATATGCAACCGGTAGAGATTTGATTAGGCACGCATGGTTCGTGAGTACACTTAACCTACAGGGTACTATAAAATAGAAACATGTCATGACTATGAAAACGTTCAGCTATGGTTATAAAATCTTTCAAAAATGCTCTTGTAGTATAGAACCAGACGTAAGATGGGAAAAAACTCCAAAGCCCTCTTTCTAGATGCCATTAAACGATGATATCATGCAACAGGTAGAGGGAGGTTGGAGCCCTTGGCAACATATTACGGTATCCAAAGCTCATACTTGATTACGGCAGAACTAAGATTAGGCTTATTGTCTTCCTCTTCGGAACACTTATAGCACCCTATGATAATCATACCTATGTCACAGAGTAACATAATCAAACAGGGTTATCCCGTTCCAGGACTATAGTCTATAGTCCTGGAAGGGGATAAGATCTAGGCTACGCCTCGCACTGAATGTATTGTATCTACAGTACCAAAGTATTGGGTCACTCTGTATTTGTTCAAGGAGATAAAGGTGAAAAGTCTACGAGAAAATAAAGTAAATAATCTCATCAAAATATGGATTCCGCATTTAGCAATGTTTCAAGTCCATTTTAGCACCGAGAGATCTTCTAATGCGATTTATTACGAGGAATGATCATTCTTTGTCTTTCAAACTTTTGATCCGCCGCCAAACCATAAAACTTTCCCAGTCATTTGAAATTGGTAGTAATATTCATGAACCAATCAATTATGATGTTATGTCGACTCTAATTGGATGAAATTCTGTTGGAAATTCCTAACGTGCTGTCTAATTGGATAATCATATACTTCCGGGTCAAGTGTCAAAGTACCTTGCTCATTATCCTTGCTGTTCGTATTTGGAGTATTCAATGGCGGAAACGAACGTGTGTGAACTTAGGAACTAAATTGAGGGAGATCACAGAGCTCTCGGCTTGTTTTAAACATGCCGCATGTAAACTCTAGTGGTGGAGATGATCTAGCATCCACTGATGAAGTCAAAGTGTATAAGGATGAAGGAGAAGAGGAGAAAAGATCGAGTGAAAATTTGTCAGAAGATAAACTGGGATTGGTGACTGAAACGGAAGAGGTATGTACTTTATTTACTTTGTTTTCAAGCCTTATTATCCACTTCTCTGCCCCAAAACTATATCGAAGTTTCTCTAAGATGACTATCACACATCTATGATAACTTCTCTTGTCTTGATTTTCCAGGATAAAACTTCTACGATAGACCAAAACTACCAGAAAAACGGAGGCCAGTCTCAAGATGGTGGGTACAAAAATCAAAACATTTCATTCCTTTGAAGTTTTAGTGTTGATGTGTGTTTTATACAGATTGTGTTGAAGTTCTATTTTAAACCTAGCCTTTTAATACAGCGTTGTGGTTGAGTCATAGGTAGTGTAGAAATGTTCAGTGTTCAATATATGTGGCCTAGTTTCTACTAAATCATTGAGCTAACAAATAGCTGTACATAAAAAGCCTTTGATCTCGAACAAGGTGGCATGGTGTCATATTTCAACTGTGTATTTTTCTTTCCTACAGGGAAGTCCAGTGAACAAATGCCTCCTGAACAACGATTTGGACCTTTTAACTACTTAGTGCCCTACCCCTATCATAACCTCAATGGTGCTGCAGTATCAAATAGTTTGGTAGGTGAACTTTTTACAAACCTTGAAATCTGTAAACTCAAGCACTCACCAACCCCACACTAGATACACAGAATACAGTAAATACCACTGTCATGTTCAATAGCCTGTCAGCAATGATAAATACAGCTTTGAAAAGAGTCTTAAGACCCTTGTTATTTGAGGCATTATAACCCTGACAAGCTGCGGAATTTTCAATTAAAACCAGGAATCGTAGTCTATTTTAAGCTTTCAAATTACTTTATTTGTTAAAATCCATAAAGCCCAATATTAAGTTCATCTTCTATACCTTGTGTATTCATTTTTTCTGATTAAGAGTTCACAATATAAATAGAGAACATACTTAAGTCCAGGTACAAACAGTTTCATGCATGCAACATTAAACATGTATACTACACAGCTAACATCTGTATATTTTAGTATATGTTTTCTTTGGCTATTGGTATTTGTAGTTAAAAGATGTTAGAGATATTCTGTACATAACCTGGTATTAGTAAATGCTACTGCCTGTCGGAAGTGCCAGTTTTGTCCATTTGTAAAAAGAGTTACAGTTTTAGCTAGGACCAAGTGAAATTATTTTAAAATGGAATATTCTGGTATATATATGACATGAGACATTGTCCAGGAAAGCCACATGCATAGTTTACCAACAAATGAATTTCTGCTTTTAACGGGAGTGCCTGTCAAAGGCTGATAGAAAAACATATGTTAGTCACTCCAATATTGAAACATCAACTTTGGACATTTTTAATTTAAAAGAAAGAACATTGTCAATGTTAATTTAGATCTTTAAGTGGGATGATTCCATTGGATATGGTAACCATGGCGATTCACGTAGAATTGGGATGTAGAATCAGAAAGTAGTTATTATATTCGCATATCTTGCATTGATGGCTAGTGCCGTGGGCAATGTTCTCTGTGAAAGCTAACTGAAGCATTCAGGAACTCACATTTATTGCTCATATCCATGGAGATCCCTCAAATAACTTTTGTCACTTCTGCCTAAAATGCACACCTCATACTAACTAGGTGATTTTGATGATTAATAGGCCATCATACTCAGACCTGAGTTATTCAGAACTGTAGTACAGTGCTATTAACTATGACATCAATTTCATTGAGTTTTTCAACTCTATAAAATGCCTGTTGCAATTGATTAATTAAATCCTGATGTCCAGTATTCATTTTGAGGATTTTGAACTAGATATTAGTTCTACATTAATTATGGAATTCCTTGTTTTAGAGATATTAACTTAGGTTTCATAGGTATATTTGGTGAAGTTGTATACATGCAGGGCTGTTTTATTAAATTGAATTTTTATCTAGTATACTTGGTATGTGTCATGGTTTATAAAGGGAATGGAATGACATAACAATTTATTTCCTTTTTGGATTTGTCCCAACTTGTTAGTGATTGAGGTCAGTTTTACAGAAAATTAAATCTAGACTATGAAATGAATGAAAACCATGTTGAATGTCTGAAGAGACATGTTGGTTTCTATATTTTTGATGTGTTTTTTGGTTGTTCAATTAGTTGTTTGAGACGTTCCAAAATCAGTTGTGGTTTAAAGCAATGCCAGTTTGGAGTTTTAACTAGGAGTATGCCATATATTTAAAGTCATAAATTGTGGTGCAACAGACTAGTTTTCAAGGCCTGGGGGATATCTTGAATCATAATGTTGTTTATCTAGTATAACACATATTGTAAAACCCCTCAGGCAAAAGACTCTTACTTCAGAGCCTCAAAAATAATCACATTTTATAAACTTTATTTGAATTAAAATGCCAACATTTTTAACACAATTTCTACTTTTTCTTTGTTTTGATTTTTTCTTGGAGCAATGAGATTCTGAAAGAGCATAAATAATTTATGTTTTCAAACGTAAATTTGACAAAAGCCTTTTTGATTCGCAAATACACAAAACAATGTTTTATGTTTTTTCGTTAACAACTGCTAAACGTACTGACTAAATGTTTTGAAATTGCACATTTCTGCAAAGAAAAAATAATTGCTTGATATGTTTTAACTTTGATGCTATTTGTAATTAAGCACTTATGATAGCTTAATTCATATATGTGAAATCATAGTAGAAAGAAAAGATGCGATTCTTAAAAAACATTTTTTAATGCAGTTGTCACTATCAATAAAATCATTTTAAAAATAGAGACAGTTAATGATAAACAATCGTGCAATGATGAATTGTATATTATGAAATTGCTTTCAGCAACTTAGAATCTAATTGTTTTGACATGTGATCTTAGAAACATATTAACGTGGTATCTGCTCTTATTGCCAAAATTTCAACTTAAGATATGGGAACAAAACTAGGCAAAAACATTTTATTCTAGACTTGCTGCGAATGACATAACAAAGAATTGGAACAATTTGAGGAAATGTATTTACTAATAGAGAGATCTATTCTGAACTCTGTCATATCCTTACAGTAAATCATATTTTCATAATCTTGAAAATAATTCTAGCTGGTACAGAATGTTATAGTAAATTTGCTGTAGAAAACACAGTTAATAAGTGGCTTTTAGACTGACAGAAAGGAAGCCAGGGTAATGATTTTATATCGTAATGAGCTCCAATTGTGTACTTAACGATAAAAACGACACAAAATTCCAGAAATGATTGTAGACCTAACATACATCATTTTTATGACTTTTACTTTGACAGATGCCTTACCTTGTCTTCTTATGTGAATACATGTTCCTATTTTTGAAACTGACTTTGTGCATTAGCTTTAAAGATGAATCAATATAAATTGCAGAAGAAACACAATTCTTGATAATACTAAAGCCCATTATAAACGGTATTAGTCTCACATGAAAAACAAGTCATTTCTAGCTCCCCCTCATCAAGCTCTTATTTTCACAACCCTGTGTTGAGAGGGTTGTAAGTGTGGAAGGGAAAATATAGATTTAACAGGGTTATGAAATAATATACAGTGATACACAATTCTATGTTTCTCTTCAAAAACACATATTGACATACATCTCAAAACCTTGAAGATTTCTAAGGCTGAATCATACCAGGGATTCGTTACATGCGGTTCTGTAATAATACATCATTTATTGCTTTGTTTTGCAGATAACTTTCACTTTAATTAATTTCTATCTACAATTGATATGCAGTTCATGTACATTCATATTCTGGTCATATTACACATATTACACCGATATTACAATGTCATAATGCCATTATTTAACGACTACAATACATAATTTGTTGTGCTGACAATGACTCTAAATTCCTTATGCTCCGAATTATAATTATGAGTCATAGTTCTGTAAAATCAGTGTATTCCTCCCAAAGCGAGTCGTTCAAATCTAAAAAGTTGAAATTGAGCTGCTTGTTTTAAGACATGCCTTTACATTTGTTTTTTATCTATGATTTTTGCTAACTTATCACTGCTCTTCCAAAGTGGTATTTTTCTGTCTGATTAGTATGTTAGTAAACATTCAATCCATTTATACATTTGACCCTGTTTTTATGTGGTCTCAAAACATCTTAGGATATATGATACGAGTCCTACAGTAGTATATTGCAGAAATGATCTCCTACAGGCGATATGACTGCTTTTCTCCATTGGAATAGTTGTAGATGTTGGTTCACTTTGTCACTTTGGAAGACAACGTGACGTGACACTTTCACATTGTCTCCATAAGGACTGAAATGTCATATTCAGTAGTTTAGTTGCTAGAGTCAACTCCCAGCCAACAGCCCAACAGAGTACATTTATATGTATTCAAATCATGTGGTGTTTAAATAAAGAAACAGTATCCTTAAAGAATAAGACAGAAATTAAGAGCTAATTATCATGACCCTTCCTGGTGATATTTTTGAAAAACATACGGAAGCAAGATATTTTCCTGACACTAACATTACATGATATTCAGCTGAGACTGAGATAGACTTAACCTTCTGTTTTTTTTCTTTGAAATATCCTGACATCTGCGCGTCAAAATACAGCATACATACTGGGCACCAAGCCTAAATGATGCCAAAAAATGGAAGTATTCTTTGAGAATAATTGTAAAAAGTAAGGTTGATTTTTATTGATGTATTGAAACATATTGAAAGAGAATCCACTGGAATGGTTCAATATTGGGGCTCCCAACGGTTTCTAGGTGTCAGCTCATTCCAGCTCTCATAAATATTCATTTTGAGATCGAGGCCTTTGTTTTCGTGATTGACATGGCATGTATTTTAAATATATTGTGATGAATTGCAAAATATGTCGCTTACATCTGAAGTGCTTGGTATATCAAGATCTTAGCGACATACATAATAATTGGCATACTTTGTTAGATTATCTCGGAAAAATGATGGATTTTTCTATATTTATTTTTACTAAACAAATCAAAGAGTCCTTGCTAATTCCTTGATTCTTATAAATGAAACATAATCACTTTGATATTTTTTGCCAAGATATTTTTTTCATTATGAATATATGTAAATGCATAAAAGCTTAGTAGGATGTTCAATAGGTTGTCATTTACCTTAGCTTTATTTCGGTTTAATCGGCCGACCCTTGAGATTTGAAGAAACAAAGGTGTCAGATTTGCTGCAATTTCCACAGCAACTGTAGGATCTATTATAGTTAACAACTGCGCCATTGATAACTCTTGCACCATATTCCCAGAGTCTGGCATTTAAAAACCATTTAGTTCAAGTTTACCTTAGGTTTAATATTAGTTACAGAATGTCTTTTTTCTCAGTATGTTGAAATATTTTTGAGATTGATGTCTAGATAAAAAAAAAGTATATTTTCTTTACTGTTGTTTATTGTATTACTTGCGATTTTCTCATTTGTTCATGGTTTCTGTGAGATTCTTAAAAAATACCATACAGTGTCGTATCTTAAAGGGTATCGTAAAAAGGTCATATACCTAGATATTGTAATGTTCTGTTTCGTCCTGAGAAGTCCGAGAAATATCCTAATTTCCTGTCTTCTTAATGCCGTTCCTATTTTGTAGCAATTGGAAATAATTTATCA